TTATTGATCGTAGATCAATTTGTGTTTGATGATGGTTGTAAATTAATTGATGTTTTAAGTTCCACTGTATTAAATGGGATTCGATGTGAAAATGTGTGAGAATATAAAATTCGGTCGTAAAAAATAGGCGCAGCGCCCGGGATTCGAACCCGGGGCCGCTGTTACTCCGATCAAGCGCGCTACCGTAGAGCCACCGCCAACTGATAAGAAATGGTTGCTATACTACGTATATACACTCGAGCGCTCAAAGCAAGACTTTCCGGAATTTTTTTGGGGGGTTTCTAGGGGGCGTTGGAAAAAACAAAAAAATACGGGTCAAATGAATTCATCCAAAGAGTTCGTATGAATTTTTTCAGCCCGATCGGAGGCGGCAGCTTGGGAAGTTCCCCTTGTCAGTATCCTCCTTGAGCGACCAAGTTCAAGAATGAGTTGCGAGAGCTTAGGTTCATTTTTGGGTGCAATATAATGCGGCAGAGTTATGCATGCACTGTACGGCCGTGCTAAGGAAATACGCCGTATGAACCTTCGGATGTTGCCAAATTTCCTTTAATAAAAGTCCAATTTTCGAGGAAAATCGAGAATATTTCTCTTCAATTTTTCCAGACAATTTTGTTCGCAATTGAATCTGAAATATCTGAAAATTTTAAGGAAAAATATGCAAAACTCTCTTCAAAAACACATGTCTTTTTCGGGGGAGGTTGGCAACTCTCGAAGGTTCATACGGCGTTCTTTCTTAGCACGGCAGTGTACAAGACAGATCACGAGTTCGAAAAAATATTTTTCGGTACTCGACGTCTCCTGCGCAGCAAACTTGAAACCACGGAAAGTCGGTTTGATTTGAAGCTTTGTATGTCTTTTCTTGGTCGCGAATTGTTATAAGAACTTTCATTCTTATTGCCCTGGTATCTATTACTCAATTATGAAATCTTGTAGACCAACGTTCCTGCGTCCGTAGACGGTCACAAATTACAATGAAGGTATCATTTTGAGGCATATATGTGCTTACGGACCACTGAGCAGGGCGAAACACAACACTGCGAGAGAAGTTTCATCTTACCATTCTTATTTTTTCCTCTTTGAAGTGCAGATTTTTTGTTGGTTCGGGCTATGTGCGCAGTTCCAGTATTAATTCCGTCCGACTCGACGAGAATATTTTTTAATCAAAATTTTTCGTAAAACCTTCTGAATATTATGAAAATTTCCAAAGCAAGTACCTCGGCGATGCAGTGACGGGTCCAGAGAGAGTCGGAGGGGGAGGGGCAGAAGAACGGGAGTCCGGATGGCCTCCCCCGGAAAACCTTGGAAAAATAGGCTCTCCCAGAGTGAATTTTAAGCAGTTTTAGTTCACAATTTATGCATGATTTGAAAGTTGAAAATTGACGTATAATATCTCTTTCAGCGTAATTTTATTATGGTGTATGGACTAGGTATTTGTTCCTAGCGGTGTTCAGTAACCTTTGGTTTGGTAAACTCCGATTATTTACTTCTGCCTGGAAACCATTTCATTAAATTGTTAGGGGCACTTTTTTTTCACTCCCTTTTTTCATTTTTCGCCCGAGCGGGGGCCATGACACCATGCCCCCTCCCTCCTCCCTGGATCCGCCACTGCGGTAATGAGTGAGAAAATATTGTTCATGTTTTTATCAGGATGGAACAAATCCATCATCTCGTAAGAGCCGAACTACAATCACCCTCCATTCGATTGGTAGTGAAGAGTAAAAAATTGGATCGACTTAAGAAGAATTCGCTTGTTTTGATATTCAGAATGGATACGTCTGCCAAGGAAAATGTGCAGAAACTTCCCGATTACACGATCATGATCACATGTCCGCTCGCGTGAAGAAATAAGAAGGCAGTGATCATTGGGAAGGCCGGCACACTTAAGCGTTAACATAGCGTTTTCCTTCAAAAATCGCAATAACATTCGCGTGTTTAAAGGTTACAAGTCACCGAATAAGCCGATCACGACACCTGAACTTGATATTTTGATGGCTAGCTTTGATAGCGTGACACAGGCTATAGCCTTTCCGGGACTTCAAAAAACCGCCAAAATGAATAATTTTTAAAAAAAAAAGAGACAAAAAAGAAAAGAAAAAAAAAAAAAAAGGTCGATCATCTTATAATCGAGTCTCCCGCATTTGACGACTGTTCGTTCCGGGTTCAGATCGAAATTTCGAGATACGTCTTTTTCGACTTTCACCATCGATCTGCAGGATTCCCGAGGTATTCCGGCAGTTGCGCTATTAAAATTGGGACCCTGGCAACGGCGGAACAGAGGTCGGAGGCCGGAATAGCTTTTACAACGAAATTGAGGCTGGCGCTGGCGGTCAAGCCGCACCGTCTCGCGCGGCTGTGGAGGCCCCCTGGCCCCTTCTACTGCCGTCTAGCCTTCGTTCAGGGGTCCAGGGAGAGTTCATGAACTACTCGAGTCCGAGCGTTCTCGCTAAGTTCACGATGCATCAAAGGGAAGGGATTGAAATTCGAAGTCAAACTGAGACAGGGGTTTTAAACGTTCAGTATGATCGCCAAGGCGCCCCAAAAGCATAGCCGAAAGGTCGGAGGGATCCAGGAGTTTGGACTCCTTTGACCTATAACCATATCTACACGGGGTGACAAGTTTTCTGAGATTTCAAAATTACCTGACTTTTCCACGATTTTCAATGTTTACTCCTTTTTTGGGAGGGGGGGAGGGGCACAAATTCTGATAAAAATACTTTTCAAAAAAAAAAAATTCAACGCAAAGTCATTTGAAATCCCAAAAATATAAAAATCAAAATTCAAAAATTTTCAGGGTTATGTGTAAAGTTTTGATAAAGAATGCGAGTGTGATAGAAAATAATTAAATGTTTCTGCCAGCAACCTGATGGTTAAAATTTATCTTAGCAAGACAAGACATCAAAAATTGATGTATTAAATGGCGCAAATAGGGCTACGTCTTATTTTATCTTGCCGATAAAGCAGTATAAAGTTTCAAAGATTAGATTGCTGATGAGAGAGCTTCCAGGTTCTGCAGCAAAACTCCCTTTATTCTTCCCTGCCTTTTAAGGTTTGGGTAAAACTCTCTGGTTTTCGATGATTTTTCAAGAACCTATGGCCCTGACAGATGTATTTTATTTTGTAATGCAGGCAATTTTGATCTATGCATGTTTCCTCTGAGGTGATTCTTGGCATCCAACTCTCCTCTGTCTAATTCTTGGTTAGCTCACACGACCTCTTCAGGGGTTGAGTGCATTTTCATTAGAGTTAAGGAACAGCAATGTTTCAACATGCTCAAAAAGCTGGATGGTTAAGTGTCCTTGATCAAAAAGGTGATTTGAGATACATCAGAAAAAAAGCGGAACTATCGTAAAGTGGTGAAATTAGATTTAGGTAATCCTTGAACACTGATAGAGATGGATTTTGTCTTAAAAGAGTTTGTCATGGGAGATGATACAGAGTTTAAAAAAAAAAGACTTTTGAAGGTTATTCATGCTTTTAAGATGCACAAATATTATTCAAACAATCCCTCTGGGTAGTAAATGACCATGGAACATTAAAGTTCACGCCAAATAAGCTTGCACACTTTTAGAGTGCGGCAGAAGATTTGCTATTTTTTATTCTTCCATTTACTTTCAATGCTCATTTGAAGAAAGCTTATTTTCTGTTGCACTCTCTAGGTGCGTCAATTTATTTGGCATGGACTAAAATTAATGTTTTATTCTAGACAAGAACTGAAGGAATAAATTACTCACATGATGTGCTCAATCCAAACTCAGATATCTTTCAGATGGTTCACAACAGCCACTACTTTGACAAGAAATTCAAAATCAGAATCATGACCAGGAGTGCTGCCTTCCCTTCTCACTGAAAACAAAAATAAAATTTTTGAAATCCCTCAAAGATTTAAATCGGTGCAATGTACTTATCAGTACTAGAATTAGATAAGAACATCATTAATACAATTTCAACAAAGAAAGTGAGGTTTTAAAACCACACTCCTTACTCTAAAAATACAAAACTGCCTATCTCAGTACAATATTCACAACTTTTATGCCTACAAGAATGGAGAGGCCGTAACTGGTCAGTTTTTTGACGTCCAATCAAAGTGGCCCTCGATCGGCCGAAGTTGCGTGAGCGGCGCATTTGAATCTGAGAGGAGTGACGATTTTTGGTATTGCGCTTCCATTCCCTCAATTATTAGACGATGTCACATATGGGTTATTTACTAATCTGAAGTGAAATTTCATCCTCTTTTAAAAAGTATCATGCGAAAAGAAAGTATCATTTCAAAAGAAACGTGCGTCAGGCGTTCTCCCATAAGAACACATGTTAATCCGCGGCAGAGTTTCATCTACAAGCTTGACGTCACTAGAATTGTGTTATAGCCTCTCCTTTCTTAGAGGCAACGCTGTTACCTCTCCTATGATTTTAGGGTGAATACCTAATTATTGAAGTTAACAGGCCAAATTTTTTGAGTTTTCTAGAAAGTGTTAAGAAGTCACAAAAAATTTGTGTATCAACGATCATTCGTCATCCTTCAAAAAAGTAAGACGAGACTTAAAATCTACAATGCCACAAGCTGAGATAGAACACATGTCAGATAAGCTAGTAGTAGCGTTCTTTCTGTTTGCAACAACTTCATTGCTAACGTCCAAAGCGATTGAGGATTGACTCTCGGCAACGCCACAGCCCTGAGCAGATACATTTGTCTGCAGGACATGACAGTCAAAACTAAACTATTACTGACCAATCTGATGCGATTTTTATATCGTTTTGAAGTCTCACTATTAATATCCTGCAAGCTGCAACTTTTCCTGTAGCTGTTTTGCTTCCTGAAAAATTTCAATACCCACACATATATTCCTCATGAAATCACGAACAACTCAGTTTTCATGCGTATGTACACCCAATCTAAGTAAGTGACTAACAATCTGAAGTCTCTTGTTGAAGGCTTTCTTAGTTAATTCATCCGTGCACTAGGAAGATCATTCTCAAATTCTACAAAAATATTCCAATATTTCTAACCTAAAAATTCACGACTGCTGCGGACGGATGGTTTGAAGGAACATGTTAGGAGACAGAGGAGAGGAGAACTTAAGTTTAGGCGCTAAAGAGACAAGCAAAATGCATTATTTACCGTCACCAATGTCAAGCCCACACGGCTACTTGCTCCGGTACCTGACAGCTTAGGGCTCATGGTCATGCTCTATCTCGAAACTAGCTCCAGGTTGATTATTAATACGTAGCCCACAACAAGGTTTATCAGAGGTTTTGGATGAGAAGAGAGCTTTAGGATTCAACACAAATCATTCTGAGAAGCATCTTCTCTTAGTGTTCGGCATTGTCTCAAATATCAACAACTTGAACTGAGCGCCAAATAACAATGTAAACAGTGGGTAATGAACTGGAAAGAAAGGGCAGGAGAGAGGCAAGAGATTGATAAGAGTTCAGTAAGCACAGAGAGAAAAGATACTAAAGAATTCAAACAACGGTCATCAGCTGAACGAACCTAACTTGAAATTCTATCAGTTCCTCTAAAACAGATCAACAAGTGGTTGAGTGCAAACGATCATTGACTTCACTGGTAATCACATTCCACTGAATTTCCAACAAAATCTAACTCTTTAAAACTAATAAAACTCAATAGATTAACAGCAGATGACAAATAACGAGCTTAAAGGACACTTCAATCTAATTTTACGAGGCTAAGAAGGTGTAAACACCGCCTACTCAATATAAACACACACACGTACACAGGTAATTACTCCATAAAAGCTCCTAGCTCAACAAAGTATTGTGGAGAGGGTTAGTAAGTACTTGATAGCAGCTGGAAAAAGCTTCTGAATGAACTGGAAAGCCAATGGTGAGAATGAAATGCGTGATTACTTACATTTTAAACTAAAACTAAGTAGTAATAAAATAGAACTGGAGGCTCACGTAGCAGCCTCGGGAGTTGCGCTGAGTATGGACGAGACGAAAGTATGTATTCAAAAAATGGGCATCGCCAGTCAACCCGTCTGCGAGTTAGTGACCTTGGACAAGTTGAGGAAGTTCATAAACGGCGCGTTTTGAGTGGATGGATCAAGACGCAAGGCTGAGCGAATGAAAACATGGACATGATGTACTCATTACACTCGTTACCTCATCGAGCGGAGTTTATTGCACTTAAAAAACTCAAATTCCATAATTTGTGCGCATTTTTTGAGAGTCCATCAACCGTCTCCGTTTCACGCAGCAGCGCGAAGATGTTCAAAAACGTGGCTCATTTTTTCACTTTGTCCGACTCTTTCAATTGCCTCAATTGCTTACGGAGCAAAAATTGAACATGATTTTAATAACAGATTTTGAGTGCTTAATTCAACAGGAAAAATTGAGCACCGTTGAAGTTTGATAAAGCACGATAAAACAAATTGATGCCTGGCGCGGCGATTACCAGTTGACTCAAGTGCGCAAAGTTTCTCCTTCAAATTCTTCGAACGCAACACATCATACGCGCCGGGAGCTGATTCATTCTGCTAATCGGAATCTCTGAATTGGAATTTTTCCTGGTTGCGTAACTGATTCGAGAAAAGCGCGAAGGCGTCAGAGAAACTCAGGAGCTCTCAAATTTGGTATGGTCGTGAAGTTGAACTCTACGATCACGTATAATTATTTCGTACTTATGCAAGCGTAGGCGTAGGTACCTATGAAAACGGTTAGTCTACCCAAGCAGAGTTTAAGGGGAGGGGAGCCCCGGTGACGATTGACATGCGTCAAAATATAGGTGGTGATGGTGAATAAAAATAGAACGTGGAGAAGGAGAAAGAAGGGAATTTTCTGAATGAAAAAAAGGCCCTTGTTCGATTGTCAATCCACCTACTCGCTCAGCGAGCAGTTCAGAAATTCCGAAAAAGGCAATCTCAACGAGGAATATGTACTCACGTGAAATTCGTGTCTCATGAGGAAGAATTTGTTCGTTTGTCAATGAGTCTGGACGACCGAATAAATTACTAGGCCCGTAATTTGCGAAATCTGGGGAGAACACTAAAGAGCGGACCCTCTTCGAGATTTTCCGAGTTGACCCCTTTACTCGATTCGGGTCGAGATGCAAAATTTCATGAAATTTTATTTTTCACAATGAAAATTCCTCAATATTGTCATGATCAGTTTAGTAAAATTTTTAAAACTTCCTCGATGGACCCGGTATGCCATGAAACGCATAGAAACGGTAAAATCTTAATGTTTTTGAAAAATATAATAAGTCCAATTTCTAAGCGAAGTTATTCTTGTCGAACGCTCAAATATTGTTGCGGGTTGCATACCTAATGCATACGCAACCCCAAAGAAATCGTCGAAATTTCATGGTCAATTTGAGCGAATATAACGTAAATGGTTATTTTAGTAAATTTTTAATCGCGCCTATGCTTCAATAATCGTAATATTTGGTGTGCATTTTTAAAGCGTGTCTTAAATCGATATAATTCCCGAAAATTTTAAGATGATTAAAAGCAAGCGGGGTAAAAATACTCTAGCTCATAAGAATGTGAAATACCGTTATATTTGACTTAAAAAAAAAAAAAAAAAAAGGATTCGTTTAGCGATGTTCCGTCGATAAAAGTTGCTATGCTAATTTTTTCAATCTTTATTCACTCACTTTTCTTGAGCATGTCTCATATTTTTCTCGACATTGCCACATACTACTGAAAATGACTCTGTGGGGCAACGATAGTCGGAAAAATTACCACAAATGTACTTTGTGCGGAAAATATATAATATAAAAAATGGGAGGATTATCTTTGGAAATCGGCAGTACCTATATGGCCTGTCCGCGTTGCCAGAAGCTCCTTTTCACAAAAGAAGTACCTACATATCTGCATAATATTGGAGGAGGGTCATCCCCACTCCCCCATCGAAAGTTCCGACTCTCAAAATCTGATTTTCATAGTTTATTTTGGAGTATACCCGGCCGCAGAATGTGGAAAACGCTAAAAAAATGTGTTGAATTTCTTGGAGAACAGTCACTTGTTGGCCAACTTTAGGCCACCCAGACAACATTGGCATAGGGACATAATCATTCGTCATATTCAGCAAATTTAGATGGCCCAATGTTACTTATACCAATTCGGTCCAAAGTTGGCCTAAAGTGACTGAACTTGTTCCTCTCGTAAGAAGGTTTCCGGTAAAGTCAAAAGTAGGAGGTATACCTAGTTTCCGGCGAGGAGCGGAAACAGCCATTGGATTGTTTTCATTTTGATTTTGATAGACTGAATGACGTCATCAAGTATAATCGGGAGACGTAAACAATCATCCCTGATGTGCTTCCTTTTTTCCTCGCTCATCAAAGCTTTTTCGGGCAGTTTTGAAGTTTTGTTTTGAGTTTTGTCTTATTTAAAGTTTTCTCAACAATTATTACACGATGACAGTGCTGTAATACTGCTGCCTCGAAGTGAGTATTTTAGAATTTCTCCTGTGTCCGACAATAACCGCAATATTCCAGTGGCTCCGCACTGGAGGTGATAGTGCTCACTGGTCCTGTCTCAAAAGTCATCAATTTAGGATGAAAGTGGGTCCTTGTAAGCAATTCTGGAAATCCTAGCGGTGAGCTTTTGACGTCGACAAAGACACTCTTCGTTGCCCTTCGAGTATGAACTTGTTGAACTTTCATTATTTCAACATAATGCTGAGTGAAATATCTCTGCAAGTTTGCCAAAAAAATTACTATTGTCACTGGCTCAGGCTTGACGCTTGACGGCGTCTGTTAACAGTAGAAACTAAATTCGAGGCTTAAGTCTCTCAAATGTTTCAAAGTTTCAATCACTTTTTATGGAGGGTTTGTTCTTTGTGGACCCTGGTGTGTAGAATGTAAGTTGCATCGTCATCTTTTGACGTTATCCCTTCTTACCTAGACGGTAGTCGGGACAGTCGGAAATTGCCAATTATTATTCTTTCAGGATAAATTATTTGAGCTGAAATAACTTGAGAATCTCATCCTTTTGTTGGCATATACCTTCGCTCGTACATGAGCTGTTAACTGTTGTCAGAAGGATTTTTTGCCGCGTATACCTCAGGTGTGGCTGTGGAGGCCTTGGTGGAGTTCAGGGGTGCATTAAGTCCTGTGCTTGTGCTTAAATTTAGTTGGGCTTCTCCTATTTTGAACCTCAACTCATCATTAGTTTTTCTAAAGACTCACCCCATGAAAGGTTTTCGTCCCAAGAAAGTGAACTTATCTTCAGCAGAAATGCAATAAAAATGAAAATAATGCCAAAATCTGATAGCCTTAGGTTTTCTTGTTTAAGCTTCCCCCTATCACAACAATGATTTATTAGATTTAAGTGATAATGTTCCCAGTGGTCTTGAAAATGTTAAATCGAAAGGGGAGATGAAGAGTCTTGTAAACCTAAAAATTTAGGGAATTTTCTTCCAAGACTTTAAATTGAAAAATAAACAGAGATCTCCAATGTTCAATGTTTCAATTCTTTTTTTATTTTGATTTCCTATTACCAGCTTTGAAACGGATGGCTAGGTCTTGGCAGAAATTTTAAACAAAACGGCTCATCTAATTTCGGTAGAAGATGTGAGACGATTCCTGGAAAAAAACTTCAATTTGGTCGGGGAAACCTGAAAAAATCAGGATGATTCTTTTCAAGAGTTGACTGGGAGCCCAGAGTGAACACAGCTCGATTAGTAGACACATTCTTTAAAATCGAGAAGTTCTCAGACCCGTGCAAGTATTTTTTCGTGGAATTAAGCATCTTCGTTTTCCTCTCTCTGCTTTTGTTAATTTTTTTTTCTCTTCCAGATGTTTCTCTTCAAATCGGTTCAAGACCCACCTATATGACAGACAGCGAAACCAAAATGGATTTGTTTCTAATGGAAGACTGAAAAGCAATGTCCAGCATAATGATGGGCTTTTCATATGAAAAACGATCTCTTAAGAGATCAAGGTTGGGCCCACCTGATGTGTACCCTCAAGATCCCAAGCAAAAAGAGGTACGTACTCAATACTTAACTTGATTTAAATTTCTGACTTCTAAACATCCAAGAGATCTAGGATTAATTGAATAGGTTGACTAGTGATAATTCTTTTAGATTGAAAATGTGAAAGAATGTAATGAATAAATGTTTTTCAGAAAATAACTAATCGTCTGCTATTGCGGATGGTACTTTTCCGAGGCGGATATAGAATGGTGGTCGCATTTCGTACCCTCTGCACGTCACACAGTATCAGGTACATTGGCCGGGGAGGCCGGCTCAACCTCGAATTGCACGGCGAAACCTGTACCCTCCTGATGTCAGAACGCTTTAAGATGGCAGCCAAAACTTGAATGCAACCACCATTTACCGCGACCGCCTTGGTACTTTTCATTGCATCCTTGAGCAAAGTAGAAGGACTTAATTATTAGAATGAAAAATTCTAAGATTGAATGAAAGTGCTGAAAGTTTTATTGTAATACTTTTACAAGTTGAGAGAATGTCACACCTATAATTAGAATTAAAACGTGAATGGAAAGGGGAGCATTATGTGCTGCAGACATGGATCAGCAGTGGAAGGTTCCTAAGAAATAGGTCTCGCTGCTACTCACAGAGATCAAAATGTCTGTCAGGTGTGACAAAATGAAGGCACCTGATTAGATAATCAACAGGGTGACGCTACAAGCAGCATGATAGCAGAAAGCAGTGTTCGAAACTCACCTTCGAGTTGCAGGAGCCATGTGGCGCATCAAGCTCGATTTTTAGGGGGCAAATTGACTATTTGCCTATTTATCAAGGGCCATTTAGTGGAATGTTAGATGCAATATGTTTTAGTTATAGAACTAGTAGCTGTTACTTGGAGGAAATTTCGAAAATTACTTAACAGAAAAATCAGGATTTTTTTTGAAGGGGGGGGGGGACAATTTTTAGGAGCACAGAACCTTCATTTTTTTAGGCGCCATAGCCGATTTCCTTGGCGCGTTGGCGCCTGTGAGTTTCTAACTCTGACAGAGAGATGCGTTGTTGCTGGACCTATTAGATGCAAGTTTAGCCATTCAACTAATGGCTTATTGCAGGTAGGTAAGAAAGGAAACGGATGGAGGGAATGAATTTTGATTAATTTCTGGAGTAGCCAATGACTGTTCTGAAACATATGTATGAAAGAAATAGCAGAGGTTTTCGGCACGTTCCAGTGCCTGTAACATCTATATCTATCATTCAATGCACATTAATCAATAATAAATGGCTCTTAATCTTGTAGAGATTTATAGAGTTTTTCTGCTGCTGTTAACGCTCAGTAAGCCAAATCTTAAACTCGGTTAAATATCAACTGTTTATCAACATAATAAATGAATGAAGTGAATACTTATTTTATTTTTATTTTCCTATTTTTAATTCATTTTTTCTGGTTTAGGATGAATTGACAACTAGCAATGTCAAGCATGGCTTTTCAACTCAGCCTCAGCCCGAGGAGTTCGGAACCGCCAGGAACATGAACATCACAGCTTCCAAGGTAATCCTAATTTTTTACCTACTATTTATGTCTCATATTTCCTTTTAGTAACAAAGACGGTTTCAATTTGATCGAAGAGTGTAGAAAATTTCTTATTTTGCAACCGACAGTTTACATGAAAAAAATTCAAGCTTTGCAATTTTAAGTGTTTTGCTCTCATGATCATTTATTTCACAAGAATGAAGCTGAGAAAAGCAACCACTATTCTTTTCTGTTTTGTGATGTAGAACTATGTCTTAAGTATCAAGGTTCACGTTTTTTGTTTCAGTGAAAATTTGTTCTATACTCAGCCACCAAGGTGCTACTTAGTTGTATTTTGATTTTTCTTTTGATCATGTATGATAAACTTTTCCCCTTTAATTTTCAGATTGGTGCTTTTTTCAATGCCATTCTTAGCAAAAAAGAGGAGTTGAATACCTTACCCGACACCGGGCGCAAGCGTCAGCAAATCAATACCAAAGACAATTTCTGGCCGGCAACAGCTCGGACGAAAAATGCTGTTGAAGCTTGGTTCAAGGATCTAGCAGCCAGTAAACCTTTGATTTCTCTGTCTAAAAAGGTAAAGTTTGATCATAGAACTAAAAAAGTCTGTCATAATTTTAAAAGCTTAAAACTGTCTTCTGTCTAAAATTTATCAAAAAAAATTCTGAGAACCAAGAAAAATAGGGCAGTGGCAAAGAATTATTGGAAGGTTAAAATGTTGTTTTTCCGAAGTAAAATTTCATGGAAAAAACCAAAAAGTTCAAAAAAACATTTCTAAAGGGATGAAAACTAATCAAAACATTATCAATCAAAAGCTAACAATCGTTTGATGCAGCAAGGCGATGCCTAAAGCTTGGCTCAGCCAATCAATAAATGCCGTTTCCCCCACCTGCGTATGTCATCAGAGCCTGTCTTAAATATCATTTCAAATGGATCCCATTTTTGCTTTTCTCCAAGCAGCATTTCTTTCCTATTTGGGATAGAAAAAATATTGAAAATAGAAGATGCTAAGTTCAATCTGTATTTTCTGAAAATGAAATTTAAAAAATGTTTGCCATTGACCCATTGCAATGTTTTAATGAGTCTGTAGTACGAAGTCTTTAGATGTGTTTAGGAGGCAGTTAGTACCTAGGAAGTACTATTTTTAATACAATGATGTTGATTTTGAAGTTTTTTTCATCAGCCTCTGACCCCTCTCAGTCTCAGAATTAATCCAAACAATGAATTTAAATTAAGGATCAAATAATTTTTGAGTGATTTATGTTCAAAACTTTTTCTTTAACTGAAATGTAACTCATAATGCTCACTTTTTTGTTCTGCTTTGTCAAGTGAAAAGACAATAAATTTAATAATATTTAAATATTGCTTTGTAAGTACAACACTGAAGTATTAGTAAAAGATAGGGACAAAAGAAAAAAAAATGAATTAAATAATTAATATTTTTTGCAGGCTCCGAACTTCAACAAAAAAGAAGAAATTTTCATGATGCTGTGTGAGTATCAAGTTCCGATGTTACGAGCTGCCTGGTTCATTAAACTAAGTTCAGCCTACACGACTGCTGTCTCAGAGGCCAAAATGAAGAAAAGGCAACTACCAGATCCAACGCAAGGTTTGTTGAGTGGCTTTGGTTCTTTTTTCCCAATCGCGCAAGTATTAAAAACAATTGCTCCTCAAGAAACAGATTGTCTGAAGATATAAAAAATTCTCCATCATGATTGTAAAGAAATTCTTACGAATGTACAATTTTAAAGAGAAGACATCAGAAATACTTTAAATGTAGGTAGCTAACTTACTTGCGTTTAATATTTTTGAAGTGAATTTATTTCGCTGCTCTGATGTTAAACCTGGGGAGGAAAAGGGTTGTACCCTGTTTTTAGTCCCAAAATCCCCTTAATACTTGCAATGACTTTCAAAGTTGCAGTTGGAATGGTCTTCATTCACAACATTATGGGCAGATCTACCTTGTAGTCGCAAATTTTAAAAATAATCTGCGAATAATGGAAGCTTTGTTGAATTATTTTAACTATAGAGTTATTAAGGTCTTAATTTTTGTCTTTTATTAGGTTCTCATGCAAGGTGAGATTTTTAGGTCTCCTACAAGAAGCATGCCGATGGTGAACAATTTAATGTTTGTCTTGACAGGGAAAATCAGCTATTTAAATTAAGCAGGATTCTTCCCGATATTCAAAAATGGTCATTAATTTACAAAAAAAAATATTTTACTTGATGAAAGAAGAAATATTTAGTTACCGCCATGGATTATCTCTTTTCTCTTTTTTTATCGTGTGGTGACTCACAGACTTTTATGACTTCAATTATATTTGTAAAGAAAGGAAGGTATACCTCTTTATCTCAAACAACTGCCTTCAAACTCTCAATCCCAAATTTATTTTATATTTTTGGTAATTGTTCTTGCATTTACTATCCCTTACAGAATGGACGCAGACCTTAATCAAGTTTATGAAAGAGCAGTACGCAAAATTGCAAGATTACTATCACCAGTCTCTGCCCACCAATATACAGTCACTAGTACCTGATGAGCATAAATTAACATTGAAACATTGGCAATACTGTGTACAACTAACCAAACATATGTACCAGGTAATGTGTAGCTTTTCTTAAATTCTGTCTGCATCAAAACCATACCGGGTGTCCATAAAGTAACTGAAAAGTGGGTATAACTTTTGAACAAAAAAAGATAGAAGGTCGCGGTTTGTGGCATTCTTCATCATCCAAAAGGGGAAATTTTTCGATGGGGGGCTTTTCCTGGTGGACCCCCCTGGGGGGGCCCCAGGGGGGGGCAACTTCAAAAATTCAAATGGCAACCCCCATTTTTTTAGACATGATTAAAAAGAACTTAAAAAGACAAGAAAAATGGCGCAAATAAAATTAAAATCGGTTATTTCGTTCAAAAGTTACAGCCGGTCAAAGTTTTAAATTGACCACTTTTCAAAAAATCGCCGATGAGCTCCAAATTATCGGAAAAACAAAAACAAACCGGGAATGAAAAGTTTGAAAAGTGCTTTTTAGGAAGAGGAAAAACAACTGACGTTGTCACAAGTCTGGATGGCATTGTTTCAAAATAAAATTTCGGAAAATTCAACATGGCGGCAAATTTGAGGAAACGCAAAAAATGAAAATTCCAGAAACTGTTATCTTTCAAATACCCTCTAGTTTAAGGAAATCAAAGGTATCAACTTTTATTCCTTTATTTGGCCAAGTAAGAGCAAATTTGCTGACTTAAAAGTTGTCAAGCGGGGCGCCTTCAATCGTTGGAGTATGCGACATCACAGGATTAAGTGTGCTGTCGAAAAATGAAGCCGATGTGAAAAAGCGCTCCTCCTTTGGGATGCTTTAGAAATGTTTGAGGTCCTCCTCCTCAAATTTAACGAGAAAAAAGAAGAAAAGTAAAATTTAGCAATTTTTACCCACAAACTTGGCGAGCCAAAAAAACATGATTTATCCTGGTGGGGTAGGGGCGGTGGACATTTTTGACATTTCTCTCTCTGAAAATTAAAAATCCAAGAATAATTTTAATTCTCTAACTCCTGGCACTCCAATTTGGCAAGGAGGATATCTGCTACGCTTCACCGTGTCACCGATCAGATAGTGCATCAGATGTTACCGAAAAGATTGGTGTCTCAAATCGTAAGGTTGAGACTGTCAATAAGATAATCTCAATTCAGATAATAATCAAGAGTAGAACGGCGTCTTCGGAATTGGAAGCGTAGCAGATATCCTCCTTGCCGAACTGGAGTGCCAGGAGTTAGAGAATTAAAATTATTCTTGGATTTTTAATTTTCAGAGATAGAAATGTCAAAAATGTCCACCGCCCCTACCCCACCAGGATAAATCATGTTTTTTTGGCTCGCCAAGTTTGTGGGTAAAAATTGCTAAATTTTACTTTTCTTCTTTTTTCTCGTTAAATTTGAGGAGGAGGACCTCAAACATTTCTAAAGCATCCCAAAGGAGGAGCGCTTTTTCACATCGGCTTCATTTTTCGACAGCACACTTAATCCTGTGATGTCGCATACTCCAACGATTGAAGGCGCCCCGCTTGACAACTTTTAAGTCAGCAAATTTGCTCTTACTTGGCCAAATAAAGGAATAAAAGTTGATACCTTTGATTTCCTTAAACTAGAGGGTATTTGAAAGATAACAGTTTCTGGAATTTTCATTTTTTGCGTTTCCTCAAATTTGCCGCCATGTTGAATTTTCCGAAATTTTATTTTGAAACAATGCCATCCAGACTTGTGACAACGTCAGTTGTTTTTCCTCTTCCTAAAAAGCACTTTTCAAACTTTTCATTCCCGGTTTGTTTTTGTTTTTCCGATAATTTGGAGCTCATCGGCGATTTTTTGAAAAGTGGTCAATTTAAAACTTTGACCGGCTGTAACTTTTGAACGAAATAACCGATTTTAATTTTATTTGCGCCATTTTTCTTGTCTTTTTAAGTTCTTTTTAATCATGTCTAAAAAAATGGGGGTTGCCATTTGAATTTTTGAAGTTGCCCCCCCTGGGGCCCCCCCAGGGGGGTCCACCAGGAAAAGCCCCCCATCGAAAAATTTCCCCTTTTGGATGATGAAGAATGCCACAAACCGCGACCTTCTATCTTTTTTTGTTCAAAAGTTATACCCACTTTTCAGTTACTTTATGGACTCCCGGTATGTAAATTGTGGAACCAGAAAAGCATGTATCTGCAGTCCAGATTTCCTGTTATGATTTGCATTCTAGAAAGGAGGACTATCAATAATTTTTGTCAATATGCTTATCGGTATATCTCTGTACCTTTTTAAGATGAGTACTCCTGAAAAACTAATGGAAAAATACCAGGTAATATTCTTTTGCTTAATAATAAATGAAGAAACCTTTGGATCACTACAACGGAAATGTCTTTTCTCGTTTTAATATGAGTATTCATTTGAAATAAAAATTCTGAAAATCTGAAAATATTGTAATAGATTATCTGTGTATTTGACGAAACCATCTTGCAACAGGAACTTTAAAATGGGGAAAACTAATGGACCAAATAGATACTTTTTTCCAAATTCCACTTGACATCTTTTTTCAAACAAAGTAAGCATCAAGATCAGTGAATCCAGAAACTAATTTTAATTATGTCATTTCCTACAATTAGTGCAAAACTGTCAATTTCTTTTCACTCCTAGCAGTTTCTTGTCTGACCGTAACATCCAAAGTTTCACTTTTCAGTCCACAAGTATCCTACTCTTGCTCGTAATTTAATTTTTTTCCCAGAGCATCTCAGTCCGATGTCAAATTAATCTCCATTAGATCCGGCAATGACAGACCTTTTCTTTTTTTGATAGTTTTATTTTTTGCTCTTATTTAGGATGGTTTATTGGACAAACAAGAGTTGCTGAATTGGATCCTAGACCTTCTTGAGAAGTCCAGATCGGGTACCAACAATGAAGATAATATCCTAAAGCTTTTCATCCCTTTCACTCTCCAGTACATGCACGAGTTTGTACAATCAGAACTGCTGGCCCGTAAACTTGCATACTTTGCCACAAGAAAACTGGCTCAGCTATGTTCAAACGCAGAGCTAACCACACCTAGAATCCAGGACAGTCCTTCTGTGCAGCAAAACGCCAACAGCAGTAACAATGCCACCAGTAACAACAGCGGTAACAACAATAGTAATAGCATCACAAGTAGCGGCACCAATAGCAGTGGCAATAATAGTGGTAGCGGAAACAGCAATTGTAATGGCACAGGTGGTGGAAATAATTTGAATAGCTGCAGTAGTGCTCTCATGGCAACGTTCAGTGAATACCTAGCGTGTTCTCATCATAGAGACATCATTCTAGGACTCAGCTGTATAATACAGGTTTGTTCAATTCATAATTTGGAGTTTTATTTTTCGGCAATGAAAGTATTTGTTATGAACTTTGCAAGGAGCCATTCAAGTATTGCGCTGTTCACTCAAGGAGTGGTTGCGAGTCAAAAATGGTGTGTTTAATAAAAATTAGCAGGAAGATCAAAACAAACAGTGCTTGTTAAGTCAAGTGGAGAAATTATCTTGAAAAATCATCTACCTCAAAAAAATTGTAAAATACCTTCAGAAAGAAGCATAGCGAATGATCTTTTCAGGATCTTTTTTGTGCTTTGAGAAGAAAGTGGTGCAGAAGATTTTTCAAGCGCGTCTTCTGACTTTTTAATGGCTCTTCATCAAAAAAATTTGTTTCTCATGTTTGCAAAAGTTCAAGTTTTCCCAAGATTTCTGAGGTAAGGTTTTTTTTCTCTCTTTTCTTTCAATGTATGAAAATCAAACTTGTTAAATTTAAATAGCTGACAATGTCCAAGTACCCAGCTGAAGAATGCTCGCATTAAAACTGCAAATGTTGAAACTTCTGTGTTTTCCTTTTCATGCAAGAGTATTTTTTTTGTTATCAAATTGACAAGAATATGAATTGAAAAACATGTGGAACCTCATTTCAGAAAGTATCTCAAATTCTGGTATTGTTTTTGCAGATTGCAATTAATACTCTTCTTATCTAATTACAGGTCATAACTTTAGAATGTCCCACGGCACTAGTTTGGAATTGCATAGGCGAGGGCAAGTCTCCTTCTGTTCTCAATGGCTCACCTTTAGATCATTTACCTTGCACTCCAGCAGCTTTACCCATGCCCCACCGTACATCAAATCCGCACATTAGAAACCAGCTACGGCTCGGCGAAGAACTCATCCGGCAGAGAAGTCTAGCTGCGGAAGGCAGATGGTCCTGTGATAAGTGGCAACAGACATCTGCAGGTGCAACCACAACTAGAGTACTTGCAGTACTAGATACCTTAGATAGACACAGCTTTGACAGAGTGGATGCTACAAACTCCCTTGAAACACTCTATGCCAAAATATTTGCACCCACACCAACATCAGCGGGAACGAATAAGGATTCACCAAACGCCACGGACGCTACAAAAGAAGATAATGTAAAAGAAAGTCGGACCGACTATAATGTGTCTGAAGATGAAGCCGTGGTTGGGATTTTGTGCGAGTGGGCTGTGAGCGGACTACGGTATGGGGAGCATCGAGCGATGGCTGTCGCAAAATTGTTGGAAAAACGCCAGCAGGAGATCTTGAACATAACAAACCATAGCAATGAGACGGATCAGGGCGACGACAAAGACTCAACTGCATCATTACCTGCAGGGCTCCCCATATTCCAGCCATTACTCATGAAGTTCTTGGACAATGATGCACCTGTTTTAGGTATGGCCCTTTGATGATAACTTCTTTTCTCTGAAATATAGATGTAGCTCCAACTAGAATTAATCATAAATCTCAGAATTCAAATGACAATTAATTTTTATCGAAAGCAACACAACTTACTAAATGATGTATTTAAAATGTTCTCATAATATTATGTATGAATGAAATTCTAATTCATGTTTGTAATGCATATGCAAAATGTGTCTTTCAAATCTCTTCTTTTTATTTAAAAAGAAAAAAAACCTTTTTCATATTCTTTATCAGCAAAGAAAATTAGTTTGTAGAAAATAAGTTAGGTGGTTTTTAACTGTATCCCGAATGCATTCCAACGGGGAACCACCTTTCCACCAAAAGTGCAATGTTTGAGTTCGGTTTTCTTTTTTTTCAGATGACAATCCAACACCTCAGAATAAAACAGTGTTCACCAATCTTGTTCACTTGTTTGCGGAATTAGTACGTTGTGATGTGTTCTCTCATGATGCTTATATGTGCACGCTCATTTCTCGTGGTGACCTGAACACGAGCAATCCAGCAGGTATGGCAGCCCGCTCAGGAATCACCAAACAAGCAGACACGTCTGGAACCAGTGGGCATGATGACGATGCCCTTCCTTTCGACCTGAAACCACCAAAATTAGAAGACCATAGCCGACCTATGGATTATGACGATGATTGTAAAATTGACTATGACCTAGACAAGTTACTGCAACATATCAAAGAAGAGCAGCAAAACTCAATGGACGGCCCTGAGTCCCCGAAAGATGTGCATGGGGTATTGGGAATGGGTGACTCACACCATCTCATTAAATCTAAACCGTCACGCCATTTGCTGTACACGACGCATTTTCCATTGCCGCAGGATGAGTCAAGTGCCCACGATTGCAATCAGCGTCACGTATTGCTTTATGGCTTTGGCAAAGTTCGGGATGAAGCCAGGCATCAAATCAAGAAAATAGTGAAAGACATCGGCAAGCTTTTCGGCAAGAAATTTAGCATTGATGTAGCAGATGGTAAAGTAAAAAAACACTCGCGAAGTGACTTCAATTTTGAGGCAACAACTGCACGGTTCCAGGCTCTGTCCTACTTTGACCAGCACTACGTTACGTGGCAATGCAGTGTGACAATTTTAGAACTCATCAGCGCTTTTGAATCTGGTGTTTCAAACTACCTTCCTGTACCTGAACACGTCGCATTTTTATTTGACCTGATGGAGCTTGCATTCAACATTTATGGATTGATCGATTTATGTCTGCAAATTTTGAAAGAGATTCCAGAAGTAGAATCGCAGTTGGCCGCTAAGAATTCTGTTTTGACAAAAAGCTATACAAATTTAATGGTGTTGTACATAGTTGGAGTTTTAAGGCGATATCATGCTTGCCTGCTCTTATCACCCGAGCAAACAATTGGTGTGTTTGAGGGCTTATGTCGTGTTGTAAAGCATGTCGCCATACCAGGTGACTGTTCCAGTGTTGAACGGTGTGTTCTTTCACACTTGTATGATCTGTACTCGTCTTGTTCTCTGCTAAAATCTCGGCCACATGGAGGTGATCCATTTAGCAATGCTTATCCTAAAATCAAGCAGGCATTGTACACGTCATTGACTCCATCGCCTAGTAATCACACGGCCTGGAACTCAACTTTCATGGTGGATGTTATTCAGACGTACAAAAGAGGGGGTGAGTTGTTCAACATTTGTATATTTTTCAACTACACATTATCAAGTTTTGACTCCATCATGAGCATTTGAGGAAATAGAATCTATTTATTGTGAAGACTGTCTATCAGAAACTTCATGTAAACTGAGTTTGAATGTTCAGGAATACCCTGATCATTTGATCCTGGTTGTTTGTAAGAAATCACGTATCATGATATCTCTGAAAAAAAAACCGCCTCATTTATGGCCTTATTGTCAATTTAGCTTTCAAGTACTACTAGTTTACTAGTTTACCATTTGCTTCTGTGAATAAGTCTTGTGTATTAAGCACATTTTATTTATCATTTAATTGTCCTTTATGGTATTATTTCAGCAAAAATTGAGCCAATCTGGGCACGCCAACTTGCAGAGCACTCTGCTAACCGTTACAGCTTGGTGTGTAATGCCGTTATTGCCCTTGTCAGCGAAACCCAAGATATTGATCGTTTGAATGATATCGCCATCTTGTGTGCAGAATTAACTGCGTGTTGTAACATGCTCTCTACAGAGTGGCTAGGTATTGATTTCATCTGTATTAGTATTACAAAATTATCAATTTTAATCCTTTTAAGGTCTCAGGTATTGTAGTCGGTTTGATATTTTGAGGTTGCTTTGCATATTCATGCCATAAACCACATCAAAAGTTTCATAAATCAAATGCACATGTACATTGTACAAGAATCTTTTGCTGGTATCTTTAAGTAACTTCATTTGAGGTAATGTGTAAAAAGGTGTTGGTCCTATCAATGTGCAAATACTTGAGCAGATGAAGCCTGAAAGATAGCTCAAAAAAAGGTTTGCAAGCAACTAGGTTTACCGTTTTTGGATTTCAAGTAAAACTTTCGTATCAACCATATCTTTGGCATTTCTTGATGATTCCAATCTATTTTTCACCTTTTTCCCAAGTTAATTGAATATCTGATTTGATTCATTGCAGGAGTGCTGATGGCTTTGTGCTGTTCTTCAAATCATCCCTCCTACTTTGGTGATGTGTTGTCTCGGGTTGATGTACAAGACCTCAGTATACATAATCCTCTGGCTGTCTTTACCTGTATTCTAGTTGCTAGGCATTGTTTTTCCTTAGAAGATTTTGTTGCTCACGTTGCGCTTCCATCTTTACTAACTGTTTGCAATGAAGGTTTGTCTCTTTATTTTTTTAAGCCATTACAATGTTACAAACATTGATGTTCTAAAGTTACTGGAATTCTTAAGTTGATGGTTTTGTGAAGTCCTTTTAATTTAGAATACAATACTTTTAGTAATCTCACAGAACATGTAAATCCATGAAAAATAGGCAGAACAAAATGTATCTTTCCATCGTAGAATCAATTTATCAAAGAGCTGTAAATGGAGCAGTGATGTGTCTTGTAATTAAATATCTCAATATTGGACCCCATTCTGGTTGTAAATAAAGTTACAGAAGATTTGTCGGTTAATCCGGAATATTCAGCTCAGAAAAATTTGTTTCCTTGTACTCCTGTGCTCCTTTTAGTTTCTGTGTTTTTTTTTATGAAATCGCTGTCTATCAACAAAATTTTGGCTAAATGTATTTGCCAAAGCATATAACATTGGAAGTAATGAAACTAAACTAATATAATATTAAATGTCCAAGATTTACCATAACCAAAACAAATAAAAAATTACTACAAACTGCAGAGTTTAACCACTGCAGGATGAAGCGTTTTCTTGACCTCTTGATATGTTGTCAATTTTTTGAACCAGTTATTAGTCTGTAATCTATCTATCCATTTTCTATCCCAGGTCGTAGGGACGCAGACGATGATGCAGAAGCGGGTGCAAGATTAACATGTCACTTACTTCTACGGCTCTTCAAAACTGTTGAAGTTCCTCAACCTGGTCTTTATTCTGTTGGTAAGTTGAACAAATTTATATGTTGCAGAAGGATACAGATTAATTTTTTTGCCAAAGAAAAAAAAACAAGTCTATTTCTGAAGGAACACTGAAGTGCCAATATTCCAATATTTCTAAGGGCTCATTTGAAGATAGATGTTTTCTCTTTAAAAAAAATATGAACTAAATTCACGGAGGCCCCACTCAACATTGCATAATCTGTAGAAGAACAATGCGCAGAGCAATTTACAACTGGAGAGTTAAAAAAGCACCCATTAGTTTCGTAGACCAACTGTGGGAATTGGTCAAGTTCAATTGTTCCTTGCTAAGTCAATCAAAATGAACGTTTTTTAGGTATCCGTTGTAGACCATTACGTTGCCTATTTGGCCACTTGGGCCCAGCAAATATGAAGGGAAAGCTTTCGGAGGTGCTGCACAATAAAAAGTAATCCACCGAAAGACCAAGCTGATTGAACCTGTTTTTCTTAAAAGATGCCCATTGTTTTATTTTTTCTTTTATTTCTACTGCTCTCTTTAACCGCACTCTCTGTTCTTGTTCTTAGGCACCTCACCCCACCCTGTCCCTACTCCAGGAGTACATTCAAGTATCAAGCTAAGCTGTGATAGGCACCTGCTGGCAGCAGCCCACAACAACATCCGTGTTGGGCCGGTCCTGGCAGTTTTGAAGGTAAGCTTCCGTTGTTACAACTGCTCAAGAAGCACATTACACACTATACCACTAATTGCTGACAAAGACTGTTGAGTTCAAGATGTAACAAGCATGCAACTTGTCACAGTGGTTCTCGTCCAGAATTCGATACTTTTAAAGGGTTTCCCAGAGGCCCATTCTCCAAGTCCTCAGAGTCAATTAGTCAAAGTTAGATTTAGTATCTGAAAACAAGTGTAATATGTATGGAACCGAAACATTTTATTGAGTTTCTGGAGGCCGAAATTCAAATTAGAATGTAGCTCATCGTATTGGAGCATCAGTAGTCACCAAAGCCTCACTATCTTACATATTACTCTCTGTAAAAGCTTTTCTTTGTTTCATATGTAAAATACCCAATTCGATTTTCAGGCCATTCTAGTCGTTGGTGATGCAACAGCAAATCGCCCAAGCACCTCCATCAAAAGGTCACCATCTGCTCTACAGGCAAATTCTGGAGGCAGTAAACTCTCAGGGGAACTTAGTATATCTCACATACTGGGCACATCAGATCTCAACTCCACAGACCATTTCCTAGATCTAGGGTGAGTTTTTGAATGTGCTTTAATCATTAAGTGGTAATCTTGTATTGTAAATTTTGTGTTTCTGGAAGAACGCATTGGACAACTGACCTCAAAATCTAGCATTCGCAGATCTTATTAAGTCAGCTGTGCTAATGCTAATTAAACTACATGTTCCTCTTGCTGTAAAGTTTCCCTGAAGATGTCGAAAGTTGATGCAGTTGTGCCGGAAATTTTTCAAACCAGCACAGAAAGGAGTAATGCTGTGGTTATATAGCGTGTAAAATATCCTCAGGATTGTTGAAAATATTGAAAGAAGTCTCTTTTTTTCCTCATGAAGATTTTTGTGGTAGAATGGTTTATTGCATTTCCAATGGTGACTTCTTGTTATTCAGGGATGCAGAAAGTTTATGGTCTGCCAATTTTTTTCAGATCAGCTTCTCCATTTTGAAGTCTCTCATTTACAGCCTTCCCATATTTTCAGAGCCCTCCAATTTTTGTATGTGACTGCTCGCAGCCCATTGGTCGTGTCGTCAAAAAGTTTCTGCACCCCTTTTGTGGTCATTTAAGAATGAGAAGGAAAATAAGTCATTTTCAGTCTTAATAGTAATTTTTCACTTGTGTATGTGTAATTCCGCTGTTTTGAAGTGTAATTAGTCTCTCTCCGAAACATAATATATCTATTTCAATAATCTGTTTAGTGGTGGAGGATTCGGAGGGATGGATGCCAACGCTCCAAACCTATCTGATTTTGCTCAATTAGTACTCAAAGAAATATGTAGTCAAGAATGGGTTCTGGAACACTGTCTCCAAAATCCAGAGGAGCTTTGCCAGGAAGATCTGCTTCTAGATAGTATGCTGACTCCAAAACAGGTACATATTTGTTCAATTGTTAACTTCTACTTGAAAGATTTCAAATGTGTTTTTCAGTATCGTAATCACTCAGACGCATGAAAAAATCTAACGAAAAGGCATTACAGGAACAGTTTGTATGCAAGTGAAGCATTTGACAAAATCAATACATATACTAGTCTAGAATTGTGTCTCATGTTGAAAATTGTTCTAGAGTTCTGCATTTCTCACTTACATCTGAAAAAGTTCTGTACGTAGGACAAGTTCTGTGATGAATTCTTTTGCATTTATTATTCATAAATTTCTCCTCTTCAGCACTTTTATACTGCTCTATAATGTTATCAACTTCTTGCAAATCTAGTCCAGGTAGACAAGCAAAATAGATGAGAGTTAACCTTACTGCATAATTACAATAGGTACTGCAATATGAACTTTACTTAACTTAAAAAAAAATTGTTCACACATTCATTGAATCTTTCATCTTAAATTACAGGCACAAAGGTTGCTGCACATGATCTGTTATCCGGACAGGCCAGCCTCAGAAGCAAATATGGATTACAAGACCATTATTGTAAATATTTTAGAGGTAGGTTCTAACATCAATGCTGAAAATATGTAGATACACCTTTATTATCAATGCTTTTCCTCAAAAGCCTGCTCATGATATCAGTCATCAACTCCAGTCTATTGTGATGCCCCAAAATCAATTTGATGCAGGATAAAACAACATGAGTAACCAAAGAGAACAGACTGCGTCAAGAAGTCTAGGATATTTCACAACCAAATATGTTTAAGGTTGGATTCTCATATATCAGATTTCATTGTTTAGTTGTTTTTAATTTTTTGTTTTAATCATTGGGTTGATTCATTGGGATAGCAAGGAATTAAAATAAAACTCAAAAATGTGTTTGGTTTAATTAGAGGAGTGTTTTGAGTCATTGCAAATCTGCTGTTAAGATACAGTTCCTACACTGATTTCTTTTTGTGCCGTTGAAGAAAAAAAGAAAAAAGATGAAAAAGTTACAACTAATCCTTGTTCTAAAAGTCATCATAACTGATCAAACCTCAAAGGAGCCAACTGCTACTATTTTTTTTTTAATTTTACAAAGATGCAGGCAGTTTTACATTCTTGATACTATTTTTATCTTTCTTTTTTTTTTGTAAGAAACAGAGATTTTAGTTGTTTTGTATGGTCTGAAGTTCTTCTGAATGAACATTCGGCAACTGCAAATAATGAAAATTTTGTATCCGTGGAAACTTTAAACTTGAGAAAGTGTGACTACTGTAGAATTCCATAGAAATCAGAAAGAATCACTAGTCAAACTGTAGATGAGTGCCTTGATCAATCCCATTTTGTATTTTAATTTCAGAATTTAGATCAATGGACGCTTCGAATGTCTTGGTTGGATATGCAATTAATGTACAAGCAGTTTTCAAACAGCCCATCCGAGTTAAACCAGTGGCTTGATACTGTTGCCAAAGCAACCATTGATGTATTTCAATTGACTTCTCCAAACTCAAAGTAAGTTCTACTGTTCCTACAAGTCTGTTGTATTCTGAACGTCACCAAAAAGAAAAATGTATGATTGAAAGAAAAATATCACCACCCTTCTTCCTTACTATGATTCAAATTTTACAGACAGATTTTATGCACTCCGGAGAAATTCTATTTTCAGCATCAGTGCTCTAAATTTATTGGATGCTTCGCATAAAATAGGCCTAATAATGAGAGGTAAAAAAAAAAAAAAACAGTTGACAAAATCCTAATTTCCGTTGCATTCCTATTCCCTGCAAAATTTCATGCTGAAACATCAACTCACTCAATGCTCAAGAAAATGAACTATAAAAAATAGGTTGACTCATTCTCAGCGTGCCAGAGATCTTATGACTTGTGTCAATGCACTCTCATTTTTTTTATTGGCTATTTTTCAGGGGTGAAGCAGCTGAAATGAAAGGGAAACCAGAATCTATTTGGCTTGTTGCTCCACTGGTTTCAAAATTATCGAGTGCAGTTCAGGGCCGCCTTCTGAAAGTTGCAGGTATTGCTTTCTGCACCCTTTAACCATGAAATTACTATCAAAAATAAATCATGGTTCAATTGTCTTGGAAAAATATGAAATATGGATGAAAAGAGTGTATTAAATTATTTGAATATTGCTTATGACACATAAAAAGAGGAGTCATTCTGAATCGGGAGATATATTGACCAACCTAAAATTTAGATTTCCTCCTTTCATCTAGAAGAATGGCACATATGCAAATAGTATTGACATTTTTTATTGCCCCTGTTAAGTCCTCACAGCATATTCCCTGCCAAAGTGTCATAGCATCATTCTTCCTGCTGGGACTGCATAATTCAAACGCTCCATACGGATAGCCTTGTTGCAAAAAATTCCTATCCATGATGCAAGCAACTAGTACTCTGTAATTAGTTCATTGGAGAATTCACAGAGGGCATTTCTCATGGATCCATTCAAAGTTTAAAATAGCGCTCAGCTGAGTAATGTTGAAGCAATTAATGAGGTAAGGAATATGTCAATTAAATATTTTTTTTCTTCAACAGGTCAGGTGCTAGAAAACGGAGTTCTTCAAGGGACGCCAAGCAGTAGTAGTGGGCGAAACAAGGGTTCTCAAGGTCGCAGCAACCAAACAACGTTGCTGAGTCATCATCAACCATTTCTCTCTCTTGTGCTCACTTGTTTAAAAGGCCAGGATGATGAAAGAGAGAGTTTACTCACATCCTTACACTCACAACTCTCTCAGCTGCTATCTGTACCAAAAGAGGCAAGTAGAATTTTTTAGAATAATACAAGAATTATACATGAGAAAGTTGAAAACCAGTCAAATTACACAAATGGAAAAGGCCCATCTTTTTTCTGGTCATAGCTCCAAAAAATCTTCTGATTTTGACAGGACCAGAGGGATTAATGCATTTTCAAAATGTTCGCTGTCATGGTATTTTACTCTTATGCTCTCTTGCCTTTTAGGCAACTGAATGCCTGTAACATTGATGAGCTCGCATCTTCTGGAATAGGTAGATATTTCTTCAAAATCTACTAAAAAATACACTAGGATATCTAAATTTTATCATAAAAAATCTTCCGATGATCTAATTGACCAACCTACTTGCAACTGTGTCAATATTTCGGTGTCACACCTCACCAAACATTATTTTCATATCTTTGGATTTCTTTAATTTTTTACCATTTTTAAATGGTCAGACCAGATGGTTAACGCATCTACAAAGTTTACAACATATTCTTTGCATTGCTTTGCTTACCATTTCATTTTAGGTTACTAATGTGGATTTCGAATTTTTACAGGAGAGATTGGCAGACATGACCAAAAGTTCGATCAACAGTGCTCTGTTGTTACGGTTTAGTCTTGTAGGTGGAATGTTCGATACGATTCAACGGAGTACAAATTTAACCACAGACTGGGCTGTCTTACTCGTTCAGCTTGTAACCTATGGAGTCATTGACCTCAATAATAACTCGTAAGAATCTTATTCTGGTGTAAATATCTTTAAAAGATGGTGTTAAAGAAAATTGTAATTTGTATTTGAAATCAAGGAATTGTCGTAGGTGTGCAGAAAATGCCTAATCTTACTATCATAGGATCGCTGCAAATGTAAGGCAAATCTTGAGTCGAGGGACAATTTCAATGATATTTTTTTCCTCTATCAATATTTTAAAAAAATGGAAAAAATCAACTCATTTTACAGTAAAATCAGGCATTTCACCATATAACGGAAAAGGCTGTCAGGCCAAGTGGAAAAGCAACTGAGATAAAAACGTTAGATTGAGGTGAATGGTTGGTGTTAGTAAGTTTTTATACCTCTTGTCGGTTAATTTATTCGTTTCTGACATAACATGCAGACTGTCATTTACTTTTCCTTTTAAATAAATTTGAGGTTAGTTTTTTTTTTTTATTTCACTGTTGAACATGTGGACAATTGGAAAAAATGGATGCAAAATGTGCTCTCAAAAAAAATCCTTATCAAGAGGCAAATTTCAAGAAATTGGCAAGCCATTTTATGTGTCCAGAATCTAAGCTAATCAAAGGATATTTTATTAAAAGATGTCAGCTTTCTCTCATTTTAAATTTTCTTTTTTAAACTTGTTATAATCTAACATGCTTTGACTTTTTGTTTGTCTAGTGAACTCTTCAGTACAGTCGTTGACATGCTGGCAACATTGATTCATTCAACTCTCGTCTCAGATTCTTTGTCTGAAAAAGGAGAAGAAAATCGCAAGCATCACCAAAATCTCATAAAAAAATTGAAGAAGGTAATTTAACTCAAGTTTTCATGAATATCATTCAAAATAACCTAAACCTATTTCATTCTCAAACTTGGGATAAATGTTCATCAGAATTACCGTTGTTTTACTTTAAACAGGAAGACTAAATTTTTCCCTAAAACCCTTGAACAATTCATAAATCACAAAAATTCCAGGGGAAAAATTTTTTAACTTGAAAATATCGCCTTGCAAAATACCTTAGGCGATTCTACAATGTCTTAGTCGTTGAGCCTGGTTCAGCGTATCCCACAACTTTGTTTCAGCGCTTTATTTTTCAAAATGTATTCTCTTAACTGCATTTTTCTTTTGAATTTAGGAGATCGGCGACCGTATTTCACCATCATTAGTGCATGTGAGGCAGTTGCTTCCACTAACAAAAACGCAATGTGAAGTAATTGCGTCTGAACAGATCGGTTGCCTAACAGACACAAAAGGCAATAAAATCGCAGGATTTGACTGCATTGATAAAAAACGGGTAAGCTTTGAAGTTTCTCTATGAGGTTTTTACTTCTATTTCAAACTAATTGTAAGCGATTAAATTCTGATCATTAATCAGCGTTTTTTTATCCAACGGAATCCACAAAAGTTTCTTCCCACATCCTTTTAACTAATGATCATGCTGTGCCTACTCATTATCTCACTTTGAAGAGAGTGCAATTAATTTTGCTTTATATATTGGTTCCTATCATTACTCTAAAAGCCCATTTGTTTTCAGCATGCTTCCAAAGTCAAAATTCATATCTGAAAGGGACGTCTTGTAGCCTGCAGCTTTAAATTTTTATTTTTAGTGAAAGTTTTCCAATTTCCAATTCGTGTTTTTGTAGTCAAGCTACTCATATTTTGTCACAATCTTTTCCTGTAAGTTTCACTGGACTGCTTCACTTCTCTTTACTAACTAAAAATTGAAGCTTCCTTTGACAAAAATTTAATTTTTTTTTTCACAGGGTCTTCAAGTATCTGAGAAGCAAAAAGTGAGTCCATGGGATCTTCTGGAAGCCCACAAGAATCCAGCGCCTCTTTCGTGGGCTTGGTTTGGTGCCGTGCGCATCGAACGCAAGCCCTTGTGGTATGAGGAAAATCACCGTCTCCTAAAATTCCACACTCATTCCCTCCTTAAACCATCCTCCTATTTCCTCGAACAAATCCCCTTACCTCCTGAGGACCTGGAGCCTCCCCAGGACAAACCAGTAAGTATTAATTTAATTTTCTTTGACAATAAAGAAACTTCATCCATCTTTTCCTCAGCTCGTTTTTGCTTTTTAATCACCCTGAACATGTTTTTCAATTGTAGTTTCACAATTACAAATTATTAATTATTTTAAATTTCAATTTTTTGAAGTCTTTGAGTCTTGAAGTCTTTATTGCATTCATTTTCAAAACGATATCTAGAAATTTTTATGAGCATTTGAAAGAAAGAAAAGCTCTGAATATTTTTAGCCAATGATATTTCTCACGGCGGTAAATTTTAAGGAGCAAGAAAATATAGAAAAATTGAAAGCACTTAATTTTTCCAAATATTTTATCAGTAAAACGTTCTAAATGTTTTCTTAGTGTTCTCTTGTGCAAAAAAACCCTCTCGGTGATAAGTTCTTCAGTTTTTAAAGTGCATCAATCAAGTTGTTTCTAGATTTCAAATAATTACTTTCCAAATTCGAGCTGTGATTCTCCAACTATCAGACGTTTTGAGTCTTCTAAATATTCATAATCAGAACCCTTGCCGCGTCATGTTATTTTTCCTCACCATTCAGTATCATTTTTATTTAATTTTCTTTATCTATTTGTTCATTTTCATTTGTCCATTGTATTCGTTCTCAGTTTTGATTTTATTGATTTTTAAATATTCCAACAGAACACTTTTTTGGGCTTCTTACCCCCTTAAAAATTATGCCAAAAAAATAGTGGGAAAATAATCAAATTGTATACATAACAAAGAAGTTTTGATTATTTTAATGCATATGATGATATTCTCATAGTAGTTTGAAATCTTTTGCACTCATTTCAATTGCTGGAGAAAGCCTAGTTTAACCTTGGTGAATTTCTATCAAAACTATGGGAAATCTGTTTGAATAAAAGAACCAGATCAGGTAAATTCAAATATCCTAGATAACCTGACGAAAATCTGAGGGATTACCCGTCTAGACTCTAGAGGTTGACCTCAGTCAATTGACTCTCAATTGATGCCCTCTTCGCAGTGATAATTTCAATTCAGTTAAAAAAAATTTATTCAAATTTTGTGTTCTTTTATTTATTTATCTTTTTAAGTTTTATTTAGTTTTAAGTTTTATTTAGTTTTTAGTTTTATTATGATTTTCGTTTCTCTCCCGTTCGAATTTATTTTGCCCTTGGATCGGGCGGGTACGAGAACAGTTTTTTCACCTGAAATGTAGTGTCCTTGTGTGTATTGCAACCAGATGAAAGGAAACCTCACAGCAGGAGCAGAGCCACCAACAGCAGTCGACCAATCACCTCGCAGCGGAGTCAAGCGTGGTGCCAAGACCCCAGCTGTCGGACCCCCGCGCCGGAAAAAGCAGCCGACTAAACCCATCACACCGACCGGACCCATGCCACCAGGCATGCATCCTAATCAAGTCCAGGTAACCAACTTATGATCATCAGCTTTATAATTCCATGTTTCAGTGGAAATTAATTACAGGCAATAAGTTTATGATTATGTGTAAAATCAAGGCAGCTAATTTTTTTAAATACAAACCGCAAGCTCTAAATGAAATTTATTTCACTGCCACTCAAAAATATAATTGTAAGTTGGGTTGTTCCAAGTGGAACATCTGTGCCAACAAACTCATTGTGGTACCAGAAAGGTTTGTCACTGCCTATTTTGAACCTAATGGAAAGTTTTGACAACCCAGTTTTATCTGCATGGATGTTGCTGTTATCACATGACATTAGTTTTAGTAATTTGAACTTCAGTATAATCCAGTGATTACAGATATCTTTAAAATTTTCAAACATCATAAATTCTTTTAAGGTTTTTTTTTTTCTAATGAACTTTTTACTGTTGAGTTCACTGCTGTTTGAAATTACATTATTAGTAATACCCATCTTCATGGTAAAGAAATGTTAATGTTCCTTGCTCGTCTAGTTTGTATAAGAAAGGTTTTAACTCTCAAGGAAGGTTGTAAACAACTAACTGTAAAATAACAATTGCCTATCGTTTTTCTCAGTGTATCATTTAAGCCATCACTTCTGTGCTCTCAATATATTTTTTATTAATTTTTTTCAGCAACCGAATCAACCCGGTATGCATGTTAGTAACTATCCGAATCAAAACCAAGGTGGAGCCATGTATCCTGGCCCGATGCAGCCTGGTCCCGGCCCGGGCCAGGGTCCTGGCCCTGGAGCTCAATGGGGTTACGGACAACAACATGCACCTCAGCAGCCACCTAATTCATACTACTCGCAACAACTTCCTCCACAAGGTATGTCTCCATTCATTCAGATAAATCACAGCCCCAAGGATGGTTATGATTTTTTGTAAGAACCAAATATCTGCACATTAAACAAATAGGAATTTTGCATGGGAAGTTGTGTAATTCATAGCGCCAAGGTGTTATAATAGTTAACTTTTTATTCAGAGTGCCGAAGCTTTTTGATCATTATGACCGTTTTCAAGTAAGCATAAAGGCAAGGCAAGTTTACTTGGATGGCGCACTATGGCGATGTTATTATGGCGGACAAATTCATTTGCATGCAGTATTTCAAAATCAAATTTCAGGAAGCAGAACCCATCGGTCTGCTAATAGAACTGTAAAACTTGAATATCCCCTGAAGCATTGTATATTGATGGTTTCAGGGGTGCAAATTGTTCTAGGCTCCCATAATTTTCTGCAACGGTTGGGTTATCGCGAGAAAGTCAACACAGTGCGCTTATCAAAATTTTGTCAATTTTTTTATCATTTTGTGTCAAAGTTTGCGTTTTCCTAGGAAAGTTGAAAAGTTGAATAAAAGAATTTTAACCCTCTGGGAGGGGGGGGGGGACTTGGCTTCCACAATTTTTAGAGGCTTACCTGAATTTGGCACTACATTTATAGATAATAAGCTCCAGAGATTTTTTACCGCATTAAAGGACCCCGCACACCTCTTACAGGAAGCTGCACCATGACGGATTGCCTTTGGACTTATGTCATTTGATTCTCCTCAAAATGCTGATCAAAAGTTATATGTACGCCAACTCTCTACGATGCACCGTTTTCGCAAAAAACCTTAGAGAAGATTCAATTATTTGGCGACCATGAATAAAAAAGAACCAAGCATTTGAGGACAGGCCCGATGTAAATAAGGAAAAAGCGTAGCACGTGTCCGTCTTCTTATCTGTACCTGCCGACTCAGGGGCTATCTTTCTCCCGCACTCGTCCGGTAGACGTTCAGACTTTCCTGTTCTTATGCTCCTCAAGAATCTGATTTGTATGGTCGAGCAAAACGGCGAGCGGAATTCGAGTAAGACTGCCGCTCAGTGCGTGAGTTCCCCTGATTTGTTCACTCGAGTACTGAAATGAGGAATCTCTCTGGCTCTTTATCGCCGAATAATTGAATCCTCTTTTAGGTTTTTTACGAAAACGGTGCATCGTAGAAAGTTGGCGCACATATAACTTATGATCAGCATCTTGAGGAGAATCGAATGACATAAGTCAGAAGGCAATCTGTCATGGTGCAGCTTCCCATAAGAGGTGTGCGGGGTCCTTTGCATATTTATGGTGCAATTTGTGCAGTCATCAGTGTTTTCTCTGATGATTACACTGATGGATGGGGAGTGAGAGTCACTAAATCTTGAAGTATCATACATTTTGTCGGATTCATCACTAAAACTTTCACTTGATGTTTTCAGTGGCTGGAGGTGGACCAAGATTCGAACGACCTGTGAGTCACACGAAACAAGCCCTGTCGAATATGCTACGAATTAGAGTGCCACCAAACCAGTATATGAGTGGCGGTCAGGCTGGTCCAGTACCTGGCCCGGGCGGCCCTGGAGGTCCCGGAGGTCCAGGTGGTCCCGGCGCTGGTCCTGGTCCTGGTCCGGGACCTGGACCAGGGCCTGGCCCGGGAATGCCTCCCAATTTCCAAGGAATGCCAAGGCCGCAGTTCATCAGGTATTTCAAACTTGAATTGAGCTTTTTAATAGTTACATTTTTACTTCAACTCTTTGACCACCTTGTTGGGAAATATGACTGAGTAGGACAGGCCCTGCTCATGTGATGGCTCAGTCTTTGCTGTGAATCGACCAATTCAAAATTTTCCCCGGGTAACGCTCAACATGAGCTCACATAGGTACATTTTTTTACCCCAATTTTTGTTATTTTTTTTCATTTCTGATAAGTTTTCTCTACTTTTTCAATCTTACGTAACCAATGCTGTAGCATTGGTAACACTAGATTACTATATGATAAGAATATGAAAAAATGTTCACATTTTATAAAGATCAATGAAGTGACGAACTAGATGCATAAACTAAAATGAACCAAAAATCAGTTATTTATCTTATATATAGATAGAATAGATAAATTAAATAATCAAAGTAAACAATAGGCTTATTCTAGTCTCAATTTATTAATTTTCTCGTTCTTTTAGTTTTCATCTTTTAGTTTCGCTTATCTCCACCAGTTTGTTGCTTGGCAGGGCTTTTGAAGTTAAAGAGATGGAATACTCTAAGTTTAAGAAAGACACATTACATGTTTTCTGTTATTCCTTTTGCAAATCATAACAAACCCTCCAATAAATCGCAGTATTATGTACCTTGATAGTCTTGATACTTAGGTTATCAAACTGCTTCTTCCTGTGAAAACTGTCTAAAAACTGAAGAGAAAGCCTGATCTACTCACGGATCGTGGTGCAGGTCATCTAAATCCTGAAGTTCGGGGATACATCATAGTATTACCAAAAGTTATCAGTAAATTGGACGCATATTAGGTAGTGTTAATACTAAAGGGTGTGTCATGGAGCTGTGATGAAAACACACCAAATTTTCAAAAGATTGTGTTTGCTTCGGAACTTTCTGCGTCCTTGAAATTATTTCCACTACGTTGAATGGATCTTAGAAAAAAAGATTATTAAATTTCTCTTTGAAAAGGATTAGCACTCCATCTCATCATAACGTTTAGATCGGCATAAATAGATTATGTCAGTGTGTGTATGATGTGAGGAGCATAAAAGTGATATTTTCATCATTAATACTCTTCATATTTAACTTCTTATTTTTTCTTGGTTAAAAGGCAACAACTTAGGGCTCAGCAAGGTGTTGGCATGCCTTCGCAGCAGGGTGGACCAGGTCCTATGTACCCTCAACAACAACAACAGCCTGGCGGAATGTATCCTGGTGGAATGCAGCAACAAGGTAATGCTAGTCAATTACCTTTCCAAATACTCAATCTTCCTTTGGAGGGCGGAGCACGCTTGATTCTGATTGAAGAAAGTGTTTTTTAATCAAAGAAAAGTGCTTCCAAAAGTTGAGTCAAATCAAGAGAAGGAGCCCTCAGAAGATTATATTCTCTCTCTAACTGCAGAAAATAGCTCACCGGAAAAGAGGAAATATCACCAACAAGTCTTCAATGTGTGTTTACCTTTGGAGAAAATAAAGATAGAAGTGAGGCTCGTACCATTAGAGAAATTTACCATTGTAACTAAGGCAGCAACATACTGCACATTGATAAAGAACCTACAACACTCCTCAGTCTGCTGCATGAGGATTCCCTGTCTCAATTATTTTATTTTAAGAATGATCGATGATATTATCGCACAAAATCTTCTGCATTATTTCTTTATTATTTATAAATAGATTTGCTCACAATTTTTCCCAAAAATATCCAGTAGCATTTTCTATTATAGAAAGGAGTAGAGATTTTGAATCGTTGTGATCAAGATAAGTATTTTCGTTATATTACCATCAATATATTCTATCATAAGAAATTCTCTTACTTGTGGCAGAATTCTATCATTGTAATACTCTACACAAACATTTTATCTAGCAATAGAGCTCCTTTTGCCGTGTACCAAACCAATTCAGGTTCTTTTTTTTTTCCCAGGAATGAATCAAAACTATGGAGGTTATGGGAATCAACAAGGAGCAGGTGGAGGCATGATGTTCCCACAACAGCAGCAACAACAACCGCCCCAGCAACAGCAACAACAGCCGCCACAAGGCTTTCCTCCCATGAGACAAGCTGAATACCAGCAACGTATGCGTCCACCATACATGCAGGTAAATTACACCATGCCTTTTTTTCAGGTTAAATTTTTTAAAATCGTTGTCTTAGTGTGTTAAACTTGTCAATTGCCTCTCTACTGTCAAATTTAAGGGTTCAGCCAGTTCAAAGTCTGGGAATTTATGGGTTGAATCAGGTCATTTTATGCGTAGCATTTTGGTTCAGCAACTTCAGCCAGTGCCATTCAAGAAATTGCAAACAACTTCAGATGCTTTTTTTCCCCTTAATTTGATTCTCCAGAAAAGGATATTTCATTCGTAGTGAAGCAAAAGTCAGCAAATTCCAAGGAAAAAAGTAGAGGTTTTGATCAGAAGTCAAGATTAGGTCAGAGAATCGGAATATGTGTAATGGGGTGTTCCCCCTACCCTTTCACTTTTCAAAATTTTAGCCCGCCTAGTAGCGCTAGTGGTCGCGTGGCGGCTACTAGCACTACTCGACTCCCCTCTCTTTTTTTTCTTTTTTTTCGTTCTTCGAGCTCGTCCATTTTGTTCTGCTGTTCGGTCTGTCGTTTTACAGCCAGATTTCCTTTTTTCTCAAAATGTAAGTGAAACTTAGTCTGCCCTGACGGGGGGCTAAACCCGTCATTTCAGCTTTTAGTTTCTTTTCTTTTTTTTTGTGTGTATTTTTTCGTATTGTCCGGTATCGCTCGTCAGTCCTGTTCCTTGTTCGCCTTCATCACCATCATACTAGTTTCTTCCTTTCATCTAAAACCCCTGTTTTGAAGGACCTTTCTTCCAGCCGGGGAAGGAAAGGTTCCATATGAAATTATGGAAATCCTATCGCTCAGTGTTTCTGAATGTTGTCCTGTTGCCCTTGCAACTAGTACATGAGCATTAATTCACCGCAGATCCACAGTAACACCATTGTCACTCTAGATTCAAGCATTTTTATTTATTACATATTCGCTAAAGTGTGAACAATCATAATTTTTTTTAAAAAATTACAAGTACTGATGAAGTCAATTTTTCTTCTTCTGAATTATACATGATCAGGATTATACAAAAGTCACCTACTTGCTTCAGTTATCATCTTTCAAAATCGTCGAAGAGTGGAGTTACAAAGATTCATTAGAACTAATTGGTGTATGCCTGTTGTGAAAATACATTCGTTTGTGTGGTGTTTTACAAGGAAAGTTTTTAACTGATAACTGTAATTTTATTTCTTTAGAACCCTCAAATGCAACAAGCTCCAAATGTTACAATGAACACTATGGGTCCTCTTGGTCAGCAAGGTCAGTCAGCGCCTCCTTATAGTCGACCTAACCAACAGGGTGGCCCACAACAGAATCAACATTTCCAGGTACGACACTCTTTTTAATTGCATAATATAAACTGAAAGGCTTTAAATAGTTCTTCAAAATGTATGTTATGGGTATAAAAAACCAGAAATTTTTTGAAAAGATAAATATGATTGCAATAGGATTGATCTTTTGAACTAGTTTCACAAAACCAAAAATATGCATCAGGTAACAGGATTCAGTACTCTAAGTGTCAGTTGCATTTGAATGTCTTAGTCTCAACAATTCAGTGAGTTAATTTATGTTGAACTGGACCTCATACAATTTTTATTTGTATCTTTAGCAGCAGCAAATAAACCAAAACCGCATGCGACAGCAGCTTATGGCCATGCAGCAACAGCAGCAACAACAACAGCAACAGCAGCAACAACAGCAGCAACAGAACCAGCCTACGCTAGTTGCTCACCTCCAGCGCCAACTTGGCAACCAGCAGCAGTATCCTATGCAGCAGCCACCTCCGTATTGAAGCAACAAAGATCTCAGAAGAGATCTTTAATCATGGATTTCTTGTTTCATTTGTACCAGTAGTTTCATGCTTCAAGCCACCATATCCCATAGCGAATTCCAATTTCCTGGGAAGGAACTCGCAAAGGTTTGAGCCCAGTCTTAATTAGCCCACTGGCCCCAATGTCACTTCGATAGTTTCTTTTATGCATGATTTTTAGGTTACTCTGCAGAAGTTATCATAAACTCGAGTTGTTTTGTCTGAGTATTTTTAACGTCCATCTCTTATCCACTTTGAAGAGAGTGCTTCAATTTTCTCTTTTACTGTAACTGTTTTGAACTAATGTTGACCTTTTCATACTTTTTCACATGTCGACACCATAGTATGTAATGTAAAAATCACGGTTAGTTTTAGCTGTGCTTTAGAAACGTGCAATTATCTCTATCCAAATTTCTCAAAATCCTAGTAATTCATCTTGATGTAACTCGTATAATCTTAAAGATCATGAAATGCTGGAAATTTATTTTCCAGCTCAAATTCTGACCAAAACTTAGGAGAGTTCAATCTTGATCAAGCCACAGGCCCTTTTCAGCCAAGCAAATACTCATATTACTACAGGTCGTTTTGTTAGAAATTGGCGCAGGGAGGTAAAATCTATACTTTTTAAATACCTTTCACATGCTTCCCACCTTTGAGACAAAGGGATACGAAGTTCGAAAGGGGATGGTCAGGAAGAAATTATACAATGTTTATGTATTGCCTCAGAAAGCAGTGTTTCTATTTACAGCTCAGACATTTTTTTTGTTTTTAAATGTCTTGCTTTGTTATTCTGAAGTCTGAAGCTCACAGGTGTAAAAACTCAACAGGCATTATGGTTGGCACATTGATGACAACAGGCATTGATGGATTAGGTTTGACTGAAAACAAATCATTTTTTTGTTGGTATATGACATGAATGCAACCTGTACTTTACATGCCTGTATGGACGCCTCTGTAAGTAAGCTCTATCTCTGTTTTCGTGAGAGACCGTACAACTCATAGTTTGTGTACATGAGCTCTATCGATATGTAAGTGAAAGGAAGCTAACTGCTACTGCATAACTCAAGGACTTTTTTTCCCTATAATGTTTTCTGCAGTTGCCACGTCCGCGTCTGACTATTATATACAATGTAGGATTTCATGCACTTTTGCTCCATCAACTAGATAGTGGTATAACAGCTGTACTGAAGCTGTAATCAATATCTGGCCAGTACGTCCTTTGCAAGAGATTTTTGTCCCCTTTCTGCTGAGTAAACCCATATCAACAATCGGAACAGAAAATTAAAGAATTTCTGACACAAGACAATGATCTCTTGTCTAAAATATTTGCCATTTCTTCATAAACTGTTCTCTTCGCAGGTTTCGAAGTGCAAAGTTTACTTGTTTTCTTTAAGAGATGAAATTAAGTGATCTATACATATTAAGAAAAAATTTGCAAATTTGTAAAAATTATTTATTAAATTTTCCAGATAGATAATTTATCGATTTATGTTTTAATTAGTTTTATTGTTCATGATAATGGAAAGTTAGGTTTATTGTGCGGTCAGCTTGATCATTGAGTTGTTTATTATTCAATTTAACTTTTCTCATGACTTAACAAAAATACCATTCCTTTTTCAAATGAACATTTGTTTTACCATTATCCATCAATCAAGCGGACATCCTTAAATCTCGAATGAATCATCAGTGGTGTAAACTGAGATTTCCCAGGCTAAATTTCACTTTTTTCGAATGGACTCTATTAAGAATTAAGGGAGGAGCATTTCTGGCTCACCCACTAAAGTACGTATCTGCATGTGGAAACTAATGGCACACATGTTTTTTCTGAAATGAGCTAGAAGTAGTTGTCTCCTATTGCAAACTTTAGTCCAGCTAATAAATCCATTATCACACCTAGATGCACTTTCTTGCGAACTGTTCCAAAATATTAAATCTTGAATCTCTCAAATTATATTTAAATTAATCTGGACGCCAAATGTCAGTCCTCAATTAGTCAAATTGAATTAAGATTAATTTTTGAAGATTCTAGCATTTATGTAAGGGCTTTAAAAATATATTATTATTTTCTAATTGAAAGCCGACAGCTGTAATGTGCAAGCCAAGCAAAAGGTTCCACTCTTTACTCAATACCATAATAGAAACCAACTTAAGTAAAATGTGTTGAATGTCTGGGTCTTCGTTTACGCTGAAGATTTATCTTATGAGGAAGATATATATGGGTCAAGAAATTCATAATGCAGGGATGTTCATCAATTCTGTGATATTTTTAGTTCCATCCACGTTTTGAATCAAAAATCAATTTAGGCATAGCAACTGTATGTCCTCAAATCCTGAGTGCTGAAAGGTTTCTAAGCAAAAGGAGTTATAACGGTATTTTTATTGTGATATGTGTTCGATTCTCGATTGGATTATTTTACTTTGCGTTTTAAAATAATTTTAGCCTGAGTCTATTTACCATCCAATGTTTTTATTTTCTGTAAAAAATCGAGGGCCCTTCTTGCCGTTTCTTGTTTTATCTGTAGGTGAAATTCACCTTTGCGGTTGGCAGAAAAAACCCCCTCAATCATTGCCAAAGAAATTTTCCACATGGAATGGCTATCGCTAAAATAATCATTTTTTTTTACGTGATTAAGTAATTTTTTCTAAATTTCAGAAAAATGTCACTTATGGTTTTATTCGTCTATCATTGTACATATTTTTTGATGGAAGGTTAGTCAACCTCTCACTGTGTATACTGAAAAAACTGTAAATTTGGAAATGATTTAATGAGTATTATATCTTGTGTATACTGAGTTGACTGTACATTTTTAATGATTTTTATGAGTATTATGTTAAGTATTGTGTCAAGTGCAAATCCGTGCTCAGGACTTTTTATTTATGAAATGTATCAAAATATGTACAGGTTTGTGCTTATGTGTTTTTAAAGTTGATGTTTACAATTTTAAAGGAACCTAGCTGTCACTCAATTTTCCTAGCTTAATCTCAATACATACTGAGGAGAATTGTTGACAACAGACAAAGCATTAAATTTCAAGCAGCATTAGAGCAAAAATTGTGATCACCATGAAAAGTCACACGTTGCAAAAATGTGAATCTTGTTTTATGTGAAGGGGTTGCTCTTCGTGCATTCTTCTCAGTGAAGGATTTGTACCTACGATGGGTTTGTAAAAGAAAAATGTACAGTAAAAGTAATAAAGAAATAAATCAAATAAGATTATCAAAATTTGCTCTTTAAGTTCCTTTATTTTACTTTGTGGTCTCAGCCTCACTCAACTCATGTTAGTGACTTGCTTTTTCCCGCCTGCTTAGCTTTCAAACTGTCGATAATTTAGCCCAGTCAAAAAGATACAACAAGAATAAAATTGATATTGACAGTCACCACCTGTGTTGTAGCTTACAGTTAAAATTACCTTGACAACAATGATGTTATGAGTTGCATTTTCGTGATAGAAAGAAAAATTCTGTTCACACTAAATCTCTTTGAGCCAGTCAGAGGCCGGACCAACCTCATCAATAAATTGTATGTTCTCTTTATTTTCTCTCACAAGCATCTCAAGGCAAGAATTGTATCATATGAGAAGGCCCTAATCCTGATCCATGTATTTCTCAAAAAAAAAAAAAAAAAAAAAAAAAAAAAAAAAAAAAATTAGGATGAAATGATTAATCAAGTTAGTGAATTCCAGTTGTGGACAGTTAAGCTCACTTCTAATGGGCTTCACTTGGGCTTCTAAACGGCCAAATTATCTTAATGAAAGACAGATTTGAACCTTTGCAGCCGATTACCCAAGAGGCAACTCAGGTAGACGGGCCTTCCTTCTCCAACAAAATAAAAACAGAATTTTATTTTTGCTGGCACCTGGCAAAGGTGCGCCGAATTCGTAGTTTGCCAGTAACTGAGGTGGATTTTCGTTGCCGTCTAGTGCAAATCGATAGTTTAACAAAATTTTAGTAAGTCGCTTGACATCGACTCCAGAAAGCTAACATTGACCGACAAGTAAATGCATGGACAGTAGCAAACGCGTCCTATCGTAGGACTGACAAGATTTTTCACTCTAGTTTGGAAGTATTGTCAACTGATCACATAGGTTGACTTACATATCGTGAATTCTCTGGCTGGGCAGGAGAAAGTATGAAAGAACAAGTTAGCTGGTTTCTTCACACCTTAATTTAGGAGAAGAAAAAAAAAATTAAAAATCTCTGCAACTTAAAAGTTCTGATTCCGTGTTTTCACTCAACTGCACTCGGAAAATTTTGCATCTTGATGCTTTAGGAGTAACAGAACGAAATTACTCCAAAAGTGAGTTTTGAAAAAATTGATGTATGCAAATGTGACCCAACTACCCGTCTGGGCAATAGAAGCGCTCAATACGCCATAACTTTACCACTTACTGAGTTGAAATGTTCCAGTTAAGACTGTTATCCTTATCATCAAGGGGGAAAACTTTTTAGAGTCACGACCCCATCTAAAACTCAAACTTTTCAAATGGGGACTCTCCCACTTTTGACGAATCAGTTAAAGTATATCAAGTATTTCTTTTGCTCATCCCTGTATTCTGAAGTCAGTAGAGCTACCTTCAAAGGAGTTGAAGACTCCCAAAAATTTTTTGGCAACCCAATCCTCCCCTCTTTCTCTTTTGAAAAAGGTCTAAACAAAGGTACACTTTACTACAGGCATGGACAAACGGGGTGCCGAAGTGGCGGCACTGAGATTATAGGCCATCGAGTGACGTCGTACCGTCTTTGCCGCACAGTTCAAAATGAGGTTCTGGTAGATCTATTAGCTTCGATAAGCCATCAGATGAATTTGAAAAATGATAGAACTCAAAATAACGAAAACCTCAACTGAGAACACGAAAAAATAACATGAAATTGACGAGACCCACTCTTAAAACAGAAAGTAAATAAGTTTTCAAAATGGCGTCACAGTCGTACCATTGGACACTGCCAAATCTATGCGTTTCGACGACTTCCTAAAATTCCATTTGTCCATACCTGTAGTAGAGTGTACCTTGGGTCTAAACATCGAACACAGATTTAACAGGAACAAGATTAATCTGAAATAGACGAAAAATCAGGTTTTATTGAAAGAAGAGCCAGATAAAGTCTTAACTTGTAAAGTTACAGTAAAGATGTAAACAAATTCCTAAGCCTAAGAACAGCAGAATCTTGGAAAAGAGAGCGTATTACAAAAAGTAAGGTTTATTGGAAAATTACAGACTAGAAGAGACAACAGTCTTTTCAAAGTTAGAATAATTTCAAATTCTGTGGATCTTTCAATCCAAGGGAGATGGTTCCAAAAATGGGTTAACCACCAAAAGTTTCAACTTTAGATGTTACAAGGAACACTTATGTACGGCTAGGTTGAATTGGACAATGGATTTTCTAATGGATGGTTTAATCAACTTCCTCCATCCTGGATGCATCTTCTGCATCGCCATCGGCAGCAGGCATAGCTGCATCAGGCTTTTCTTCTTCAACATGAACTGTCTCGTCTTCATCAATACCCAGACCTAGTTTGATCATTCTGTGAATTCGGGCAGCATGCACTTGAGGGTCTTCCAACGCAAAACCTGAGGACAGTAAGGCTGTTTCAAACAACAGCATGACAAGATCCTTCACCGACTTGTCGTTCTTCTCAGCTTCTGCTTTCACGCGGAGCGCATCAATGACAGCATGGTCTGGATTGATTTCAAGATGTTTCTTAGCGGCCATGTAGCCCATAGTTGAGGAATCTCGAAGAGCTTGAGCCTTCATGATTCGCTCCATGTTGGCTGTCCAACCATATTGTGATGTGACAATGCAACATGGAGACTCAACTAAACGATTACTGACCACAACTTTTTCTACTTTCTTGTCTAGAATATCTTTCATGACCTTGCACAGTGTTTCGAACTTCACTTTGTCTTCTTCGAACTTTTTCTTCTCTTCTTCATCTTCTGGGAGTTCCAAACCTTCTTTGGTGACGGATACCAAATTCTTACCATCGTAGTCTTTCAGTTGCTGTACAACATACTCATCGATTGGCTCTGTCATGTAAACAACTTCAAACCCACGTTTCTTGACTCGTTCAACAAATGAAGAATTTGCAACCTGATCTTTGCTTTCACCGGTGATGTAGTAGATATGTTTTTGGTTTTCCTTCATTCGAGCAACATAGTCTTTCAGAGAGGATGACTCGTCTCCACTGGCAGATGTCTGGTAACGAAGCAAATCTGACAATTTCTTCCTATTTTGCGTATCTTCGTGCATGCCCAATTTCAGGTTCTTGCTAAATTGCTCGTAGAATTTTTGGTAGTTTTCTTTGTCTTCTGCTAACTCTTCAAATAATTCAAGACATTTCTTGACCAAGTTTTTGCGAATCACTTTCAAAATTTTGTTCTGCTGTAACATTTCTCGAGAGATGTTCAAAGGCAAATCTTCACTATCAACAACCCCCTTGATAAAGTTCAGATACTCAGGTATGAGATCTTCGCAATTGTCCATGATGAATACTCGTCTGACGTACAACTTGATGTTATTCTTCTTTTTCTTGTTTTCAAACAAGTCAAATGGAGCACGCTTTGGGACGAACAAAAGAGCTTTGAATTCGAGCTGGCCTTCAACAGAGAAATGTTTGACGGCTAAATGGTCTTCCCAGTCATTTGTAAGAGACTTGTAGAATTCACCGTACTCTTCTGTTGTAATATCATCTGGGTTTCGAGTCCATATGGGTTTTGTTTTGTTGAGTTCTTCGTCTTCTGTGTACTTTTCTTTGATGGTTTTCTTCTTCTTCTTTTTTTCCTTTCCTTCATCATCTTCAGCATCCTCGATCTTAGGTGTATCCTTGTCTTCTTCTTTGTCCTCTTTTTTCTCCTCTTCTTCTTCCTCATCTTCACTGAGTTCCTTGTCTCTTTCTTTCTCGACTAACAGCTTGATGGGGTAACCAATGAACTGTGAGTGCTTCTTAACAATTTCTTTGATCTTGCGCTCTTCCAAGAACTCAGTCATGTCCTCTTTCATGTGCATGATGATCTTTGTGCCTCGGCCGAGAGGTTCGCTATGGTCTGGACGAATAGTGAATGAGCCTCCAGCTGAGGACTCCCAGATGTACTGCTCATCATCGTTGTGTTTCGAAACTACTGTGACTGTGTCAGCAACAAGGAAGGCTGAATAGAATCCAACACCAAATTGACCAATCATGGAAATGTCAGCTCCGGCAGCCAGAGCTTCCATAAATGCTTTTGTTCCTGACTTGGCGATGGTTCCCAGGTTGTTGACAAGATCGGCTTTGGTCATACCAATTCCACTGTGGACAAACAAGAGGCAAAAGTCATAATCTAGAAACAGAAGCTTATTTGAGAACTTTCATATTTTCAAACTTTCATATAGTGAGCTTGGATACAATAAACAGCTTGTAAGGTAGCCATCATTATTTCTGGAAAGAGAGCAATGGAAAAGAGCTAACAAGAACCATCCACAGGCTGCAGAACATGGTATGCTGAAGAAAATCCCTCTTCCTCATAAGATAATTATTTTTTTTTCATCCGTGACTGAAGATTAAGGTGTTAACAGCTCTGCCTAAAGCATACAATCTTAGAAGTTTCTCACACCATTAGGCGTGAGGAAAACTTAGTATTCCAAGTTTGAACAAATAATTTAAATAATTTAAGCATAGTCGAAAAGTGTTATCAATGCATATCACTTATAACATGCATGGTGTCTAGAATTCTTGACGATGCTAATTTCTTGATTTTCCACTGATTTTTCGGAACTCATTTCCTGATGAGCAACCGAACCTTTCTGTCAATTTCCCTGTTTTTCTTGAGTAAAATCATAGAGATCTCTTGAGTTCCAGACAAGAGAATCAATTTATTTTACTCTTCCAGCTGATTCTTCGGTGTACATTCAAATCTTTAATTCCAAAAGCGTATCTAATGTATGTATTATTTGGTCAATGAAAGCTTCTTTATTTTTATGATTGTATGAAGTTTCAAATATGTCATTCAAGAGGTCAGTAATGGCAACTCAGGTGCAATAACATAAACCTTAATAGCAATAGGTACTCAAAATTCGAAAACAAAATGCCTTCAAGCGTTAGAGGATAAGATTCTCAGTTACTGTCACAGATTTCCTGCTTATTCCCAGATGAATCTCCATTTTTTCCAGTCTTTTAACACCATACTTTGAAAAACCATATATGCCTCAAACTTGAGGTAAAGAACTGTGTTTACTTACGAATCAATAAGTGTGAGAGTGTTGTCATTTTTGTTGGGAATAATTTTAATGAACAATTCTTTGCCAGATTCCAGACGAGATGGGTCAGTGAGCGATTCATAACGAATTTTATCCAGGGCCTGAAATAGGTAAGAACATTTTGAGTTAGAACTATTTGCATAGAGACACACTGGGCAGCTATCTTAGCGAAGAGAAAAAGGAGGTTTATGGTAATATTTGAGGGAAACATGAAAGAAATGACTTGACAAAGAGGTTTAAATTTTTTTGCACCCCTTGTTCTACGAGAGGAAAGAAGTTAGCAGCACCTTGATAGCTGAGGTATTTTTGAATGGTTCTCATAGACGCTATTGGTGCCACATCACAGAAAAGAGATATATATCGATTTTTTCGGATTGGTAGCATTGAAAGAGGTTATGCCAATATTATTGCTTGGATTCAATTTGATACTATGGAAAATCCTTATCCTCCTACGCGCCACTAATGGCGTCTGTTGATGAGTAGCATTACTAAGATGGTAAGATAGGGCTTCATCGATCAAGATCATTTTATAATCATTCCACAATCAACCTGCAGATCTTAGCTGAGTCCTTAGATTTTGAACGCTCACTACGGGTACTACTTGGTGTTCAAAAAAGGTTGCTTTTTCAGAAAAAATGTATTGCCTCGGTGCAGATTTTAATGCTTCTTCTGCAATGATCATTGTTGGAAGACTGATAGAGTGATCCTCAATTGGCTAAGGAAATGGACTTACATCTGATGAGTTGGAGATCAGTTCTCTTAAGAAAATTTCTTTATTAGAATAGAAGGTGTTGACGATCAATGACATCAACTGGGCGATTTCCGCCTGGAATACGAAAGTTTCCGCTTGTTCCATGGTTGCGTCTTCTGGCATCTAAAAACAGAAAGAGAACAAAAATAGTTGAACTTATATAGAAATTTCTTCTTTTCCATTCTTGTACCTAGGTAACACAAATGAGATTGATAGTTTGAAAGCTGACAGTTTTAAACAGAGAGTTACTTAAGATCTGCTTCTAAACAAACCAAAAACGCACCATGAGCTCATGCGCGGACTGTTGCCTGAATCTTCACGTTTGCCAACAGGGATAAGGTATTACATGCGAGGATTACGTTGGCTAACAGGAAATGGCCAGGACGTTCAGATAAAATTGAAGGACTACCACCTGAAGTAACTATGGGAATGGATAATTCCTCCAGATGCGACCACATTAGGATTCTGCTCAGAGGAGCGGCAGCAAGTTTGACAAAGGAAAGAGGAGGCTCCTTAGTAGCTGGCAAAGGGCAAAATTCAACATACTATTATAAGAACATGATGCCTAATGATGACTTGCAAATGGGCCCTTTTGTTTCCGAAAAAAGTCAGTTCTTCCTGCAGCTAGATGCTGGTGACGCCTCTGACAGCCTCATTCACAGGACTGACTGGAGCTAATTATGAACGCAAAAGGTGTGGTTATTACCAAGAAAAAAGAAGGCGTACTATGGTGTCAATCCAGTAGCGCATTGTAATGGGCTCTTCATCACTGCGTACTACATTAGAGTACGCAGTGGACACTTATTGGGCAACACCCATTCCATTGAAACTTAGAAAATTGGAGGCTGAAACCTCTCATTAATCACATGCTTGGGGTGACTAGTCCCGGCGACCATGCTCCTCGTTTTACAGGAGAGTTACGCATTTAGGCACAATGCATGGTCTCATGGAAGCTGACGAAAATAAGGTGATGCATGATGAAACGTGCTTGAAAAGGCGCTCTAAAAGATTTGAAATCATCACTCACCTTGATGGAATTTAATTCGGACAGCACGAGGTAGAAAAAGAAGGAGTAAAAAGGCCTGCGAATGCCGCTTCCGCCTCCTCAGAGACTTCGAACTTTCAACTTTCTTTGTGAGTGCCTGTTCTCGAGGTTTCCGAGCTCCGAGCACGCGACGAGTTAGGACGGAGGGAGGGAGGGGAGGGGCTAAGCCGGAAAGCTGTCAGTGTTGCAGATTAAGAATTGAAAAAGTCACTACTTACCACCTCCGAATATAATTGTCATCACCGTGGCGAAAGTCTTGTCTGACAAAATCAGACACTTTTGAAATCCTTTCGATAGTAATTTAAAAACTGTTACGTATTTTGCAACAAATTTCTTTCGTTAATTTTTCTTCCTTCTAAATATTTTTGAGTGTACCACATTTTTAATTGCAATTGATTACTCAGTCAACCTGGGCGGTAGGTGTTGACAGCCAATGAACGAAGAGAACTCGATCGCGGCAAAAATACAAATTGCTTGATTTTCCTTGAATGTTAAGTCTCGAAAAAAAATTTCAGAAATTTTGTAAGGATGAGAAATTGTTCAATTCGGTTAATAATGTGAATGCCAGCAACTGAGCAAAAATATTAATCCAAATTTTCTAAATTTTACTTGGGGTTAAATTGATTATCTGCATCCCAAATCTTACGGTCTTTCAAGAATTTTATACATAATTCAAATTCTTTTTCAGTTAGAGTAATTAGTTTTTGCTTGTAATCTTTTAAATTAAATCAGCATAATGTCATCTTTCATGGTCGTTTCTTCTATTAGAGGGGCTCTGATGAGCCAATGTCACCACGAACATGACATACTCTAGAGCCATGCCCTCCGCAAATGTGAGTCCATGGAATAGTTCAGTAAGACAAACACATTAAAGGCACTGCCTGTTTTCTAATGTTTGATCTAAGAGGGGAAAAATGATCACCCTCAGTTCACATCAATAAAACTATAGGGAAATAAAAACACAAATTAATGCCAAACTAAAAACTTTAATATACAAAACATATGTACAATTTTAATCAACACAACTTAAATCATTTTTAAAGTGATTCTTTATTTGACAATGCACTAACAACAAGAGTTGACTTTGAGGAAAGAAGTTCATCTGCTTACTAGTAAATAATTTTAAAAAAATACTGAGAATATCAATTGAATACATTCATGCAAAAGAGGTCCATTTGCAAAGCCATAAATGTTTCAAATGCGGTTAATCATCTTTCAGATGAATAATCACGTAGCCTCAGCATGAGCGATCGCTCATGCTGAGACTACATAAGAACAATGCAGACACGACTAAAGATAATGAAGAACAGCATTTTCAAAAAGAGAACATTTTACCTGCCAGACGATCCCCAGCATTCAGGTCGCATTATTCTTTTAAAGAAGTATAAGCTCAACAAACTCTGCTAAATAATTGTCAATTTGTTTTTTACGTTCAGATTATGTCAGTGATACACTAAAGTAACACTTGACGCAAGCTTTGACTCATAAAGGCAGCACTTGATGCTTCGATGCCACGAAGATTTAATATGCAACAGAGAAATTATAGAGTAAAATACTTTAACTGTCGCAGTTTAAAAAACAATAAAAAAAAATCCTCTATCTTTTTAAGGCTATGTATATTGTTTTGGGAGGTCCTCCTCGCATCCTCTTCAGAGTTCTCTTCGTGACCAAAATACGTCACATAGTGGTCGTGACAAAAATCATGATGAGGGCTGGCGGAGGATCCGCCTAAACAATTGTAAGTGGGTAAAGGAAATTTCAAGTTTTTATAAAACTGCAACAGTGCTTTATATTACAACTGCGACAAGTTTTAATATAATGACCATATTTTGTTTTGAGCTTCATCTGTATTGATAAACTAGCCTTAAACTTTGGCCGAAGTGGTTTTGTAAGCTAAGCAGTTGTTAAAACTAGTTCAACAAGGTAAAAAGCAAGGTTATCTTGTGCGCATAAGCTCACTCAGAGTTAGTATTAGTATTAGTACTACAATACAAGTTTGCGTGTGTAAAGTTGTGGACTTGGCATTAAATATCTCCTGAGTCTTCAATGGCAAAGGAAGGGTTTTGCGCTGGGGAAGTTTGGCCGGTATTAATGGTCAGCCTCATAGCCTTTTTAATAAAAAATGACTATAGTCATACCTCATTATGATGTTTTTTAAGGGGAATTGAAAGTAAACGTTGTTTCCGGACGATTTCATTTCCAGACATGCTATAATGAAAAATGGCTGACCAGGACTTACAAAAATTAACTTTGTTTCCAGAAGAATGTTATTTTGGGAGACATTTTGACAAGATATGATTGTATTTAGCGAGCAGAAGAAATTTATGATCCGAAAGTTTTCATATAGCTCACGTTACCAATTTTCTTCTAGGCAAAATCAAAGTGCAACTCTAAAACTTAGAAGATGTGCAACTGTCCGTTCCTTAAAAATAAAAAATATTAATTATTTTACTACCCTGTTAAAGAAAAAATCTTTGAAATTTGCAATTGAGCTAAAGCTGCCAGAATTTTTAAAAAATTTGAGACAACATTAGTGGTAAGTATTTTGATTGGATGCTTGTATTTGAATGATTAATGGAGGAAGAGTTGAAATCATCATTTTGAAATCATGGTCCTTAACCAGCTGAATGAACATCCATCAGTGAAAAGAATTACTGGTATGATTCAATCGTGAGTCGTACATAGGAAGTATCTAGTGATTGAGATTAGAGCGTTCCTGGTACATCGTTCGTAATTGTTACCGAGAAATGTAAAAATACAAACACACACATGCAGCAATCACTCACACTTGGAGGAATAAACAGGAGCCTACCTTGGAAAGTTTCCCCGAATCATTAAGTATATTCCTCTTCCTATGTATAACTTTCTTAGAAATTTCTATCCCTAGTTCTGTCAGGATCTACGTGCAAGAGGCAAATATTCTGCAGAAATTTTTATATTCAGGTTTTATGATAATATATTACACTGAGGTATTATGGTTACTCCGTGCCAAATAGCTCAGCAGGTCTCTCAAAGCTACCAAGATGGCGACTTCAAGGGATGATTGATGGTTCCCCGAGACTGCAGGTATAACTCGGAAGTCGGTGCGGTTCCGGTTGAATAGACTAATTTAGTGACTACGTCTATTTACAATTTCGAGCTCTGGGTGCCAAATAAAGTGAAAACACATCGAGCCACAATGGAATACAAGAGAGCAAATAATCACCTGACAAACAGGCTTGATTCAATCTGTCATCTCTGAGATCAGAAAATTTTTCAATTTTCTCCGGGGTGCTTTTAATATTATTTACATCCAGGAAGTCATCCTTCCAAAATAATGGACAACTAAACAGGGTGCAAAATTAAGCAACAAAATATATGTTTCCTGGTCGAAATTTTACATACAATATGACAGGCATATTAAAATTTAGCAACTTAAACAAAGAAGTCAGAAAGTACCGTTTTTGTGGTAAATCAATTCACACTTCCCATTCACAAAAAACCACGGTCTACTGGAGTTAAATCGAACACTACACTACTTTTGGTATATTTTTAGATGGAAGAATCTTCTTTTGAGCTGACTTTCTTCTGATAAGATTAGAGGAGCCTTTTATTAGAGGAGGAAGGAAATGCCTAAGACACTAAAGCTCCAGTTATTTTTTTTTTTAAATGTATAGGTTGTTTTGAGGGCTGATTTGACCTACGTGGATCATGGTTTTTTTATGAGCTGAAAGTTTGAATTTCCCCTTCCCAATATAAACTACGAACATTAACTTTTCACTTATGAGTTAAAGGAGGAATTTTTCAATATATTCAATATTTTCTATGTGAAATTTTGATGAGAAAACATGTCTCGTATAGGTTTGTCTTATGATCCATTGAAATACTATGGGAAACATTTACTAATTAATTCACAAATGAATTAGTATTTTCCTAACAAATATAACTTTGTGTAACTCCGACTACATCCGAAAAGAATTAGGAAAAAAACTGTAGCTAGCCAGACTGCAGTAACAGCAGTTCTGCAGTTTCCTCAAAATACTTCCGAAATTATGGTGAAAATGCTAACTCACCGCAGAGAATAGGGATGGAACTTAGTTATTTTAAATGATCCTTTCTGCTAAGACCCAAGGAGAAACATATGCTAGGTATTTATACATGAAAATCTGGAGAGAAGATAGTCACTTCGTCAAAGTGAGAGCGTTTAACAAACTGCAGGGGCTGGACACAACATGTTCATTCGAAAACTAATCTAAGTATCACAAGAGTTGAAACATGAATAATAAACATTTATATTTGGTAAAATCATACGCCAAAGGCCTCTGCAACAATTAACTTATTAAATCTTACTCAAAGTGGGAGGTTATTCTTAAAAATCAAACAAATGAAATTGAAAAATTGAGAGCCACTCTCAAGGTACTACTCAAGATTTTTTGAAATCTTTTAACAACCAACATGAAAGAATTTTCTTATCATATTACTTTCTCATAAGCTGTCCCAATGACATAATTCTTTATGCTATTGATACATAGTTAAAGGCATTGATGAGGATGCTAACAAAGAGTCACTTTTTCAGTGATGGATCAATCAAAAAACTAATTTTCCAGACGAGCTCCTGATTGAAATTGTAATTTACCCTAGTGGGGTAAACAGTGATGAACAGGCGGGCGGGAAAACCGGGAAAAATCCTGGTGGGCCGATCGATATTTAGGATGGTTTTGGACCAGATTATCTCCTTATACAGCAAAAAAAAAAACTAAAATGGGTCAGTCCACGCACTGAGAGGCAAATATTCCCGGTTACTTTTTCAGTCCCAGTCCGCTCCTGAGAGTAGGTAATTTTTAATCTCAAATTTTTCATTGAGAGGTGTCCTTATTTTCATCATCGCTAAGTACCAGGACTGAGAGATTGATAAAAGGAATTTAGATTTGTACAATTTATGTTCATGACTTGAGAGCAACATCCTCTCGAAATAGTTTGTTGCTATTTTGTAGCAAATTATTTCAAAACAGAAAACATACGATAGACTCTTAAACTTAACAATAAATTACACTGAACAGCTCCTGATAAGAGAACAAAACATCAGCTAAGAATTGACTTCCAATTTTGAAAACATTCATCCTCCTGCAGACAAGTAAATAAGAAGCAAAGATAACTGAATGTTCACTTACATGGATATTAGATTGAAAGAGGAAAAGTGAGAAAGAATCAACACAAAATTATTATTATTTTTGAACAACTGGAGCTTTTGGTGGATTTCTAGATTTCTAGAGTCTGTAAGTTCCGGACTCAAACTTTTTTAAAGGAAAAAAGTAAAAATTTACTTTATCATTACTTCAAAAAAGAAGGATAAAATATACATGTAGAGGTAAAATTGGAAATTTCTTCCTTGAGGAAAAGCAAAAATTTGTCGACAAGGTGAAAGCCTTGTAATGCAAAAATCAAGCCAATTTTAGGAACTGACCGCATCCTTATGAGGAAGTCATAAATAGGAGGATTTCAGTGATGATAGAAATTTTGGATTCTTCCTCCTCACAACTTACATATAGAAGTTTTGAAAAGGTTCTAGCTGAAATGTAACTCAGAACCCTTGCAGATTCAGGGGGGAAGGGGGGTCTTTATGCCAAAATAAGGGAAAATAAAGGGGGATGAAAAAGAAGAAATTCCAAAGAGGGATCCCTTTGGATACTTAAAAAAGAAAATTAAGAAAAATAAATCCCTTCCATCAGTGCATGGCATAAAGCTTATATATACATTAGAGGGAAAGAATAACTTACTTGAGATCAGGAAAGCTTGAGACTACAGTATCTGAGATGCGGAACTTTGACTGACATAAATAATAGCACCAGTAAAATTGAGAGTTGCTGCGAGCACGAATACTGGAAACCATCTATTGCCGGATGCTATGACTAATTCTGCAGTCACAGGGCCGCAAAGTATGCCAGGTAATGTTGCCTGAAAACAAAAGAAGAATGCAGGAGTGAAGGAATAACATAATACGAGTAAAAACCAATTTTCACTGAATTTTGAAATTTTTGAATGAACAATATCTATTTAAATTTTGGTTTGTACAATTTAGTTGCTTGAATTTTTTCAACTAATCTTACTTGAAATATTAGTGAAGAGCTGAAAGAGCGCATTGCAATAGATCAGCTCTGATAATAGCAGCTAGAGAGAGAAGAGTGAAATCCAATCCACTTAAATTTATACAAACTGGCCGACTCATTTGGTGCTCAGACTTTTGAATATTGTAATATATAATGAACTTATTCCAATAATACGCTTTTTTTGTACAAAAGTTTCGATGGGAGGAGTGTTTGTAGCTTAAATCCAAGCTGCTTGATCAATTGTTCAACACTTACTAAAGAATTAGAGACAGCAAACGTTGCTCCAGCATGGTTAGGCGCTATGTCTGCATGATTGCTGAGATGACCAGCTGAATTGCAAGCGCAAAGACCCATTGATATTGATACTAAGCTAAATGGCACAGAAGAACAACGAGTATTACATATTGAACAGCACAGTATGCTCATTAAACAGTTGGAGAGTAGAGATTACCCATTTATAAAATATGATAAGAGGCCGTTTATGAAGTACAAAACTCTCCCGGAGGAGAGAGGGATCTGAGCCTTAGTTACAGGTACATTGCAGAGGAAGGAGAGGCATTAAGGGCTGCCTCATGTTATGCTAGAATAAGCAAGCAGTGCTGATTTGTTCAAAATCCAAGATGAAAAATCCATGCGAGGTGGCAATTTTTATCCAAATATCATCAAAAAACGCTAATTTATGTGGAGAGGTACGGTCAAACAAAGCATTAAGTAATGTTTTGAGGAGGGGTAGACCTGTGTTGGACGTATTAATGCTAACAGGAACTATGTTACAGGCAAACCCTATGCACATAGTTCCTTTTAGCATAAATAAGTCCTATTGTGCAGGTGTGTTACGAGGGAGAGAAGGGAGGAATGAAATCCAATTTTTAGCATTACAGATTTTACGAACAGCCCCTGAGTTGTGACCGAGTAGCAAAAAACATATAGGTATCAGAGACAGGATGTCGTTAAGATTTTCTGCGGAAAGATAAGGAAGAGGAAGAGTTTACTTATTGCCGTAAGCAAGAATATAAAATACACATAGAGGCATGTGGAGGCACACTGTAAACTAGTCCTGAAAATTCTTTAAAAATTTAAGTTACACAATTTACAATAATTGTGGATGGAAGAACCAATTCATTTTCTACTTCACTCATTTTTGGCGGCTTGCAATTTTTCCTTTTAAAACCAATTTCCCAAACCTGCCTTATGCTTGCTAGATTTGAGGAGACCCTGAAAGACTTAATCCATGCGGTTCAGAGTTGAAAGTTTTGAAGTTAAAAAATATTGTTTTTTGGGAGATAAAGTGCAGAAAAAAAAGCTCAAAAGAATTATTTGACATAACTTTTCTTCAAAAATACACACAAAAAATCCAATAGTGAGAGGCTCAATTTTTTTTCTTTTTTTCCTATAAGTTATCTAAGAAGAGTTTCTTCAAATGTTTACTTGGCTGAGATTTTACCATCAAAAACCCAAATAAATAAAAAACTGAGGTGGACACATTTTCCTTAACATAGAGGAATGATCAGATTTAAAAACATAATAAAGAATTATATGTAATTAAAATAAAAAGCATATTTTTAAAAATTCAGAATTATCTCATTTTTTTCAAGATTGCCTGTCTCAAACTTTTTTGGGGGTATTTCTTTACCGCTTAGTATTGGTGTAAAAAGTAAAAATGAATTATTTTATCTTGAATTGAACATTTCATTCATGCAGTCTTTTAAGTGGTTTAGAGATGGAAATTCTCAAAGCCTCACCATTTCATAATATTAATTGCATGTACAAAAAATTCTAATTGAGATTTGTCGATTTCAGATGAACTAAATGTTGCAAGAGGGAACCGCTATTTCTGGCTCATTTTATAAACGACATAAGTGCCATTTATTTCCGTAACTGGATGAGAGCTTTCAAGAATGAACTAGCAATAGGGGCTCCTCATTCCAAAATGTTATCCGATTTATACTACTCCAAGATTTAGGAGACAGTTTATAAAATGGTCCAATACTCTCAGTAGATTGTCATACACATTGTAAAAAGAAGACCAATCAGAGACTGAATTATGAAGTGTAACTTACATAACAGCTGCTAATAAATTATCTACAGCACAGAACATTAATAGGAACACACCAGGCCCAATGAGACCTATACTACTCATCAGTCGTCTCACAGAGAGAACAGACCATCGTTGAGTAATTAAAATATCAGCATAGTGCCCCGCCACTGCAAAAAAGAGATGAAAACTGAGGTAAAAGGTATGCAAAGAATTTTTCCTTATTTTTAAAGCTAAGAACTCCGACTCATATTCAAGAGATGAGGTTAGTATTGACAACAAGTGCGGCACATTCTGAGTTGCGTACTTTGCATCTATTCAATGAACTACGAAATTAAGAACTATAATATGAGTTTCCATATCAAAATTAAACAAAGAATACAATGGACGCATCGATACTTTCCGAATTCAACTAATAAGTTGGAAAATGACGGTTTTTGTCTATGTTAATTCACACTTCCCACTCATAGAGAAACCACAATCTACTCATGTAATGAAGTAATTTTGGTATATTTTACAAAGGAAAAATTTCCCTAAGTACTAACTTTTTCAGTACTTACAAATTTTGACAAAGGGGGAAAATTAGAGATTTTGATTGAAGAAAAAAAAATTGAAAACAGACATACCAACTCCAACAAGAGAATTGAATACGTAGGGAGCAGCAGTCAAGCTGATACTTTCTTTATTAGCGCCTAAATGACTGGATAGATATGTAGGAAGCCACTGCATGATTATGTAATTTGACCAGTTCATTGCAAAATGAGCTACGTATATAGCCCAAAGAGGCCAATGACAGAGGAACTCAACCCAGCGAATATTGTGATTGGTAACCTGGAAATTTAGAAGAAAGTAAATCCATTGGGAAAGTGAATCCATTGGGAACTTGAGGGTACTATTAATTTGTTCACATTTTCAAAATTAGAGTAATCTAGACATGTTTTTGCCTTAAAAAAGGCCACATTCAAAGCTATATCCCATAGCTTTGAATGTGGCCTTTTTTAACGCAAGTTTTCAATGAAGTTAGGACAATTTTGCAGGTATGTAAGGTCTTTTTGAAACTATGTAACTAAAGTGTCATTATAGTCAATGACCAATCTGGTATAATTTTTGATTTTTTTTTCTTTCCCATCCTTAAAATCCCCTATGGATTTCTAAGAGCTGTCTCCTTCCTAATCTTAATCCTGTCTCATCCAGTCCCTGGGGCGTACAAAAAGTATTAGACTCACAAAAAAAGACAAAACAATGGAGCCTCTTGGCAGACATCTGGACAATGTCTATTGTGTCATTACACTAAAATCTAATTTGCCACAGAAGAACTAGCTTCTTTTGCAATTTAAATAAAAAATTAGACTCATTGGCCACCGGAGAAAAACAATTTTTCCCTGTGTTGCAGGATACTTTGCTTTTTCCAGATATTCCACCAATTCCATCCTCTATGACTCGCGAATATTTTCTTATCTAGGTATCACACCTATTTTAAAATTGCAATACGTTAAGCATATTAGAGCTTGCATCACATACATTGATAGCTGTTTCCTTTCTGCTTGTGAGCAACTGCGCCCAATTATTATCGATAACTAATCACAGGCAACAATGCTAACGTACCCAGACTTGTGAGACAGGCTACAGGCTCAAAAGTAAAGATCTGCCTACTTGTCTGATGCAAGTTCTGACTATGATGATAAGTGATGATATTACCTTCGGTTGAATAAGTGGAAGTTCGTCAACAGTTGAATCTCTGTATTCTGAATAGAGAATCAGCCAAATGAGGACCCAGACCATGCCCAAAGAGCCAAATAAGTAGAACATTATAGGCCATGGTAAATGTGGACAGACCTAGAGAAAAGAAAATGAATTTGAAGCAACAGCTAGATCAAAAATAAACGGATAAAGGAAGGATCAATACACCTTCCATAAATTACCATCTTACTCACATTTTGCCTAAGTTCATGAATTTTGCTCATTCAATTTTTTTTCTAGTTTCATTGGCTGAACTGAATAAAACGATACTTCAGTGATAAAGAAAGAAAAGAAGAATAATGAGTAAGAAAATTATTTTTCCTTGTGATTTTTTTTTCTACTTATTTACTGACAAAATTTAAATTCTTGTAATTCTTAAAAGTCGAACAAAAAATTAACCAACCACTGAGGCAAAAGTCTGACCAACTGATCCAGCAGCAGCAAGGTAACCAAATGCTCTGGACCTTTCTTCAATTGGAACATTGTTAGCAAAGATGTGGAAAATTGTTGGCAATCCTGAAACAAAACAAGTATTTGGTTATACTATCGACTCATCGAGAGCTATGTTGTCGACATGCAAACTTACGGTGAACATTTCAGACTACGCTCCAAGGTGTACATTCACGATTTACCCTCTAGGGTGCACTATCATTGAGTATATATACCCTTAAGCAATCTCTACCTACTTATAACACTGTCGATATGCGGTATGTTGATGGACAGGTGAACAATGGAAGCAGCGAGAAATGGGTCACACTCACGAGTTCAATTCTAAAAGAGGCATTATTTTTTATGATTGATATCTTCATCCGTTGATTACATTTCGTCATTCTAAAAGGTTTCAAAACTCATACTATTACTATTATCTTTATTATGACTATACAGTTTTTTTCTACTTTGCATACACGTCACAACTCACATGCTCAATTTTGAGTTTATCTTCATTGTAAGGAAATAAATAATAATACAGAACTAGTTACCTTTAGTTTCTTTTTTGCACTTTTATGATAATAAGCGATTTTAAGTTACAACCCACTATCTGTTTAGGTTAGATTAAGCACAATCATTTTCTTGGTTTCTCAAATGCTGCTGTTCTTTTTACCAACACTTTTGAAAAAATCACTTCTTCCACAAAAAATCGTTAATGTCTCCTATGCTCTGTCATTAAAAACACTCTCAAAGGTATTATCAGCTAGTCTTTTTGTAGTGTAAGAATCATTATGAGGTCTCTCACAGGTAAGTTGGTGTGCATTTGAACTGCAGAATCACTGGGACATAAACTAATATACTAACAGCAGGATAAAAGTAAAAAAGCGTTTCATATAGTTGAGGCATGATGGAAATAATGAGACTAAATTCTAACAAAAAACTTTCACCATCATCTGGTTCATTAGCAGATAATTATTTATCTCACCTAGACCTTCGCCCAGACCAAGCAACACTCGAGTTAGTATTAAGGCTGGGAGAGACGGAGCTAGGATTGGAGTCATCATGTTGGAAAATGACCAGAGAAAAACAGCAAATAGCAAGACACTTTTAGCTCCAAATCTGTTGGCTGCACATGCTCCAAGCACCTGAAACACACAATTTGACAAATTTTCTCCAGCCGTATTATCAAGCTTTATCATTTAGGGACAAAAGGGGTCCCTGTACAATTAAGGAAAACTGGAATCAGAAGTAACACAACTAAAGAGAACGATGCACTGTGATTTTTTTAGTTTTGCTTCATGTAAAACACAGAAGTTTTTTTAGTTTTATGGCTTGAAATAAGGTACAATTTTTCACTGACAAGAGTACGTGCAAGGCCAGAATTGCAAAAAACTTGCTTCTCATCCCCTCAAAAGGAAAAAGAAAAAAACCCACTAAGTTCTTCTCTATAAGTTTTGCCATCATTTTTGATACTGTTCCTCATGGTGTTTGCAATAGGAAAGTACAAATATTTTTATAACTGGTCCTATAAGTTTGACGATTATATTTTTGACAATTTTTAGCAATATAAATAATTTTCTCTCAAGTTTCTTTCATTCTTTTTCAGATGAAACAAACAGAGGTATATTCTCTTCAGAGAAGACAAAGACAATTTTCCATGCATCAATACACCAAAAAGAAAAAAACAAATATAATTAATTTATTCATGGTTGAAGGAAAGCAGGTATGAACAGAGCTTTGACACCCTTCTGATTAGCTTGTCCAACTCATGCATCACAGACTTGTGCAGGAGCTCTATATATGTGTTAGTGAGGAGAGGCCCTACTTGTATTTTAAGCATGATCTCCGTCAATACGTTAGTGAGAGACGGTCTGATTGGTGCATAATGAATCAGAAAATTTTTTCCCAGATGCTTTGTTGAAGCTGTTACGTCCATATCTGCTGCCCTCTACAATGATACTGTTCCCTTCCTTCCCTTCTTTTGGAGGTGGGGGTGGGGGAGCACTAAGATAAGAAGTATGTAGAACTGCAAAACTTTGTGGTTAAGGTACAAAAATGATGCATGCTTCAAGGGTAAGTTAATAATCTAGATCAACATTTATGTAAGGAGAAAAGATGAATTGATGAAATAAACTATCTGCGAAAATAAGATTTCCTAAAATTATATATTTGACTCTTCTTTTTACTCTCCCTTAATATAAATTTATCTAACCATTTCCCAGCTCCAAAATAATCTGATCCGGACTTCAAGTGGCTTAAAAATAGTCTGATAGAAGACAAAACAAGGCGCAGACGAAAAAGTTATGCATTTCATAAAAAAAAAGGCTTTATATACACATAGAATAGAAATGATAAAATTTCAACTTTTTTTCTTCTTCAATTTTTTAAAGGACGGCAGTACTTCCTCTACCCACTAACAAGGGGAACTTCCCAAGCTGCCGCCTCCGATCGGGCTGAAAAAATTCATACGAACTCTTTGGATGAATTTATTTGACCCGTATTTTTTTGTTTTTTCCAACGCCCCCTAGAAACCCCCCAAAAAAATTCCGGAAAGTCTTGCTTTGAGCGCTCGAGTCTATATACGTAGTATAGCAACCATTTCTTATCAGTCGGCGGTGGCTCTACGGTAGCGCGCTTGACCGGTGTCACAGCGGTCCCGGGTTCGAATCCCGGGCGCCGCGCCTATTTTTTACGACCGAATTTTATATTCTCACACATTTTCACATCGAATCCCATTTAATACAGTGGAACTTAAAACATCAATTAATTTACAACCATCATCAAACACAAATTGATCTACGATCAATAACTTCTTCAATTTGAAGTATAGATTTTTTTTGGGAGGGGGGGGGGAGATACGCGCGCGATTATCTCGGGAGAAATATGTTGATGTGAGGGGGCTGAGCGGGTCGTCGGCTAATGTAAAAGTACAGTGATTGGCGAGATAATCGCGCGCGTATCCCCCCCCCTCCCAAAAAAAATCTATACTTCAAATTGAAGAAGTTATTGATCGTAGATCAATTTGTGTTTGATGATGGTTGTAAATTAATTGATGTTTTAAGTTCCACTGTATTAAATGGGATTCGATGTGAAAATGTGTGAGAATATAAAATTCGGTCGTAAAAAATAGGCGCGGCGCCCGGGATCCGAACCCGGGACCGCTGTGACACCGGTCAAGCGCGCTACCGTAGAGCCACCGCCGACCAATAAGAAATGGTTGCTATACTACGTATATACACTCGAGCGCTCAAAGCAAGACTTTCCGGAATTTTTTTGGGGGGTTTCTAGGGGGCGTTGGAAAAAACAAAAAAATACGGGTCAAATAAATTCATCCAAAGAGTTCGTATAAATTTTTTCAGCCCGATCGGAGGCGGCAGCTTGGGAAGTTCCCCTTGTAAGTAGGCGAGTGAGTGAAAATTATTCCCGAAAAGAGAGAACTAAAAAGTGTAAAAACCTGTTTATCATTTTGAAGAGATGGTAGGTGCAGAAGCTGAAACAGTCACAACAACAAAAACCAACATTCTTAGTTGTCGCAAATGTAATAAAGTGCATGACAAAACAAAACAATAAATCTGAGAGGAAAATAATGAAAGAGAAAAAACACACAAAGAGGGAGAAGGAGCATTGTGACTGATGAGAGAGATGAAAATAAGTTTTGAGGGGAAAAAAAGGAAGAAACTGCAATTTAAAAACAGATAATAGGCCATTTGTTTCATCTAGTAATGGCTGTAGTAGTAGCAGTCAAATATGAAACCTCTAAATGGCTTGGAAATAAACTAAAAATTAATGTAAGTCTCCACTCAAAAAGAGAAAATTTAGGCCACTTCAGTTCTGTCCTTAAAAGATTTCTTGCATTGTTGGTGAGTGCAATTTAAGGATAAAATTGGCACAAACTATATCCTTCAAAACAGCCATCTCCTCCTAAGCAGTTGCTGAACATTATATAATTTCAATAATTCTTTTTTCCATCAATTTTGGTAGGGACTTAACAACAAAAAACCTTTGATCACCGTATGTTACATGATCCAATATTCCATCGATGACTATTATGAAGCCATCCTTGAAAAAAACTTGTCACAAAAAAGTCCATCAGAGAAATTTACTTGGTTTAAAGTGAAAAATTATGATTGATAATAATTTCCTTAAAACTTACCTGACTAGAGAAATATCCAAACGCAAAAGCAGAAAGGATCCATCCTTGCCAGTGTAGGCTCCAATTAAATTCACTTTTCATGGGAATAATAGCTATCGGCATGATGACCCTATCCGCTGCGTTGATGAAATTTGCCATTGAACAGAGTGCAATGATCCTCGACGTCTTGGTATGAAGTCTGTTAGGAGCCATTTTCTAACTTGTGATAAGTTCAGACACTAGAATTCTTTGTAAATGTTAACCGTCACCCTTCCAGAGACGGATTCTGTAAGAAATAAAACAGGCTTTAGAAATTCGGCTTATATTAAGATAGCACTAGAAATATTCTACTGAAAACCAGCATAAAGAAAGTCAACAACTGATAATTACTGCATATGAGGAAATTTGGGAAACTGAGAACTGATGGAAAATAAATAAAAATACAGAATGAGTTGTTTCAACACAGGGGTACGGCGTATTCACACGCCTTTGTAGTCGAAGATGGTGAACGTGGTAGAATTTTGAAGAGTTTTAGGACTTATGTCTTCATAGCATCATTGATTTATTACTTAATGTACTTAAGTAATTAATATTTTCTCTTTTTGAAATCTTTTCTAACTAATTTTAAACCATTATCATACAGTTTTCTGTGTATTGAGGACACCTCATAAAAAAATAAAGATCAACGATCTATAGGTTGCTCGGTTGGAAGACACATGACAGAAGATTCCACACCTTTCATTCTATTTGGAAGGGAATTTGCTAATGAAAGATATCCAAATATTGTCCGCTCACGGGAAGAACAAAATATTGATGATTGAATATGATCTGAAGAATCGATCATGAGGGGGAAAAAATTGCTTTAAAGGCACATCTTGGCAAGCAAATTTAGTCCATATTCTGCACATTCATTAATATTACTTTGTACCTCAACTGCTCGGCCATGAAAGATTTTGTCTTCTGATAATGTGCAGAGAAAATGGGCTAATTGAGAAGCTTTTCCAAAAAATTAGGTATACAGAACCTTTTACATCGCTGGTAGAGTATGGCGACTATTTTTGTGTAGCTATTAGTAACTACAGATGAAAAGTTACTCAGATCTAACATCGGTCAGAAGGGTTCATAACAAAATTCCATTTGATTGACACCCTTAATTGGATGGAAAGGTGGACGTAAAGTTAAAGGTGATGTCAGATTCAGAGTTCCTGTTAACTTATGTCCGTTTTTTGTGTTCTTGTGTCAGGATCACACGATCCAACTTTTCATCTGACAAAATAAGAACAAACGGTGGGTGAAAAGTTGGATAATCTGAATTGGGTTTCAGAGGTTGCAGGAAAATTGTGGCCAAGTTAAAGGTTTGAGGGATTAGAGTGCATCACCAACTTTAGAACCATAGTACGGAATTTGACCTACCTGAGAGTATTACTTCTAAATTGGAGAACAAACATGTCCACGTTTGAACTTCATTGTGAGAGGACTTGCAAATACAGGAATGAAGATCCTACCGATTTTTCAACGATTGAAGTCGGAGTAAATTACAGGAGAAAAATTGCATCCGATAATTGAAGAGCTTTGAAACTTGATAAAGGAGGAAAGAATGGGACGTAAACAAATAATATGACAACACAACCATACAAACTGTTGCCAGCTTGCAATGTTTGCAACAATTAAAAATAACTTCTTGTAGAGAACACAGATTAGTCGTATAAAATAATTTATTTTTTGTGTTTAAATGACAATGGTGTAAAGCTCATTCCAATTCCCAGATTCCTGTATTTTTTCATTCAACTTACGTTCCATTGCCGAATTCCTTGTTCACCACCGCGTTGTTCACTTTCAATGTTGCCAAAATGTTATCCAGTGATTAATGGTGGTTGATTCAATTGCGTCTTTCTCGCAATTAGTGACAGTTTTCATTGTTTTTTAATTAAAGTCCGTATTTCAACTTTATTTTCGAAGGTAATTTAACATCCAGTCAGCCATTTACTCGCTAACTACGCGAGCACGTTCATCCGGTCGGTACACCCGTAGTGTTGTGTGGGTGCCGTATTATTACATTCATTTGCGTTTTCCAGAAGAGAGTTGTTTCTTCGTAGATTTTTCCATTATACCGTAATTTTGGTAAGGTTGAATTGAAATTTCCTCCCCTAACCTGTCAGCTTTTTTATCTAGCTTGTTTATTGCTATTTGCAACACCCATCATTTCTACTTCTGTAGAAATGGAAATTTGAAGGTTATATTTTCCCGTTTCACCCAACCGAGACCCCTGGAGCTTTTGCGAATATGACAGTGCCTTTCAAACCTGTCATTTACCTTTAGCACTATCATCACCAGTCACATGCATGCTGACCAATAATGAAATCAAGTAAACGAGCTTTGTACTTGATTTTATTTGATCATGAAGCTATGTAGCGTTTGTTATTGGTATCATACACATCGAATATCTGATTACATTACCTCCTGCGTTTTTTTTTATCGCTACCTCTAATTTCAACTCTCCTAGCCAACTTTGCACAATTCCGAGTCACGTCCTCCTCCATTAGCGGAATCCTCTGTTTCCACTTAGCTGTCAGCGAAACTTTCAGATATTAGGTAGGGTCAACCCCTTGGATAGTTAGAATCTGCCCCAAAGAAGTTTACGCATTGCTAAAGTGCTGCAGAAGATCATCAGATGTCAGTTTAGCATTGAGAGTAAATGCAAGAATGAGGGAAGGTGGTGTATCTTCTTTTGCAGTCAAATAGTGCGTAGACTTAAACTCCCCGTGGACTCTTTTATCAGTAGGAAGTCTTAATAAGCCACATCTTATCAATCAGTTGTCTTACTGAGGTCAGGATCTGCGATCATTTTTTTTTTTTAGTGTTACATAACCTCAACCTCATTACTGAAGAGAAGTTTTAGCTGGTACCTAAAAAATTTAAGAATGTGAGAGACAAACTACAGGAATATTCTAACACTGTAGTAGGTAACGAAGCTGATATATTCAGACTGTGCCCCAAATTATACTACTGAAAGGATATGACAAGGAAGTACCAATAAATAAAGTGTGAAATAGGGCTAAGGAAAATTGATGAATGATTCAATCAATCAATAATTCAGGAAACTATGAAAGCAGGATACAGTAAAGATGAAAGCGCAATGTACTCTCTACATGATCAGGGTGAAGGAAATGTTCCACCTCATGACCTCGCATTGAAGGATTGCGTTAGGTCAAGAGTTTTTCCAGGATACCGGAGAATTTCTATCATTTTTGGACTGTGGGAAGGAATTTTTTCAGGATTTTAGGGTTACTTAAATTCTTGTGAAAGAACCCAAAAGTTTATTGGGAAATTCATGAAAGCATTTTCACAAAGAGGAAAAGCTAATCGAAATCCAGTCTATCAAAAACTGAAGCTGAGTTTGACAAATCAGCAAACGAAGTTTCCCTTGCCTGGCTATTTCATCAAAGCCCACCAACTTTCAGGAATTGAATTTTATAAAATGGGTGTTATTGACCAATGCGATGTTGTTTGAGGATTTTCACAAAATTGGTGGTGGTCTTGGCAGCAACAGAAAAGCATTTTATCCTGGCAAGCAAGATTTGTGGTAAATTGAAAGTATCTGAGAAGTAGTAAACGTGACTCTCATGCCTGTTAGTTGATTCATATAAGGGGAAATGGCTGCTGAAAGGAAAGTACAGCCCCTGGTACCATTGTTAATACCATGAGGGAGAACATCATTGTAATTGGAAAATAATTAGACCTAGTTTTAATTTGCTCAACTTACATGGATATATTTTATTAAAATAATATTCTTTCTGTTCGATCATAGTAGCGCATTGAAAAAACCACAATGACTGCGGAGGGTCCAGCAAAGGAGGTCGTTGATATCCTTCGGCAGTGGGAAGAAGAACACGCATCGCCCAACTATGACCCAATCCCAACTTTAACAAAGTAAGTTACCTGCTTTAAAGATTGAGAGATTGAAATGCTTGTGTGATGACTGTCGAATTCTGCCACATCACAGAAAATTTATTTCCTGAAAAAATAGTAAATACATAATGTATTATTTACTTTTGCTCACATTCTCCTGTATCCTGCTTTAAGTACCAATAGGAGTGATCAAACACTGTGATACAGCCGTCATTAGTGTAAATCAAGTTTTCAAAATATGTCTCCCATGAAAGTAATTGCTACACCAAAATTTCTTCAGGTGTGCCATGTATTTTTTACCATTACAATCACAGCAACATTCTTTTCTTTGTCAAAAAGTAATATATTTGTGGAACAATGTTATTTTTGGGGATGTTAAATTTGTTTTCTCTCTTAAATGTAACAGGAGAAAGAGGGCAAATTTTCACCTTGAATAATCAATGCTTCCGAGTGCAATTCTTTGTTTTGAGTACCAAAATCTCTGAATGAAATGGATTAATTAACTACAATCGAATACTGCTTGCGAATTCTTTACTGTTGACTCAAGCTAGACTTTAAAATTTTGCCAATTACACACTAAACTTTTTATGATACATCACTTTCAAGTAGCTAATACTTTTCCTGATCTTAATTTTGTTTTCTTTTTCCCTCAGACTTGCTGTGATGATAGAAATAGAAGCAGAAAACTACCAAAAAATGGATCCAGACCCATTTGATGAACGCCATCCCTCAAGAGTGTACCCGAACTGTGCTTTAGGTCACATGCTGAAAGTCCTTTTTCGCAAAGATATTTTCATGACTAAGGTATTTATTTCATGACATTAAAGAGTCTACTTGCATGAAAAGTGCTCTTCATATTTCTGCTGATGTCCTTTCATCTTATTTTCACTGTCAAAGAAGAAGCTCACAGATCCAAGAAAGAGTAACCTCATAAACTTGCAGGGTCATCCGGTGATACAATTAGTTGACGGTTAGACAAGTTTATGAAGAATATTTAATTGCTAATAATGTCCCACAGTTCTCTATTTGCTAACCTCTTTCTTTGATGTATGGCAGTCATTTAGATAAAAAAGCCAAATGTCAGATTTGATGGATGGCAGAGCTGAATTTAAAATTTTGTCACCTTGAGCTGACAACAGCTTTGCAAGCCGTAAGTTCCAAAATTTACGACCTTTGAAGACTTGAAAATCAAAGGAAAATAATGAAAGAGAAATTTCATAGAAGTGAATTTCAGACAAGAAGTGGAATTAAAGCTAATTCCTTTCATGCTTCAATTTTGTGTAATACAAGTTTAACCTGATAAATCAATTTCCAAAATTTTGAAAAAAAATTACCTTCTCTCAAATTTTCTTAAAATCTCCAATTACCTTCTTGAGAAAGCTGTGCACCCAAACTTGTCTCAAAATTTGAAGGAAAATAACAAGGAATTTGATTGATGGGATAAAAATACATTCAATATGTCTGTGATCCATCAAATATGATGTATTCCCGTTCAGTGTGTCAAGTTTCTACGTCCTTGTCTCTCTGAATCCTGAGGCAAGTTTTGCTAAGAAACCTCAAGTTTGTGGCTGGATGTTTTAGATTAGAAACTCCCTAAAAAAGCGATACCTCTCGAGTATAATCGATCTGGTAGGTTGAACTGGTGTTCAACTTATCTCACTAAAGAGCTGGACACACATCCAATGTGATGGCTGTTTAGTCAAGTGTTGCGCATCGATGCGTAAAAATAGAGAGACCCGCTCTCCTTCTAAGGTAATCAATGGCAATACTTGGCTAAGCAGTCACCACTTTGGAGCTTCACTTTGAACAAGTGTCTAGCCTTTAAGGTGAGAAATCACTTTTGGGAACTTGTGGTTGAATGTGAATGCCACAGTCCCTCTTTACTATTCTAAGTCCTCAGCATAAAGTATCCTGTGCACTTAAATATGTTTCATCCTCCAAATTTCAGCTTGTAATGGACTATCTCAGAGAAAACTATTACTCCCGTCAAAATATCATAGGAAAAGATGTTCGTAAGCTAAATATTGCAGCCTGTCGCTTGATGTTGGACATCATGCCTGGTCTGGAAACATCTGCAGTGTTTGAAACGGTAAGTTTATATTGCATTGCTTGTTTTTTTTCAAAGAAACAAAGATAATTAAATGCATATCAGTGCTGCTGAGAAACTTAATTGTGTATACGCACTGATGATGTTTAAATTGATGTCTCCTTTTATTCATGGTTTGCAGATTTTTAAAGAAATTACATATATTAAAGAAAAAGATTGTGAAGAGAGTGCGCAAGAAGTGTTCAATTTTTTGCCAATTTTTTTGTATGTTTAATTGTTGAAAATAATTAGCCTCTTTGTTCAGCTATAATCATTACATTTATCTTCATTCCATACTCTTGTGACGTTTCAGCCAACAAATGATGCCCTAATTCAACGTTTGTTTTCGTGGGCAACAGATGCTCCTGAGCCACTTCAAACTTATGCGACAGGTTTACTTGCAGCCGCAATGGAAGTACAAGATATTGCTGCTGGGTTTAGGTAACACCTTTTCTTTCTCGATATCAGCGTTACTTTTTGAGGGTGTTTCTTAATAATTATTAGAACGTTTTAAACCGGAGCTCTTTCAGCATTCGCCAATTAAACTAAAAATTTCAGTCAGAGGTATGTGAGCAGCCAATTTGCTTTATTCTGGAGGAATTCTTTCGAGTGATATTTCAAGCACCTCCCTAAAAGCCCACTGCGAAATATTATTTCAATTTTTTCCTTCCCATCTTAAATTAAAATGATTTTGAAATGCGAGTTAAGTCGCCATTTTAGGCACACAACTCCACAACCATACTTGAGCAGAATGTTGTGATTAAATGTTAACATTTCAGCTGCCATAACTTTTAACTCCAATCTCTCTAATTCATTTTCTGCAAATTAAACGGAAAAATAAGGGAACAAAATAAAAACAATGAAACTTTCATAATTACCGGTATTTTACTTTCATTGTTTTCCCTTCAGGGAAGACAACAACAGGTTAGTTCCCTTGATGTTAGAAAGACTTCACAAACTTCAAAGAGAAGAAATGGAAGAGCGGACCAAGGATTACCAGCAAAATTGTGCCACAAATCCAAGACCTTTTGCACATCTAAACAGTCATAGTAAAGATAATACCTTGGATTCTTCTCCCCGGAAAAAAAGTAAGTTGCCAATGAATTGTGTGTGTATTATGTAACAAAATTGCGAAGACCTAGTTTTAATTGCAACTTGAAGTTTCAACTACAACTCAACAAAAAATTTAATAGGACAATCTCTCAATGACAGCTCTCATTTAAAATGATTCTTACAAATGCTGTCAGGACCCATACATCTAATCAACCCTTCCAATTGAGCTCTGAAAAGAGTAGAAAACTTGCGATTCAGCAATCTGTATGTGCACAAATAAAATTCAGCAAGTAACATGATGGTGCCACTGATTTCATTATCAATCAACTATGAAGCTCTTGCGGTTGAAGCTGTAATGATGGTTGACTATTTTCAATTATGAGAGAATATTTTCGTATATTTTCTAAGAGCAGGTTGGGCTGTGTATATGAGTCGTGGGGGAAGAGGGAGGATGTCATTCTGTAAATGGAACCTCTCTTATAACGAAGTAATTTTTATCCTATTATCATGGCAACACTGCCCATGTACCCATTTCCATCATTGTTTAGAGAGTCTACTAATTACAGAGGTAGATTAATCTGTATTCTGTTAATTCAAAGCTACTGCAGTGTTAGCTTTAAGAGCTTATGTGAGCTTTGGGGTTGAATACATGCAAAACCATCGTGTAACTTTAATTTGCTTGTCGTAGGTCATCATGATGTATTAAGNGGGGGGGGGGGGGGTGTATTGAAACAAAATAGATCTTTGTTGTATCTCTAGTTAATGGAGTTTTATTGATATCCCTGGAAAAAAAGTGCTTCATTTTTATTTTGGATAAGTAATATTTTAATATACTGATTGCAGCGTTGAATCTTGATGGTACGCATGCTTACCTTTAGCTTGAGCATCATCAAACAATTTATTTGGATTTTTCAAACATTATTGTGGATTTTACACTATCAGTGAAATTAAGTTTTGGCATCACTTCTTTTTTCTCTGATAATAATCAAAGTTACTAGATATGGATAGTAATAGTAACTGAAGAAAGCAAAAGCTTTGAACTGTACTGAAGATGTTTGATTGACTCATGTTTTTGTTTAATTATATTTTCAGTGAGAACAACCCGCAACAACAAACCACAAACAATTTCTTTGTATGATACCGATGCATGTATGCAGGACACGTTTGCCAAAACAGTGCCAAAAACAAATGGAATATCACAGAAAGACTGTAAAGGTATGGCTCATTTTCTTTTCTTCAAAACGTGCCTTTTCCCCCTCAAAACTAACTAGACTTTTTTGAGTTTCCTGGTTCAGAAAGAGAAGAAAAAAATATTTTAAGAGGGGATAAAAATAGAACCTAATCTAATTTAAGTAATTCCGCAGAGAGAGAATTTCTTGCACAAATAAAACTCAGAGTGTGGGTTAAGCTGTCTTTAGATGATGCAATAACTAAAGGTATTTTTATAGAAAAAATTAGGACCTGAAGCTCAAATTGATTTTCTTTGGTTAGTTTTAAAACAGATAAATTGATCTCGGCTGTCTTGGCTCTTTTCTAGGAGGGCGGAGATCAAGTTGTGAACTAGGTAGGATGTCTCCACCTCGGTCTAAAGCAAGTCCCTGCCGCTTCAACGAATCTAGCAATTCATCCTGGTCAGAAATGGAACCTTTTCTGATTGGTTCTGTGCAAATGTATCCACCAACCCTTGACACTAGGCAGATGTTCATCTTAAAGTATTTAACTCCAATGGGAGAATATCAAGAGGTAAGAATTGTAATTCCTATTCCGTTCTAAAACTCAAAGCTCAATGCTCAAAAATTGATGTCTCTGTTTTTACGTGTGTGTACAAATGCTGATTTTTAGAATAAGCACTGAGCATCAACCAGGGTTGACCTAAATAATTAGGGTTTCTGTTGGTGATCCATAAGTGGGAAACATCATAATAAATAACCATAAATCACCTCTAGTTAATTCATTATATTTCTTCACTTTGAGCCCTGGATCTCATTTGGATGAAATAAATAGTCAAGAGTTGATTTTTAGTTGTGCAGCGAAGCCGTATAGACTCTAGGTTTCGCCGGAGGCTAAAAAATGTATGGTTTTACCTCTCTTGAAAACTTTCATAAGTTTCAAGGTAGAGACCTTTCTTTAGAAATCTAATTAATATCTATTGACTTTACATCTCAGACCAGTATGTGGCAACATAGGAGTACTTACTTAGTTTATGATTGAAATAAAAAGGAGGATACGTGTGATAAGCATCTAATCAAGAGAATGTAATCCCCTAATTTATTTCTTTTTCCTTGCAGTTCCTGAGTCACGTTTTTGAAAAGAACGCGCTTGGTTTGATTTTAAATTTCATCAACATCAAGGAAACAAAACGTTCATCGCGGTTAGCCTTTGAAGCTCTGAAATACCTAGCTGCACTTCTGTGCCACAAAAAGTTCTCAATCGAGTTTCTCAGCATGAATGGTCTCCAGGTATGAATCTGTCTCAGAAAATTCATTTCTTCATAGCTTTCTTCCAGTATCATCCATCGCATTTTCGTTGATGTTACTCTGTAGTAATAATTTATGATTTTCAGCTTTTCTTACTAAATTCAGTATCTTTTGTGGGAGGTGGGGTGGGGAGGGTGTTGAAAGAGGGTAGAAACATCTAGAAACGTATTGCACTTTTATCTTTGTATTTCAAACTTTAGTCGCCTTGTCAGAATTCTGCTCACAAGTCTCACAACTACATGAGCCAGTTTAAGTTGTCTGTTGTGATAATCTAATTTTGTGCTTTTCTCTCTTCATGCAGCATCTTCTGGAAGTCCCTCAACCAGGCATTGCAGCAACTGGTGTCTCAATATGCTTTTACTACTTAGCATACTGTGAGGATGCCATGGAAAGAGTGTGCTTATTACCCAAGGAAATTCTTCATGAAGTTGTTAGGTAATGCCTTATTTATGCCTAGTTTATTAGCTGAATAATCAGTTTCTCCACACCTTCCTCCTTGCAGTCACAAAAATTTCTGATCACTATCTTAAAAGGTAATCCTGATTGCCCTGATTGATGAAGATGCCTGAAGCTCTGTAAAATATCATGGAGTAATAAATTCAAGTTGGTCGCAGTGTGAAGTACCACAAAGAGTTTTCAAAGAAAAAGGAAAACTTTTATTCAGATTTTATCATCACTGGCAGTTGTCATTATCGATAACCATTAAGTGTTGAATTTTTTCAGTTGTCATCAATATTCATGAAATTTATAAAATTGTTCATCCTCTTATTCCAGGTATGGTCTATGGTTACTAGAATGTTCACATGATTCAGGTAGATGTCATGCTACGATGTTCTTCGGTCTTTCATTTCAATTTCAGATCATCCTTGAGGAGTTTGACAGTCAAGATGGACTTAGAATCTTATATAATGTTGTGAGTTTTTTTGGTTATGCTCTATATGGTAATAAATAATCCTAATTTTGCTCTGCTTAGTAATATATTTTTAATTGTTCCCTAAAATTTTTACCCCTACATAATTTGTGAATAAATAAATAAGTAAACAAATAATTAGATAAAGAATTGATTTAGTTCGTTTTAAGTAGAAGTTTTCAATATTGGTTAGGAAAAATTTTAAATGAATACAATTTTCAATGTCAAAATTAATTAATATTCAAGCGCCTGCGACTTGTTTACATCAAATTGAGTGCAATACTAATTTAAGTAATGTTTTCTATAATTATAATTCTAGTTCTAGACTTAATAATAATTCTAAACTAACTAACTAACCAACCACTGCAATTGAAACAAGCCGTTTTTCAAGAATAAAGTGTCTTTGTTATGAGAATGCTTGAGAAAATAAAAAAATAAAATTCCTTTGAGTTTTAAGGGGAACACCTACAAAAAAAGTCACATTCTTACTTGCGTACAGCAAATTTTGTCTTGATGTAATTTCTTATTTTTGCAGATGAGTATGTTACAACTCTTATCAAATGAAGGTGATACAGTCAATGAGGATGAAGAATCATCAGCGAGGCAAATAGTACGTCATGTGTGCGTCGCTCTGAAACGTTACTTAGAAGCCCATCTCTTTATTCAGGTGCATAAACTCCAACGAGCTGAAACAGGACTGCCAAGCAATAAGGTAGGCATTTATTAATGAATCAGCAGGCTAAATTTGTGTGGACTAGTCATGATGCAAAATATAAAGAAGTAAAAAACAGTGAAGGCAGACAGTATTTGGAGGAACAAATTCCCTCTCTTTTTCTTTCAAGTGGATAATTTTTCATAGTTTAATCCACTCAAAGTCGTTTCATGTTTCTGTTCATTTTATTCCTAATCTGAATCAACCGTGTCTAATCTACCTATATTTTTTAACTTCATCCAGCCATGTTTTGAGAGTCTCGGTTGAGGTGAGTTCAGTGTGGGCAAAGAAATCAGGCCTGTCGACAGAATGCCACCAGTTTCGCTCTTATCAGAGCACATTAGCAAAACCAGTGGCGTTCCGTTGACAGGCCTAATTTCTTTGCCTTCACTGAACTCTCCTCAACCGAGACCCTTGAAAGTAAAGCAGCGCTTTATTGAAAAATCCAAAAAATGGCTAGAAGAAGGTAAAAAAATATTGGCAAACACTGTACAGCCACCAAGAAATTTAACTCTCGGCGTGTATCTAATCTGTTCCAATTTCTAGCTAGCTAATCATACCAGCACAGTTTGCCTGATAGCTTAACCCTTTGACGGCCGCGTTAGGAATACGGCCGCCGATAGTGGCGCTCTCTGTCAAGGATAAGATAAAGATGTAATTCATATTTTTGCCGACAGAGTGCGCATATGCTGTATGCTTAATTTCATTGAAAAACAAGGGAGCTAGAGCGGGAAATACGAACGCGAGGCGCAGCACGAGAATACTCGGGCGTGTCTGTGACGGTGGCTTGCCGCAACCCGAGTATTCTCGGGCGTGGTACTCAAAGGGTTAATGTTCAATAAATTGTAAGTATGCAACTCAAGTTGAGCGTCTAACTTTCATCTCATGTTTTCTGAATAATTACAGATTTGCAAAAGTTCACCGGAAGAAGTTTTAGAGCAGATTGAAACCATGATGGAACTATTTTCATTTCGTGACACTTGGGATCCTGTGAATAAGCTCTTCAACTTCGGAGGCATAACTCTTTTATTGCGAGTCATTATTTTTGCTTATGAGTGGAACTATTCTGGCAGGTAAGTGAAAATCTAACACAGGCATATAAACACTAATTTTATCTAAAATTAAAAATCAAATATATAGTTGATACCAGTATTATCCAAGAAAGTGCTTTAAATATAAAAATAACAAAAAAAAACTTCAACATCTACCTTAAGCAATAAAAATAAGGAAAATTGGGCAGTAAAGCTTTTTCTGCGCTTTCTGACTCACTCTCCTATCCTTTGCTGGAGATTTGACTAGCAGATTCAACTGTCCATCAGTTTTGCAACTCCTCGTTAAATTTGAGGAAACTTCTCAGTAAAAATTAGAAATAAATGGCCGCAAGCAGTTTTGCATGAGCCTATGACCGAAGAAGTACAGCAAATGAAATTTTATTCCTCAGTGTACAATCGCAAGGAAATCACAATGGGCACATAAAAATAGTCTGAAATCCACTCCCTAGTGCACAATCTGCTTATTTTGTAACTTGCTTTTTTAAGTTTCCTTTGTTCACGGGTAGTTTTTCTCAGTCTTCGGCAAGCAGGTTGGTACAGACGGAGGAGAAAAAAAAACCTAATCTGATTAAACAAACATTTTCATACACTCTTTTTAGTGTATGATTTCAGTTGTTTTCGAGCGCCTATCTCCTTCTTCTCCCTTTGTTTTTCCAAAACAAAAGCTCTGATCAGTTGATATCCTGCCTAAAAAAAGTGTTTAACAGTCAGCGGTTCAGGTCAGGTTTTCTCGAGTCTCTCTAGGCAAACCTGACTGCCGGCCATGAAGAAAAAGTGCCTGCATATGTAGTAAATTTTCGTAAGCACATAACGCTCTAAGAGTGATTTTTAGATTTTTTTGCTGTGTGTAATGTTATTGTGCGCAATTTTACCTTCAAAAAGTCTATTTACTTTGGCGTAACTCCTGCATGCATCAGACCCCTTATTTGGGTCACTCATTGTGTCTGATTTGTGTTTCAGAGCTGAGACTGTACGCAGTGCACTGGATGTCCTGAATATTTGCTCGATAATGCCCTGTGTTGCCCTGCAGTTGTGCCAGCGAGTCGATCTACCAGATGACGCCAACACTGTAGGATTAAATGTTATATTAGGTGCCGCAGAGGGTGAGATAGTCGCTGATCCTGAGGTTCAAAAAGCAGCTCTTGGAGTGATAATTACCTGTGTTTGTGCTCCTATTCATAGGGTTAGTTTGCCTATTATTCTTTTTCCAGCTATTATTGTTTATGTTTCAAGGAGATTGATTCTTGATCAAAGTTTACCTATTCGGTATTACGAAAAGGGTTCTGTTGGAATTCCAAACTCATTTTTATCCTGTGCTTTATACTCTGGGCAGCATTCCACGGCTACAGGGAAGGACGTCTCCCTTAGTGAAACATTGGTGCTAGCTTCGCGGCTAGATTTTAATCATTTTTCTTTCATTTTCGCCCTGCCGTACTTTTCAAATTCGTTTTATTCCTCAAGTTTAAACTTTTATAATTCCTCAATAATTATTATTATTCAAATCATTACAATTATTCAATTTCCCAATTAATACAGGAAATGCTGTGCTTTCTTTGCTTATATGGACTTTTGACCACTGTTACCTTGTATTTAATCAGAATATGCATGTGATCTTTCAGTTTGGTTCCAAAATTTCATCATCTAGTAACTTAAGGAAACGCTCATCATACACTATCAACAGTAAAGGACTTCTGGAAAAAATTTGGGAATGTGTCAGAACAAATAATGGAATTATGGTAAGTGGAATCTGAACTTTAATTAATTCCTGCAGACCAAATGAAACTAAGTATAGTTAAGCTTTTTTTTAAGGTCCCATTTTGATTGATGAGTCAGTAGGGTCTCTTTTAATGAAGAACAAAATTCTCAGACCGTTCTTTAAGTTTACTAAACACTCTCAAAGCTGTATCCAGCCACTGGTAACCTTTAAATCCCAGTCTTTTGGAAACCATGAAAAGCCTGCTTTTTATAAGCATAACATTTTACCTTGGTAATATGTCTTTATAAAGCAGACTGTTCAGGCCTATCTGAAAAAGAAAAAGAACTATTTAGAAAAATATTAAATCTAAACTGAAGGACTGTAAAAGAAGCAGATTAGAGTAAAAAGATTAAATCTGTCAGTTAATATCAATTATTGCACAGTGTTATTTTGTTTGATCTTTAATCCTATACATGTTTTGTGATAAAATTAATACTTTTTTTCCCTGCATCCACAGGTGCTTCTTTCTTTGATGACAGTCAAAACGCCTATCACTGATGCAGATTACATCAGGTGTCTAGCATGTAGGGCTCTGGTTGGCCTTGCGCGCAGTGAAACTGTTCGTCAAATCTTGAGCATGCTGCCACTTTTTACAAACGGAGAATTGCAAAGTAAGTATTTCAACAAAGATTCAATTGAACAAAAACATGTATAAGGGAGTGCCCTCAGAAAGATCTACCCAATTAGGATGGAAGGAGCATTATGGATATTTTGGTGGCGTTGTAATTTTAAAGCTAGCTTTTCTCATCAACTGTTCATCTTTTTGATATGTGTATAGTCAAAACTTTTTCAAGGGAATTCTAATGGGTATTTTAATCATAAATCTTAATTTTTTTTGGATTTGAAAAATCGGATCAAAATTTTACAGCCATTGAGTAATTGCTGCAGTTCTTGTAAATCATTTATCGTCATTCATTTTGCCTATCTTTAAGTGTTTGATTTTAAAAATCTAATTTCATTCGTATTTTCCAGGGTTGATGCGGGATCCAATTTTGCAAGACAAACGTCAAGAGCATGTTAAATTCCAAAAATATGCCTTGGAGTTGCTAGAGCAGGTTTCAGGTAAAACAAAACCTGATGGGTCAGAATTAGAGGCGTCACTTTCATATATTCATAGGGTGAGCTCTTAATTATATCCCTCGTTCAGTATAAGTTTTATTTTGAATTAATTAAAAATTGTTCATTTTATTGAACATTAAATATTGTCCAAATGAGATATTCTTGGATAACCAGCTCTTAAATAATATAAATTATAAAGTGATCCTGATTTTTTATTTATCTGTAATTTAGAGTTTCCTATCTGAAAAGGAGGGAGAGGATTTTTACACACACCTCCAAAAAGAAATCCAAGGCAGAATCCAAAAAAACAGCATATCAGTCTTGAAATTATCATTCACAACTCCCTCACTTTGCGGAAGCCAGCAAAACTTCATGGCTCAGCCGAAGTGTTAAACCACATTGCCATTAACTTGTATAAAATTTTTCCTTTTTGCAGGCAAATGTGATAGCGCAAACGCGCATTCAGTTTAATGATAAGCAGCTGTTCCAGTTGATTCATCAGCATCTTTTGAGTCACGGGATGAAGGATTCAGCAGCAATGCTTCAGAAAGAAGCAGGTCTTCCTGAATTCAAGAACAACTCCAACAATCCATTCCTTTCGCCTTTCACTTACGCAACGCACTCCAATCAGTGCCGTGTAAGTCAGATACGCATTTCTTCATATTAGGTGTACCTTTCATTGTGAAGACGAACTGTCCAACTTTTTTCCCTCTAGGCTTCATTAATTCCATGTGTAAAGCAGTAACGCTCTCAACTCAAGATATCTTTCCTATCTTTCTGTTTTAAAAGAAAACAAATCAACTGTGATGTTTAAATCTTTTCAGAATATTCTTCACATAAAAGATAAGGAATAGCTTGGGAAGTAAGAAAGATTCAACATGAAATTAGCTGTTCTTTTTGACAATTTATCATGATGAAGAATTTGCAGTGCCATTCATTACAGTTCAAGTTTCTGGAGTGCAAGTATTGATGAAATTTCAATTTTTGTGCATTAATTTAAGAGTTTATAACAAGACGGAGAAATGGTGCTGGGTCCACACCATTTTGCGGGGAAAACAAAGCCAAGAAGATCCAAAAGTTGTAACAAGAGTCAAAAATAATTGTTTTAACTCAAATAAAAAATTCTAAACTCTTTACTCTTTAAAAAATTAATATTTGACTCTAATTATAATTTTTGGAACTTCTTGGCTTTGTTTTCCCTGCAAAATGGTGTGGACCCAGCACCATTTCTCCACCTTGTTATGTATAGTTTGGGCCACTTCTTAGTGTTTTTTTCTCATTGAAAAGTTTATACTCTCTGTCTGATGAGGACTTTTTCATCAAAATTTTAATTTGATTAGGTATTTTGATTGTTTGATTTCAGCCGCGATGTTTGTCTGGCAACTCCCCCCTCTCTCACCCTCTTCTCAGGTTAAACACATCAAGCCACCAACAATCTGATCTTGCCTCTCCATCAAACAGTCCATTAGGTGCAGGATTCAGTGTACGGGGGGCTGCGACACCAGTTTGTACCATCAAAGCCAAGTACGTATGCCACTACCCTTTTGAAGAATAATATTTCAAAACAAACAGCTCTGGTCCAAAGACCATTGACTCAAAACAGTCCAGAAACAAAAAAATGCATTGCTGAATCCCTCTTTTTTTTCTCTCTTTTTTTTTAATGCACTTCAAAGGAGGATCAAAACTCAGAACAGATTCAGTTGCTTATTAATGATCATTCTTCAGTTTTTATGATTATTACAATAAAAATACTCCCATTTTTTAATATTTTCCAAAAATATATAAGTTGATTGAAAGTAAAAAAGTACAAAATTCTATGTCTCTTTGACTTTGAAAAAGCTCCTTGTCATTCTAATATGTACATGGTACCTTCTCCCTTAAGTATACCACCTGGAAGAAAAATAAGAAATTTGAAGACTCCTTCAAAATAATTGATTGGGTGATTAATTTTTAAGCATGCCGATAGATCATGTATTGAAAAAGTCCGAAAATCGTTGTAATTGTGAGTCGGGTGATCCTGGAAAAGTTTAGCAACATTTTTCCTGAAGTTAGCAAACACTCCAGCAACGCACTTGAAATCTTGTCTGGTTACCAATGTGAGTTGATTTTCATGATGCAAATCAACTTTCAATATTAACATATCATGGGTAATTTTTTACAGACCCCAGAAGCTGACTGTGGTAACATCACAAGCAAGCAAAACTCTGCAGAAGCAGACAGAATCGGATCGGCTCTGTACAGCACTAGCATCGCAGGCAAGCAAAACTCTGCAGAAGCAAACAGTAACGGATCGCGTTATCGCAGCAGCCTCACCAGTGCCACTCCAGTCACAGCCCCAAAGCCAAAGACTCACCCCAGAACCGCATGTAACACTAGAATCTATCGTTACTGAGTATCTCACCAATCAACATGCCTTGTGTAAAAATCCTATGGTTACCTGTCCTCAGTTTAATTTGCTTGTGTAAGTATTTCTTATTTTTGCAAAAGGAATTCATCATTGGTTGCATATGATAGGTGGGGCAGTAAACAAGCCGTACGCCAAACAGGAATTGATTTCACGAGAGGCATTAGCGCTAATTCGTGAGAGCACTACCTCAGTGATTACCAGCCTTTGAAATTGAATCAGTGAGTTCGAAAACACACCAACTCAGGTTTTTTTAGATTTTCACTTTTTTACGGTTTAGTAACACTTATGGATAGAAGCATCTGCACGCAAAAGGAAATTTCGAAATTGCAATCGGAAGTGCTCGAAACGGCGACGGGAATAGGCAAAAATCGAAGTATTTCATCGGAAATAACAATTTTTGGCCATTTCAAGGGAAACGGGTGACCATCCAATTTTGCGGTTTTCTTTTTTGGTTCAGTATACCTTGTACCTATAAGTTATATAAATATTCAAGCGTTATTCAGGTCGAAAAATATACATTTTTCAGGGCAGACTATGAAAAATCAGTATCTGAAAGTTGGTGAGAACGAAAACACACCAACTCGGTTTTTAAATGCCAACACAAAATTTTTAAATGCCTAATTCTCTTTCATCAAACACGGTGTATCGATTTCAACTTGGTGCTTTACAAAGTCTCTAAGTACTTGTCCTTTGGCACCAAAAAGGTTTTTCTCAAACTAACTTCTTCGCCCGCTGCGCAGTTTCAAGTGTTTCCTGAAAAATTTTTTCCCCGAGTTGGTGTGTTTTTGAACTCACTGATTCAATTAAGCTTGATATTTTTCTTTCATGAGGGAAAGGTACGTACAGATTAAATCATGAGCTTCTTTGTGATTGAAAGCACTGTTTTCTAAAAAAGAATCTTGAAGAAAATTTTGTTTATGTGCAAATGTGCATTGACATATATATACCACAAGATGTCGACAGGTTTTCATAACGGGGAATTGTCAAGGAATTTCACCAAGTCAGGGAAAAATCAGGGAATTTTATGAAAAAGATGGCAAATTTGAAAAAAAATCTGAAACCATAAAATCTGGAAAATCATCAGTATTGTCCGTGAAATGAAAAAAGAAGTTTTCAAGTTTTTAATAAAACAATCGAATTTTTTTTTAAAAAAATAGTGAAAGTTTTTGAAAAACTCACACTTTCACTAATTAGTTATTTTTCGGATGCGTTTCGGTGGCTACCCGGGCCACCATCATCAGCTGACTGCTGACCTTGCTGTCTTTTTGATCGCCTTACTGTTGGCTGCGCAGGCACGTTAGTTTCTGGTGTTTTCGTGGGCGGGTGGGGTGTCCGAGGTTCAAATACTTTTTTTGAAGATATAGATTCTAGGTAGCTATAATTTATAAAATTTATAATCTAAAAAAGCACATATGTTAACTTTAAAATGTGATACCGGGATTTTGACCTTTAGAATCTTAAAGTTTGCAATTTTTGACGATTGTTGGTCCAAACCGGACCTTGATATCTTTCTTCGTTCGAGAGATATCGAGGTTCACAGGTTTTGACTTCCACCCCCCCCCCTAGCTCCTCCCCAAAATTTTTTGGGGTTCTGAAAATTTGGGAAAAGAGGCGCTCAAGTATAAGTAATCAATAGACAAAGTCTGAAGAAATTCCAGAGGGGGGCGAAAAAAGCCGTTTTTGCATAAAGCTCTTTACTCTTGAAGCTACCAAAGTATGGTTTACATAATTGCCAGGCCCTAAAAACCAGCCTGGCTTTGTAAGTCCAGGGACCGATAAAGCCTTTGCAGTCAATGTATTGTACGATGAGTGTAATGTATGAGAGTGAACTGCTAAATGATGAAGCATTTAATGCGAAGAGCGTAAAATCTCCAAGTAATCGCAGAGTAGCAACTTTTCTGTATTCATGCTTGAATTGTAACCCTATTTTTCTAATGAGGTAAATTTCTTTGCAGACCTCACAAGTGTCCAGATCCAAAGCCTCGGAATTTGATTCCTGGCAACTTCACAATGCGCTACTGCAAGGGTCTCCAGTCTCGTAGGTTGGATCAGCGATTAATCCACAGCAGGTTTTGCCCTGTACGAACTTTTAGGTTAAGTGAAGACGATGGTTATTTCACGTGTTGTGAGTTTCTGGTAAGCATTGTCCTTTGTCTATGCATCTGCATATTTTCTATGTAAGGTTCATCGATAGGTGTTTTATTGAGAGTGGAGGAAACCCCAACGCCTCGCCATTGGAGCTCAGGAAAGTCTCCTTTGAGCAACAAATGTCCTCTTCGAATTAATACCCAAGATATAGTATATTACGGTATCACTTTTTTAGTATAGGAATGGAAGTTCTAATTGACTGTCAGCCTTCCTATAGTTAAAAGTTGAATGTGACTAAAAATGTAATAAAAGACCAAGGTATCACAGTCCAGTTTGAGAATTATTAAAATTCATTTCAATCCAAAAGTAATTTAAATTCTGTTTGATCTAAATTTGATTAAAATTCGATTTTGTTCTTTTACACCACAACCCAAATCCAATTTTCTCTATAACTGTTTAAGTGTAGTTGCTGCAGTATTGCCTGGTGGGATGTTGGTTAAATGAGTAGAATGCTAGACATTTTTGTTCCTAGATTGTTTTTACTCTAGTTTCCATCCTCAGTTGCTTTTCAATCTATTTTTCTCTCCAATTTGTTCTAGTCTGATAAGTATTTAATGGTCGGCACGTATGGAGGAGAAGTTAAAATGTTCAACCTTCAAACTGGCGCTGTAAGTGTCTTCTGTCTAATTTTTTTTTCAGTATTGTATTTTCAATGCATTAGCCACATACTTAAACCATCATTGCCAACTTCCCTGAAAGGATTACGCGTCAACGGTTACATTTGTATTGGCTGACTGAAATTTTTTCCTTTTACTCAATTTTTGACTTTAATGGCCCGATGAGTTTCCTCAGTTGTTTGAACTAAGAGGTTGGTGAAGTTTGATTTTGCATTGAGTTCACACCAGATAAATATATGCGCTTTTAGAGTGTAACAGAAGATGAACTGTCTTCAATTTAGAATCGAAAGTAAATACAAGAATCAAGATGGCAGATCATCTGTTGCTCTCTATAAGTCTGTAAATTGATTTGGCATAGGCTCTAGGAAAAGGAAAACTAAAAATTTTGAGGTCAATCAAAACTGTTCTTTGCTGATTTTAATGCCCTCAGGTTACTGTGTTTGTTTATAGTAAAAAACCCTACCAAGTCTAGCTTTGGAAGTGTTAATTCCTTAATACATTGTTATTATCTACTCAAGTGATACTTTCTCTATCAATAACATTACAATTGAATAGTGATTTTCAAGATGTTTTCTGTAACTTGTTTCTTCTTCGGCAGAACTAACAACACTCTGGTACAAATCACTTTTTAAGTATCTATGTGTCCTCCAGTCAAGGGGATCCATGTAACATCACTCGACATCAAGCCCAATAGAGTTAAAGAACTGATGCCCATTAATCGACAGCATAAACAACGTTTGCATGGTAACGTTCAGGAAGTTGCCCTGCCTTTTTCTGATGACTTCAGGCAAATAATTACCAACCCCTGTGCTCTAATAGCATTGATGCTGCTGACGGTGGCTAGCAAAATATGTCCTCACATTTTTTCATTTTCATAACCTGATTGTTTCATTAAAAAGGTATTGTTTTATTTGCCAGGACGATTTGACATATGCTTGTCATGAAGGCTATATATCAAACTTAGAATGTAATAAAGCTGGAAATCTCCTTCTATCCTCAACAACTTGGAGACGGCCTTTATCTGCCATGTGGAGTGTTGACAAAGTTTTTGAACAGAAGTGAGTACATTTTAAATCTTTTTTCTTTTGTTTTTATATGAGAAATATGCGTATTTATTTGCCAAAGTTTTTAGCTGTTTTTTCTTTCGCTAAATTTTCACAAACATACTTTTTTTTTTAAATTTAGTAGAACTCAACTGGCCTCTGATTTTGGATGTATATAAAGAGGAATGACTTTTTTAAAATTTTAAAATACATATGATAGAATGGCATTTCTGAATTCTAAGCATGCAATTGACGGAAGTCTTCAAGATTGCTCATTAAAATGCCAGTAAGATCCTCAAAATTCATAAGCTGTATTTTTCTGTGTCCGAAAAAACTGCTAGAGATCTCTAAAAGTCTTCAATTTAGGTAATCCTAATTGTCGTTTTTTGCAAGGCTACATGAACCTAAAAGGAGGCATTGTTTGGAATAGATGGTAGATTTTTTCAATTAATGACATTTTCAAAAGAGAAATCAAAATAAATCCTGCAAATGACTCTAACCCACATCTTCAAGTTTTTGGGAAACGGAAAAAATGGTTTAAATTTTTAATAGTTAGTTGTCAAGCAAAGTACATGGATGAAAGAAATAAACAAAGTATAGTAGGAGTAATTAGAAGTATCACAACGAACGATGTATCGGATACATCTTAAATGAAATCTCATGATACTATTCAGTCTGTATCTTATTGCGAACAAACATTAATGTTATTTCGTTATGTTTCAGGTATGCATTCTATGAAGAAGAGTTTATAGAATTTAGCAAATTAGTCCAAGATAAAGTTATAGGAACCAAATCTGATATTGCAACGGTATGTACTTTTGAAATGTCTCTTGTCAGTGTCAAATCAATATTTCTAATCATAGTCACATCAATATTTCCAATCATATTCACATCAAATATCTTGTAATCGTTTGAATGGATCAGGAAACCGTACAAAACTTTAGCCTTTGTTTTGTTTGGATTTAAATGAACAACATGAATTAATTTTAATTTTCTATAGAACAGTCTTACAGCGAAAATTTGAAACCGATTAATTGCTGAATATTTACTCAGTTATTCTTAATCTACTAAGTATAAGTATACCCTAATTAAAATACCAACCTTTTTTTTGATAGCTGTGCAACAATAAGAAACTGATTTCTCCTTTTAAAAAATCGAGGTAAAACAGGAAGATGAAGGTGTAAGTTAAGGTGAATCCAGGCTTGGAACTTCGCGATTTGGCCACCACATCTCGCTGCTCAGAACAGCCGTATATATTTGCCAAAATAATAAAAACCGTGATACTTATTCAAGATTGGGGATCCAGGGGATATAGCAACATACTTGAGAGACACACAGTAAAAAAATCTTCCCAAAATTCCCGAAAATAAAGTCGTAACTGCGGCGGAAAGTAATTCCCACTACGGCAATAGGAGAAAGAGAGACAGAACATGAGGGATTCGGTTGCGCGCTCGGCCGCCGCGGCTGAGCTGAAAGTTTCAGCCGCACTCTCTCTGTGCTTGTAATTCTAATTGCCAATATTTTTGGCTCAAAAAATCAAGCAAAAAATAATCTATATCTTGTAGATCTGCTTTTTGTAATTTGAACAATATTATTTCAGTAATCGTTGAAGAAAAGTGAAATTCTCAGTGGTGACTGGTGGCGCTATCTCTGATCTTAAATTATCCCTAATCGAACCCTGGATTCACTTTAATTCCATTTAGAATAAAGTTTAATATTGTTTCTGCTTGTCTATTTTCTCTTTTAGATTTACGATATCGAGACAGGGAAGAAACTATGTTCATTAAAGCCAACAATGTCCAATCAGTACAACAAAAATCGAGCTACATTTAGTCCCACCGATGAACTAGTCCTCTCTGATGGTGTCCTCTGGGATGTCAATTCGGGCAAAGAGATACACAAGTTAGATAAACTGAACCAAACTCTCAGTGGTGTCTTCCATCCAAATGGCCTAGAAGTAAGACCATTATCAATCTAATGACCCCAAAGTGGCCCTAAGGGACCAGTTATCAGCTATACAATATGGTGTTTTTTCTTGTAGACCATCAAAAAATAATGTGATTCATGTAAACGCAAAGTTCCGATTTCCAATATCAATGAAGTTACTGCTCTGTAAAAAACGAGGTGTTTAAAATCATCCTCCTCAAAGGTCTTCATCTCACTGACATTTGAGTTTCCACTATCCTTTTATCTTCTGCCAGTAGGGAAGATTTACCATCCATAAAAACGCTGGTCACTGATCTATCAAGAGGTTTTAACGATTTGACTTTAAAGAAAAAAAAATGGACCTTTAACCCAATTTGACCCTAGCCCCCCCAAATTTTAGCGTACCCCAAAATCGTTTGACGTGCATAAGGAGACCATAGATATGGTGTTCCGTGCCAATTTTGAATGATCGAACAGGTAGATTCTGAGATATCGCTGTACACAGATTTGGGGGACGTCGGACGGACGGACACACATTTTTTCAAGTATGGTTATTTTGACTCCTGAGACCTTAAAACGTCCAGAAATGATGAAATTTCAACTTTTTTTTTTTTTTCTTGGAGGATGACAATACTTCCTCTCTACCCTAGGGGAGCGAGAAAGTAAAAATGTATCAGTTTTTAAAAGTGTAATACTGATCTTGAGCCCTGGACTTAGCTTGAGAATCTAGTAACATTATACCTCATATCATTTCTTATGTTCTAAGTTTTAAGAAATATTAATCTGTGAAGTTCGATCAGTCAGAAGATGTAAGTTTTGGAGGGTCAGATTTGAACTTAATTCATCCTTTGCAAATTTGTATTGCTCAACACTTAAAAGATTTAACCCTAGTTACGAATTGTCTTTTTTTTTGGGGTCAGATATCTGTATTTTTAAAGAACGGCTGCGATGGTGGGTTATTTTGTAAGGGTACGGAGCAATCTGTGAGCCTATACATATATGCAAGAAGTCCTTGATGTTTGATTGTTTAATCAACAAATTTTTTTCTCAGATCATATCAAACACAGAAGTTTGGGACCTTCGCACATTCCATTTACTCAGGACTGTCTCAACTTTGGACCAGTGTAGTGTTATCTTCCCTCCAACAGCAGCCGCTATTTATGCTGTTTCTTTAGAAAAAGAAAATGAAGAAGAATCTGTGTTTGAAACTTCATTCAAAACACTAGATCCATACGACTATTCAAGTATAAGTAAGCACTCCTTAGATTTACTGTTACAATTCATACGAATATAATGACTGCATCTCATTGTATAATTTTTTCTCCAAAAATTAGACTGGTAGAATTATTTCAGTGCAAGTAATCAGACACTAAACGCATTCATTTTAAAGTGGGCATACTCTTCTTCCCAAAATTCATTAAGAAAGTAAGGAAAGTAAACACAGCCCCTGTAAACAGCACAATTACTGCTCTACATATCAAATTTTGTGTCACAATTATATCCAGATTTTCTAATCACCATCCGTAGTGTTAGTGGGGCTCATTTCTACCATTTTCCTAAAAAGTTCAGTAGGTTAAATACTTGCCTGCGAATCAAAAGATTGCTAGATCCAAATCTTTTTTCTTTTCTTTTTTTCAAGTGAAGTCAAATTATTTTTTTAGCAAATATTTTGATTACCTACAACAATCAGTGATACATACTGAACACCAGTCAGCTCAGGTTTTTGATTTTATTTGTTGCACATACCCAAATATTGGCCGTGTGGGTTTTAGAAATGAATCAACCAAAAACAGTCTGCATTTTTTCTTCAAAGCTTTTATTTCAAAAAACTTTAAAAATGTTGAATATCTAGTCATTATTTTTCTCTCTGTTTCTGTTTTCTGTATAGTTTCATGTATTTTTCATCTGTTTACAGTCACGGTAGACGTGAAGAAGAACATTTACCACTTAGCATGCAACATGTATGACACTAGCATAGCTATCGTTGAGAATCTAGGAGACTGTGAAAACGTTGATGAGTCTACGGTGAGATTATACGATGTTGGCCGCTACCGAGATGATGATGACGAGGGGGTAAGTTCTTTCATATCATTTAATCATCAGTTTTGGAGGTAGTTTTGTGGTAATTGTTAGACTGCTTGAAAAGGAATAACTTTTGTTTATTAGTGTCAGGGACTATCCTTCTCCAAGCTTAAGCTTCAGTATTTGAAGTATTTGGAAAGAAAGCGGGAGAGAGAAGTACAATTATCACAGATGTCTATCAATGGCATCCCATAATGTGAATGTACTAGGTAATTATGATTTAATAAGAAAAGATTTAGACCTTCATTTTTTTGTGGATTTGAACATTCTAGTCGATATCCGCAAAGCTTTGTAGATTTACGTAATACTAAGTCGACATATTTTTGAAACTCGTTTCACAGCAGTATAGTGTGATTCTGTGTATTTTTCTTATTTGATTATCGTCAGATTTTTAAAAGCAATGATTAAGCAGATTGAAGAAAAAACGCTCTCAGAAAAAAGCAACTTGCATTTCTATTTCACCAAAATCTTTCAAAAAATGTTCTATCAGTCTGCCCTTGTAGTAACGTGCAATGCTAATTAAAATTATGTTCTTTTTCAGCAGGATGAAGAAGAAGAGGAAGAAGAAGACATGGAAAATTCCGATGGATCAGGCTCAGATGATGATCAGCAAGATGGTTCGTATTAATAGTTAAATTATCCGGCCCTATTTTAGTTGTATGAGTCTCAACAGTGGAAAGAATCGGAAAGCGTTTTTTGCTATGACTCATCGTTTTAGAAATAATAGGGACTGAATGGAGTGCGGGTGGGGGGTGGCCCCCAGGAAAAGCTTTTTTGGAAAAAGAAAGTTATACCACAAAAACGTCTTTTTTTGACCCAAAGAATCGACTCGTTCAATATTCGTACTTAATCCTGGGACTCCCTGTACACATAAGTAAATGAGTAAAAAATTCAATAGCTCTAATCTTTCTTTTTTGTCTGTTCCAGACGCGGTCAGTTTCAGTATCATTGACGGTGGCTCAGGTTCAGAAATAAGTGATGATGGTGGAGAAGATGACAACGAGTTGGAGAGTGATGCCGATGGTGAGGCCGATGCTGATGGCTCCTCAAACGATGACGATGATGACTCTGAAATGGAAGATCTTGGATCTTGAGCTGGGCTGTTGATCAGCCAAACCTAAGATAATTTGCTCATCGTTGAATCTGATGACATTCAATTAAACTGCACCTGTGATCGAAATTTCACTCATTTAAATTCCTGCACGAGTGACCAGTCAAGAATGTGTTTTATATCTTTCATTTTCCTTTGGAACTCAAAGGGACTGTGAGTTCTGTTATAGCTAAGTTTGTTCATTTTGTAAATTTTTTTTTAATTTTGTTATTAAGGCAGGTTGAACCTGTTGATTGAGTTAAGAACTCAGCCACTTTGGTGGCGCTGACCAGTAGCATGACCCCGGGACTGTCATGTAATTTGAAGGTGTAGAATATGTGACAGATAAAATTCAGGGAATCTCACTTGACTAGTACATACATACCTAGTTTATAACTTGTTTTACGAAAGTCATTTCCTAAGGTTTGTGTATTCTTTGCACTTTTAGTGTGAACTCCATTTGAGTTTTTTTAGTTTCTTTTTAAGCTTTGCTCAGTTTTTAAGACTCTTTTATTGTTTGTTTTACTTTGTCCTTTTTCAACCAACATGTAGTTCTATTCATTTTTATTAACGAACTGCTCTCTTTCTTTCCTTTACTTTTTAAAAAAAGGATTTTATCAGTGATTTTCATTTCCAAACATTTCACCACAAAAAAGTTTTTTATAATTTCTTGCGACCTCAAGTTGCTTTTAAAAAAAAACAAACGAAAAACTATTCACTCGCCTATCTACTGTATTAATCATCTCTTTTTTGTCTTTGTTTGCATTACTCTGTCGTCAAGAATGAATAAATGTTTGTCCTCAAACCTAGCTCAAGTCCTCTCTAACTTTTGTTTCCTCTATCAGTTTGCCCTCTTTATAACTTATATATAAATAATTTTTTAGAAAACAATACCTCTTGGTAAATATTTTTTAAAGGAAAGGTAAATAAAGGTTTCAATAAAAGGTATTCATTTCAGAGTAACAAAGAAATGAACTACTGAATTTTACTTTTGTACAAGGAAATTTTGCCATGTAATGATGTAAAATAGATCAGGAGAGCAACATCCTTCTGCATGTTACTCAGAATAACACTAATTACATTCCGTTAGTTTCCTTCTGACATCTTTGGGATGTTACTTTGATGTTATTGTTCCTTCGATGATGATAGATTTTCCTCTAGTTTTGATTCCAAACAGCTTCTAAACGAATACTTTTATAAAGTTCTAAGAATTAATTATGTTCTATGGGGGGTGCTCCCTGTTTCTCGCGTATTTCGAATTGGAAGGGTATGTTTTGACGTTTTAGATAGGAGACAAATACATTACCAGGGTTGCCATAGCTCCAACTTTGAAGTCCCCATATAAAATGGCGGCCCTGCTAATGTACATATATTCTCTCCCTATCTGTGCATACAGAATTAGAGAGTTTGGCTATATAAAGAGGTGGACTCTCAACATGGCGTGGAATATCCACTCCATTACAGCTTGAACTTAGGGAGCTTTTTTCGAGCTAGGAAATTAATTTCAGAGAAAATCCGTGGCACCGTTGTATTTTTCCTTAAATTTTACAAATAACGGAATACTTAGATAGTAAATTTTTGACACATGCAAGAACTCCTTTGGTTTGAAAAGTCTATCATGAGGAAATTGAACCTGAAAGTGAGTTCCTCTCCTGCTCTAGTAGCCAAAATACTACTTGCAATACCTAACAAGTTAAGTAAAAAATACCAATTCAAATACCTACTTAGTAAGGTATTAATTATTAGTTGGGTAATAATTACAATGTGGAGATGGCAAATCACCTTCCCCTCTCTTCTTCATCCACTCATTTCCTCCAAAAAATCCTTTGTACTCTTGAGGTAAAAATTTATAATTTTCTCAGTAAAGAGAGCTTTGACCACCTGCAAATGCACATAAAAGCCATCCAGCAGAGCAAAAAAAAATTGAAGTGATGAACACTCGGTTAGAGAGAAAAAAGAATTGCCATGAAAAGCCCTTCTTTTCATTTATTTACAAAACTAAAAACAAGTACAAAAGTATTTACAAATATGCAATAAGACATGTTTACTGAAGTGCCATGGTAAATATTTACCAAAGAGGCAGAATCAACCAGAATCACAGAGGACACGAGTTGAAGAAAGCAAGCCTTACGTAGCAAAGAAACTTGATTATTGTGACAGAGCAAAAAGAAATGGAATAATAATAAAGAAGTGTACAGTTGGTTACACTTCTTGTACACATACTTAATAAATGATACAATGAGCCAGAAAATAATCGAAAACGTGTTGATAGAACCAATCCATGAGGCCAAGGTTAAGTACCATCAACGCAGCTCACTTTGGTTTGCGTCTAGGGCTGCGGCGCACTGACAAGTCCAACGCATCAAAGTAAGTGACTTGTTTCAAGGTCAACCGATTTGTCATTTCTAATGATTTTCAGATACCCTTGAAAACAGGCCATTGGGACAAATCTAGCAATTTACAAAGGCCTTGAAAATTGAGCACTTTTCATGGCAGCGTAAGTATGCAAATTCCTTCTTATGGAAACAGATACAAGAAATTCTTTTTTAAATGATGTCAGGCTACTTGCCCTAGACTCAAAATACTTACACAATGAGACCAAAATGCATTTTTATTTCACTTTGTCGTCAATTTACCTGTACAACCGCTGTTTTCTCATCAGTCTCAATTCTACACAGCATTTGATTTGTAAGAAGTGTCTCCAAAATACCTCCAGAGTACCTACTAGGTGTCGTACCTACAGGGTGAATAAAAAAAATGGGAAAAACTTGAATAGAGGTTCCTAGTTTGTCCACATACCTAACCAAAGTGGAGGTGTTTCTAGTTTTTTCCCTTGATTGTCAAAGAAAAAAGACACAAAATGAATAACTTAAATAAGTCAAGAAAATTATGTACAATCTCTCTGAAAAATTATTCCTTCACTTTTAATGCTGTCAGACTGCTTTAAATTGATTCAACTGCAATGTAGGAAAGGAAGCAAATGGGCTATTTTCAGGAAGGAAGGGGGAGATGATTCCTTTTCGTTCGGTGCTGTTTACATCGATTTTGTCAAATTGGTTAGCCAGGTCCAAAAATTCATAAGACAGTAGGTAATTTAGGGCCGTATATAGTCATTCCTTAGACAACTCTTTCCATAGCAAAGCTTCATATACTTCATACTGCGATTAGGAAAGCCTTTCACAGAGTTTCATGAATGAGACAATTTTAACATACTTGAAGTCAATCCAACCGTGAGACTTTGAAAATTGATCCTTACCACATATCACAATGCCGTGCATTTACAAATATGCAACATGGAAACAAAGAAAATTGAAGATTTTTTAAATGTTGAAACAGGTCCTTGCTTGCCTACCTAAGCTTTTGCCTAAACCATTAACTTTATACCTGTGTATTCTTCGTGGTAGCTAAATTTTTTTTTTACTTTTGCAATAATTTGTTCCTGAAGTTTGATAGTGGAATTTCTCTTATTTAGGTTTGGAGAAATTGTCCTCTTTATGATGCCATATCAAGGACCTCCTTACACCTACCTCCCTTGGTTTCAAATTTAGTACCTAAACAATGAAGAGCCTCTGTAAAGAAAAGAGAGCTAGCTGTCTGTGGAATGACTATACGTACAGGCCTATGTTGACTGAAAGCTTCATAAACATCATCTACCAACATAAAAGTAAAAGCATCCACTCTTTGGTGCTCTGGTCATCAACCCATTGATCTATCATCTTTTGTTGGCAGACAGCATGCTGAAAACTTATACAGCTTACAACAGCTTACTTACACAACTTATACTTATATAAACTTATAAAACTTTATACTGTGACAAGCATTGATCCAAACTTGTACCTGGAAGGCACAACTCTGATCACTGATATAATCGCAAATTCTTTACCACCATCCTCAAAACTGATAATTAACAAATTACTCCATTGCTGCATCCCTCGCTTTTGTCTGTGCAGATAGATAAGACATTGTTTATAAAAGATTATTTTCACACACCCTATGAATAGCAATGTCTAATGCCTGAGTCATATTGGGGCGTTGTCCGGCTTTTTCTCCGACCATTCCATTGTCTTCCATACATCCCTTGCCATTGCCTCTTCGTACCTACGGGCCGAAGGAAAGTTGCTCACAACTTTTTTTACCCTCATCAAAATTGTGTTTATTTCTACAAATTCCGATTAAGCTAGCAATTTTGATGAAAAATGAATTTATTTGTAAGGATATGTAATTGCTAGAAAAATATGTACATTTATAAGGAAATTTAATCGTGAGAAAAATACATATGTTAATGAGGAAATATAATTGTGAGTGAGTGAATGACAAAATTGCATTGTTATTAGTTTCACAATTGATTCATGAACTTTCCAAGATATTTGCTTGTGATTATACATATATTTTTCATTGTTATTTCAAGCTCAATCCGAATCAGGTTAGATAAGGCGCCAGGGATGATGGATCGGATGTAGACACAATGGGAAAATAGGCTAATATGCCTCCTTTGGGGTAAACAGGTCCGTGCCTGCATCAAATGTTGCCATCTACAGGGTGCAAGAAAAGACACTTTCAAAAGCCGTGTCTGATCTATTTGTACAGTCTGTAGTAGGTTTAGGTAACATTGGATGAATAAATTTTAGGTCAAATGATAAGTGACTGAAAAATGCTTTGAGTCGAACTAACTGGGTAAAAATGCACGAGGACCATAAAAACAACTATTTTAGCTGTAGATCAAAAGAGAAATGTCTTTTGGATCAAAGAGGGAAGCATACATAGTAGGTGAGGTACAAGCGTATGAAGCATACCAAGTAGGTCCTAAGATAATGGCTGGGAATTGTGCTAGATGATGATTGGGAGCTTGCCTCGCATTGTTGTTAGTCTTGGGCCGGTAAAACGATTTGGAGTAGGAATTTTCGATGATGCAGAGCGTGGTGTCTTGATCATGGTGTGTTTCATGGGTGTCCTAATTGGAGTGCTTTTCAATGGAATTTCAACGACCTGAGTGTTCTCTTTTAATGCAGCACGAGTTGACGTAGAGCTACGGCAGGGCATAATATGTGTTTTCTCTCTGACATCCAAATGCTCCTGTGAAGATAAATAAAACACACCAGTTAACACTTTGAGGAATTTTTAATACTCCCCGAAACATCACCACTAAGTCAATAATTTTTCTTCATAACATTCCGACACTTAACACCATTACCATTATCATTCAGAAGCACCGATTTCAGCATTGAAAGTGTTACGTAAGATGTCAGTGAAATCTCTGTTTTCGTATATATTTGCAACTTTTTTTGTGGTTTAAGTTACATACATATTTCTACTTCCATTTTTGCTATGGTTTATACTGATTTTTGCATCAAATTAAAAGAAAATTAATCTCTTATAAAAATAATCTTCTTTTAAAGTTGGGCCGAAATGGATTTTCCGCGTCACCGGATACGGATATCGATCTTTTGTATCCGGCCGGAGCCGGATCCGAATAGTGGTTTTTTGCATGAGAAAAATCTCTCGATTTCGTGCTTGGGGCAAGAGGCACAGTGTGTATTACACCATCAAGACCGTCATCCACGATGTATGTGCCTTCACACCGGCAACCTCCATATTTTTCAATGATACGCTATGAGTAAGCCCTCTAAAACGAATACTAAAAAAAAGGCCTGGCGGATAAGCAGCATAACTTTCATTGGCTTCATGGTGTGATAGATCAGATGAATTTGATGTGAAGAAAGAGAGATATTAATAGAATTGTGCCTAAACAAGACAACAGTGGAAAGCAGCGCTTTGGTGCTGCAATAACAAACTGCGTACTGCGACATTACAATAATTGCGGAGTTACACTCGGACTAAAAACGTTAACAACAGGGGACATATGCACATGTTGGTGACATTTTTTTTTCTCTTCCACCTGCATCTTCGTCTTTGAAAGTGAAACACGCAGACTTTCAGAACTAAGGATCACGTTGCAATTGTGTAAATGTGCGGGAAATGTCCTTAATTCCGGTGATAACAAGTTTCGAAAAGGTGAACAATTACAAGGACTACTCAAAAAGCCAAAAAAGAAGAGAAAGAAGAGAAAAAGAAGAGAAATGCCAAAATAGACCACGGCCCCCCAAAGTTGGAGAAAAAAAATCGTCTTTCTAACACTGTGACAATGTTTATCAACCAATATTTATGAAAATTGGAAAATGGGGGCAATTTTGAGCGCTTCTTTCATTTTCGACCTCCTAAAAAGGGAAAGCGCATTTCGAGGGGGGGGGGGAGGGGTACTGAACCTAGAAGTGGCCAAAATTAATGTTTCCAAACAAAATCTGATTCCAACAAAAATTTATTTTTGACGGCGCTACTGGATTCAGCGTTGAAAAATATTGAGAAAATGTGTCTAGCGTTTTTTCGCCATGACTCATCGTTTTCGAGATAATAGGGACTGAATGGAGCGCGGATGGGCGCAAAGAAGGTGGGAGATGGCCCCCACGGAAAGCGTTTTTGGAGAAAAGTTATATAACAAAAACGTCTTTTTTTTACCCAAAGAATCAACTCCTTTAATATTCATACATCATCCTGGGACCCCCTGTATTGGAGTTTTGAATTAATATCAACTGTTTTCTAGCACTGACTTTAAGAGAAGTGTACAAAATATTTCATTTCTTCATAATTACAAGCAAACTTAAAATGTTCCCCTCAAGAGGGGGTTTTCATGAATGATGAAATTCAGAAATAATCTCACATGCTACTTGGCTGTAATTTTACTGAAATATTGCCTAGAAAAAAATTGGTAGTCTACATTGCCACGTAAGTAATGGTAGTATGCGTGCAAGAGCCAATAAAGTGTGCATGTTAAAGTGTTTATTACTTACCTAAAGTGTACGAATGAGTCATATTTCACAGATGGTATAGATACAAGGTGCTAAGCAAGCTAAGGCTGCATCAAGATTATAAAATTACAAAATCAGACACTGAAATATGAAGCTACTTCAAGCCAAAAGCAGAGAAGATGCCTAAGCAGATTATCAAGTTAGAAGATTCTCAAGAGTAGGAGCATTGCAAGCTGAAGCATTAGATGGAAATTAGCAATAAGTTTCTAATCTTAAGCCCGTATCACGCGATCAAAGTAGAGGCTTCAAAAGAGACTCATCGATTGCCCCGACTTAAACCGCTGGCCAATACTAGAGCCAGGAAAGGCATCAATCAACCTCTGTGAAGCCTCTAGTTTGATCGTCTGATATGGACTTTAGAATTTCTTGGAAACGAACGAGGAAAAGAAGTACAAAAATTACAGATAAATAGCACATTACGAGGCAAAGCTAATATAATTTCACGCAATTCATCTAACAAGTCAGTTTTCCAATATCTATATCTGCTTGAATGCTTAGAAGCATTTTACTATTTGTTGAACCTTAGTTTTCAAATTGAGGAGCTTTCCGGAAAGCCCCAAGTGAGACCTTGAGCTATTATGAAAATTAGAGGAATTTCGGTTCAGATCGAGGAGTCATAAGTTGTAGCTAAACGTAGTATTACCTATTGACACTAAAAAGGACAAGAAAAATTTCTAAAGCTCTGTAACTTGATCCCAGAAAAAGGTAGGGTTAAGCAAAATAACCTTGATGTGCCCAATTACGAGTGATCTCTCTCTTGGCGGTTGCAAATATCTCTCTTCTGCCCTGGACAATCTCTCGCGCTTACAGGCATGCCATAAGAGAAACTTGGATCAAATTTAAGCCTTTATTATTGAACTTTCACAGCTCGTGTTTGGTTTTAAACATTCTAAACATACATATGCTGCTAGGACTTATAGATCTTAGAATTCAATATATCTGTTGTTTTATTAAAATATTCACTGATTTTGAAGCCAGATTTTAGCAGCGCAACATGGAGGATTTTTTCGGAACTTCAGCAAAGGATTCATTTTACAAGTACCTACTACAGCGTGGCTCAGGCGCCAAATTTTAAAAAAGGAGCCAAAATCAGTAAAATTTTCCTCCTCACATAATTTTAAACATTGATTGGGAACCTGTTATTGAAATAAGAGTAATAAGACAAACAAATTTTACGTTGTACTCCCGAATAAGCCTGATACTCTTGTAAAATTGGTCTCAAATGTTCCTATCACTTACGCTGTAAATATGTGAAACAGATAAATACATGAAATAAGTGGATTAAATTGGTAAACTGTTAAATAGAAGGTAATCATACAGCTAGTGATACAGGTCCGATATAAGGTCAGTCAGTCTTACATACAGCCAGACTTGTACCTTAGGTAGTGAAAATAGTGAAAAACTCTAGGTTAGGTAGGAAAATCTCAGAGCACTACATTTAGCAGGAAACAGCAGCCGTTTAAGTGAGGATGTATCCTAACTTGCTGTATTTAACATTTCGTAGTAATGCTATGATTTTATGGGGAAACAAAAAGTAGTGTAAAACATCCTATCAGAAAGTATACCACAAAATGAAACTTTGATGTTCATAAACATATCTAAGAAAATGGTTGTAACATTAATGCAGGTACAATTAGGTGTGTCTTATTTTTGGGTTTTTCGAAGTAGGTCAGATTTATTGTCCCACTCTAAAGGTAAAACGCAAAGGAAACCGTCTGGAATTTGTAGAATACTGAAAGGCGGTTTACTATTCGTTGCAAAAAGATCAGGTAGGCTGGGACATTACTTAGAATAGATTGGTAGGCAATCGAATAGGAGGGTCAGGAAGACCATGATTTTTCGTCAAATTGAGAATGCAAGTTTCTCTTTCCTCTGTGAAAAGTCGCATATCAAATAGAGATAAAGGAATTAGAGCGACTTTTCACAGAGGAAAGAGAAACCTGCATCCTCAATTTGACGAAAAATCATGGTCTTCCTGACCCTCCTATTCGATTGCCTACCACTTTATTCTAAGTAATGTCCCAGCCTACCCGATCTTTTTGCAACGAATAGCAAACCGCTTTTCAGTATTCTACAAATTCCAGACAGTTTCCTTTGCGTTTTACCTTTAGGGTGGGACAATAAACCTGACCACTTGAAGGCAAAGGGAAATTGTAAAAAGTTTGCGTGTGGTCAACGATTCCGCCGGAAGGGCAGTTCGACACATGCAAACATGAAGCCGATCGATAACTAAAAAAGCGGATGAATATCAAGATTTGCCATTAACTTCTCAAAATGTCAACAAGAAAAAAACTTGAAAAAGGAAAATCAAAAGCCTGTAAATTCTCGAAGTGTTTGTAATACTTTCATGTCTGAATAAACCCAAATATTTTGGGTAACAATAAATGTGATTAACCTCCATATCATATCCTTCATTAACCTGGTGTGCATAATGGATTTTGATGTGCCTCACTTTCTTTATAGGCCGTTTTACTTATTCAAGGAAAAAAAAGTCCACGATGGGTTTCCGCGGACGGACGGCGACGTCGTGTCGCGTCGTGACGTCAGGTAAGACGTCGCGTCGCGTCGTGACGTCAGGTAAATAAGGTATGTGCGCTGCATGCGAGCGCGCGGCGTAGCAAATATGCTTAAGAGGCTATTTATGCCTTTAAAATGCACGATACGGCAAAACGGACGAAATGAATTGTAAAGAAAAAGAGATAAAGGCCGATTATTATTATTAATAGATGGATATAAAAATATACATAAAAATATAAAAATGTAAAATAAAATCGTTCAATTGATAGAATTGGATTAGACTAAGAATAATTTGATAAAAAAGATAAAAGTACAGTAAAATAAAACCTAAGACTTGATTAATCTCTATGATGTTCTAAGCTTTCTGTGAATAACGCCTTAATGGGTGGCCTAGCTTCGGTCGATGATGCTGGGTTTTGAGCCTGTAAGGAAGAGCATACGCAATGAAGGTATTACTAAAAGCAGCATAAAACCGAACAGGGTGTCTCGCATTTCACTGCAATGAATGAGACGTTGAACTTCTTCCTTCTAATATTTTCTTACTTTGCCTTCGGCTAATCCATACAAATCAAGTGTTATTGGAAAAACTACCAAGGAATTTGAAATGGTCTCTCTCATAAACATCTCTTATAAATTGTTTTTACTAGAATCTTGTTTTTTTATGTCCCACTTCATAGCAGCAAAAATTTCCACCCCAACTTGCGAGGTCGTTTAAAATCCAACTGGATGTTCTTATGTGAGAAATATTGAAGAAGAGGAGCCCACTCTACATCTGCCCTCCTATTATATTTTCTGCGTCTGGTCTCAATCTTTAAAATAACCACTATCTAATAATTAGCATATTTACATAGAGCTCCTCTTTTGTAAAAAATTGACAACACATTTTGTAACAATTTGTTGATTGAGCAATTCAAATCTTCCTCCTCTTCTCTTCTTATGAATGAAATTATTGAACTGCGGCAGCGACCCTCAAATCTCCGGCCACCACGCTTCCCACACCAGAGGTTAAGAGTGAAAAGTAATAAAGAAAAAGCTGCGCAGCTGCCGAATACGGGTATCCCAACGAAATGCACAACTAATTCTCCCGCCGTCGAGCAAAATCGACGCTGCGCGCTCGAGTAAAATGCGTATCATATCCACGGTAACGCCAATTTGGCCTTCTGTGTCCGAAATCCGCGCGACCTACAAAGAAACTGGGTCGGTCCCAGTACTCTCGGGGGGATTCCTGCAGCGTCCCCGTTGCGGACCCCCGAAAACGCTCGCACCGCCCAACGCGGGACGGAAGAAAGGACCTCCAGTCAAAACGAGGCCCAGATCGGCCCGGCGGGAAGGGAGCCACGACGATTTTTCCGAAAACAGAAAAAGGGCCCTCGCGCCCCGGATGGCGGGATGCCCGCACCGCCCAACGCGGGACGGAAGAAAGGACCTCCAGTCAAAACGAGGCCCCGATCGGCCCAGCGGGAAGGGAGCCAGGACGATTATTCCGAAAACAGAAAAAGGGCCCCCGCGTCCCGGATGGCGGGATGCCCAAACCCGACGTTGGCAGACATACACGACCCGGGGCCGACCTGCAGACGGAGTCGGGAGCCGCGGGGAACGAACGGGAAGGTACGAAGTCTGCATGACAAGGGAGGGGTCGAACAAACGGAATTTCGGGGAGCAGCGCCCCACCGGGGGGCATATTCCCAAACCCCGCGTGAAATATGAAATCCAGTTTAGACCCCAACCGCAGCCCCTTGTGCGGGTCTGAGACTCCTCCGCACCGGCTCGGCTCAGCTAGTCACTCGTCTTCGTCCAACCCTTATGCCCTTCCTCTGATTTCTTCTCAACAATTTTGGCCACGAATTAAGCGATCTAATATTTATTCATTCAGTTGAGTCTTTTGAACAAGCCAAGGTTCCAATTTTGTCCAATGCTTGGATTTTTTATGCAGTAAAAATATATTTAAAAGCAGAATTTGAGGGCTTTTTCGGTAAAAAGGCGAATGGAGCTTGTTGTGCTGCTGTGATTGCGCAGTTTTTATAGCGTTTGCTGCAAATGAAATAGATAGTTTACAAGAATTTCAGGAATGCAGATTGTTCTAGGCCTCTGCAATTTTCGGCAACCTCGGTTTTTGCAAAACGGTCATCACGACATGCTCATCAAAATCATGTTAAATATTTTAATTATTTTTTTTATGTTTGCTGAGTTCGTATTATTCCACAAGAGTTGAGAATTTGAGAGCCCTTGAACAAAAGAAAGAGAAACACAACCTCCACAATTTGAATAGGCGGATGAGGAAAATTTGCACACCTGCATGAATAAAGAAAGGTAGAATAAGACATGCTATGGAGCCATGCTAAGATAATGGAGTAATGTGAAACTAACTACAAAACAATAAAAGTAGTTGCTGCATGTAGGCAGGTTGGATTAAGTCAATTTCAATTTCTGTAACTGTTGTTAGAGAAATCTCCACCTTTCTAAAAAGCTGTGCGTATGTTGAACTAATGCGGCAATCTTTAAAATTTACATTAATTTATGCATGTGCTGAAAGAATGGTAAAAGTCCCAGCAATGTGAATGTAGCCCATGATTTCGGCGAATGATAAGGACAAGCGCAGACCATCAATAAGTGGATTAAAGATTCACGTAATAGATCCATTACATTAAACTGCCAAATTGAACTTTTCATTAAGATAACCAACGCCAATGAGAACAGAACAAAGTTGAGCTGCAGAGAATCAAAACCTACCGGTGAATTGAATTCTCTGGGAAAAAACACTTTTGCTTACCGGACACACACATTCAATCAGTTAACCACAAAACAAACAAACCTTTGAAAAATAAACATTATATTTTCAAACCTAATTGGATACCATGCTGATAGCAAGGAAGGATTGCCGGTAACTCATTACGCGACTTTTTTGCGGCTGGTAAAATTACTCTATGGTATTCAAAACAGGACGATGATTCAGTGTGACTGAAATTAATGACCATAATCTTTTACTGAAGAAGAAGATACCTATACTCTGACAACTTATAGAACTGAACAACTGACTTGGAACATCCCGGAATCGTATTTAATTTTGACCTTGTAGAGTTCACGGAGTGAATATCTCGTCAGAACTAGTAACTGCTGTAAATGTTGCTTTGAAATGCACATCTCACACATGAGTACTTTTCAGCAATGGGAAAATTTGACTCAGATGACTTGCTTGGTCTTCTGATACTGTATGTGTCAAAATTGATAATATTCTCTACATTTACCAAAACACTTAAAGATCAAACAGAAATCCTTAAAAATTTCACAACGATACACATTACAACAGTCTGGAGCCAAAACTCACCTGAAAAACTGAATAAGAAGCCAAAGATGATGATGATGTATTGGTGGATGGAGAACGAAAGCTGAAAGAATGTGTTTGAGCAGGTTTTGTAGGTGGCGCAAACTTATACCCTCTTTGAGATCTTGTTAACGGGACTGAAGGGATCTAAAAACGTACACAAAATTGTGGAAATAAAACGGGCACTAAATTTTTAGGTATCCTACTACTATGGTACAATCCAAAAACCTAAGTAGGAGATAATAGAAAACATGAAGGTAGAGAAAACAATTTGATGAATTGGATTGGATTTGGATTGTTTCTTTGAAATCTAAGAACATTTTCAGAGATACTCAATTTTCAAAATTATAAAAAATATACTTAAAACGGAGAAACCAAAATTGTTGAAAAACTTGAGGCCAAAACCAGAACAATTCACTAAAATAGGTGTAAAATGCAGCATTCATAGGCTAATTGGCAAAGCCCTTAGCTTGAAAATTAGAACTTATTCAGGTTGTTAGATTAGAAATTCAATGCGGACGCTACGATGAAACGAGTGACCACGTGGTTTCGGGATATCCCCAACTAGCAAAGAAGACACTACAAGGGACGAAAAAGTGTGTGCACACGTTGGGGTGGAGCGTTTTTGGGCTCTTTTCTTTCTTTCGTAAATGGACAAAGCACGAGAGTGGCGAAAGGGTCTGAAAAGAACGCCTGAATTTTCCTGAATGTTTTCGTCAACATTTAAATTGCCCGGATCGACGTTGAAGTCAAAATTTGCGGAAATTCAGGTTTTTTGACGATAACATGGTGACAACGGCAAATGCGACGAAAAGGCCAAGGCAATGCGACCAAAGTTGTTGGAAATTTATATGACTTTCTTATGGTTTTTTCTCTCAGGGCAACCATTTTAGTGTGAATCTCGAAAAACCCTTATTTTTCCGGAAATTTGGTATGAATTCTTGTTCAGTTGAGGAGAAGTACAGAAAAAAGAGAGTTAACTAGGGACGAATTGCGTAACAGACTTTTCCTACAAGAATATCATCATCAGGTTGGTCTGAATAACACAACAAAACAAAAAAATTGTCATTTCGGTTGTAAACAAATATATGTAGAGTCAAAAAAAGTTCCCAATTACATGGGGTGCACCGAATCCAGGATGATGGCCAACTTCAAACAGCAGAAGGGTGTATTTGTCGAATACTTATTAGTGTGATAAGTCAAGTGAAGTATCAGTTCATAATAGAATATTGACGGCGAAACTTCCAAACCAAGTGTCTCATCTGTAATATTTGAAAATTCTAGCTCTTATTTTATTTTCTTGAAGGAGAACAAATCAATATCATTTTTTTGAAGTTTTAGCAGAATTGGCTTCGCACATAGACAGGCAAAATCACAGAAGGGTTTAAGAGTCGATGTTGAGTAGTTCTCCATTCAAAAAATAAAGTATGACAGGAAACTCTGCAACGTCGCCAACGAAGAGACATGCTTTAGTTGCTTCACTGTAATTTTGATGGTAGATTTTTGGAAGGGTAACTTTTAAAGTTTGATTGCAACCCTTTTTAAATTGAAATTAAGGTATCGATTTTTGTATAATAGTGTTCAAGCAGTTTGATGAGAGGTTCAATATTTATTTGTCTTTAATTAGACCATATATGTGACCCAATGAATGACGCCTGGTTAGGGAGGACGTGAAAAACTGACAATCCAGGCCGAATCTGAAGGTTACAAGGGTTTAAAATGGCGGGACGATTTTAATGATGATTTTCGTTTTCAAAAGAAAACAATTAGAGCTAACCAAGTGTTTATTGGCATGTAAATAGAGACTGAAAAAATCTTGACCTAGTTGAGAATCTTATGAAATTTACCGTATATACACCCCCGGAAAATTTAGATCTTTTCCCAAAATATTCTGTCAAACCAAAATTAAGAGGCGAAAAGCCATCGAAATCAAAGAATCCCGACTGACAATACGAATCGTGTTTACCGAAACACCCGACAAATTAGGTTCCCCGACCAATAACAATACAGAGCTCTTTAGGCTGTAGCATTAAAACGCACCGACAAATATAAGAAATACCGCCAGATTGGTCTAAAATCTATAGCAGGAATGACAAAATACTGAAACAATAACTGAGAAATACACCCGATCAGTGAGCAGGCATATTGTGTTGCGAGAACGGAAAGGGTCTGATTTTCGAGGACGTATCATTGAGGAGAAGTCAGGTAGCGGGCAGCGCGAAGCAACGTATGATCGAAACCCTCGCGTTTGCTTTATGATGCGCCCGTTTGCCGAATTCAGAAAAGGTCTATCTTATGTTACGCCTATTTGTTTTTCCTTAATAATTCAGTTAATATTGAGAGTTGAGCTTTCAAATAAGGCTCAATGGAAGAAGGAGCTTGAGGTGCAGAAGGATCCATTCATAACTCAACGAGCGAACATGCAAAAACCCTTGAAAATTGTGAAATTTTTAATGTTTTTTCACAACATACACTTCATTCACATCTTCTCTAATTTTAATTGCTCTCCACTTTGAAGCCTCTTCCTTTCGGGGCTTATTCAAAAAGTAGAAGCCTTTCCACATTTTAGGAACCTTTTCAATACCCCTTCTCCCTCCACTTTGCATTTCTTTTCACCCAGACACTGAGTCAAAACTCTCAATTTTTGAACAAAATTTTAAATAAGAAAAAGAGAACAAGGTTTTTCTGAGCTCTATCTGTTAATGACAAGAAGTCTAATAGCATCCATTGATCCAAGAGAAATTCAGAAAAATAAAAAAATGTCCATGATTATTAGAATCGAATACCTCATTTAGAAAGACTTTTACTACAACTTACCTTGGTGGTGCTGGGTGTGTTCTGCATTCTCCGTATTTTCACACGGTTTGGAGTCTTGGAAGGGGTTGCTTCATTCCTTGGTCGTTTTGAAATATTGCTTTGTGAGGTGGCAGGGGTATTTACCTTCCTCTTCCTATCAACTAATGGACTTGGAGCTATTGTTGAATTGGCCACTTTCTTTAACAAGAAATAAAAACAGAGAAAAAGGGGTAACATTTCTGACCTTACACACATACAATTTCATATTCATCGAAAAATAAAGGAATAAATAACCATGCAAATTTGAGAAGTAGGGAGTTTGGTGAAGTAAAATATGTTACAAAATGTTTCAATACCAAAAATATGATGAAACTTACTCTGAGCAGCTGAACCTATGCGTAACTGGCATATTATTACTAATAAAAATTGAGGTGATGATAAGGGGTTGTTCATTAAATACGTTATGCTGCTTTTATGACGTTAGTCCCAATCTTTCAACATGTTAAAACAAACTTGCAAAACGATTTCTTTAACCTCAGACAGAGACTTCTCAGTCATGCAATCATGATTGCGTAGAAAATAAGGAAGGTTGCAAAAGATTTATTTTTGGGGGGTGAGAGAGGGGCCATTCAGTACACCATTATATTAAACTATGGCAAGTGTGCTGCTTCTTTGACTGCCTAGTTCTTTGGAAAAAGAACTGTGAAACACATTATATTCAGTGGTGGAAGTCTTTGGGCATGTTTAGGCCCCTGTTTTGGAGCTGATAAATGTGAGTATCGGCAAAACCAGACCATTTCTGTAAAAAATGCATTGTCAACTACCAGATATCCCAAAATTTTCGGATTTTGTTGAGGGACTGCTTCGACCGACACGACAACCCCATTTTAGAATAGAAAAACCGGGAAAAATGTAAGTTACAAAAAAAAGGGACAAAATTAACGATACTGGACAGAGAGGGGGTTGGGGACTGCTTATAAATCAAGTCATGCACTAAGAGAGGTAAACAAGTAAACTCCTCTCAGAAGGGGGGGGAGGCCTTCTGGTACTGCATGGTGTCAAGCAAAAACCTATGAAATGCGCCAGCTCTCTGTGAATATCTCCATAGATTCGGTTCAGTTGTAACATCAAAGGATAAATTCATTCTTTTTGCAAAAATGGGGCGGTTATTGAGCAAAACGTTGCGTAATATTATCAGGGGCCGAGAAGGGGGGAGGGGGTTGTCCAGATCTGTTATGATGGATGCTTACAGAGGTAGAGGGAGGGATCCGACATTCGGGATTAGAAAGCACTTTATGAGCGGTGAGACTATCATACTTCGTCATGCTGACTGAGGTGGAACATTGACAACAAAAACATGTACTTTTCCTACTTACGTACAACCAGAAAATTGTAGTTTAATCCGCTAATAGGTGGATTTCAGCTAATGGGAGAAAATAGTTCAGGAAAAAAGTTAAAAAAAGATTTGGCCATATCAGGCTAATGACTACTTTAAGTGCTCCTTTAAGTGCCTCGGACTTTGTGTTAGGGATGGAGTAGAGGGCTAAAACTATATACACGTTAGTTTTGAAGACATATTCTCAAAAATTCACTGTGGAGCGAGATATAAACTTGGAGAGCACATTATTTTTTGAAAAGGTTGGTAATTGGGTCTACGTTTCGAATAAGCTATAGTTTTGAATGTCAGAGTAAGATAAATGTGAGTGAAGTTGAAAGACCCGACTGAAGTCGAACAATTAATATGTCATTTAAGTATTAAAACTCACGTACTAGTCAGAAGAAAAATCTTTTGTTATATTCTGATGCGTTTCAACCCACACTGGTTATCTTCCAGGACGCGACATGTATCAGACAATGAATCTGTGATACGTTGTTGCACTGGTGCTTTACAAGGGTTGGAGGTTGAAGCATTAGTCCAAAATGTCTTACATATTACTTGAATGGCCGCCAGAATTAATAAGTAAATAGTAAAAAATATAAAGAAAAAACTGGCAACCATGGCACTTTAGAAAATAGTCTTTAAGTTGGAAATGATTCATTTTGATCATCAGTAGACGGGCACAGCTCACTTGACCATCACTGCCATCATGCGCTACTCAAAATCGCCCGTTTAGGATTCAAAACACAGGAGGCTGCGCATCAACCCGATTCGTTTATGCCCTTTTGTTCCTTCAATTTTGAACATAAACTTATAATGTACTACACCAAATTAACGCTAAAAGAACGATCTACAACTTTTACTGAAGGGTATTTTTTGATCTGAGCCTTCATATGGATGTAAATATGGAAAATGCCTACCTATCAAATACTCTCAATTTTGAATTTCTTTCAAATTTACTCACTCAAAACTTCCTTTGACATTCATAACTGTAGCTTTTTTGAAACGTAGACTCAATTACTGACATTTTCGAAACAAATTAGCTCTCCAAGTTTATTCCTTGCTCCACAGTGAATTATTGAAATATGCCTAATTTTCAACTTTATCGGACCACTGTACGGAGTCCCTTGAGGGGATTTATGGGGACTTTTGGCTAAAAACACTTTTTCATATGTAGAATCAACAGAGTCTAAATCCAGCTGTATGATAATTTCTGACTGCAAATGGGCCCTATTTGCCTCCGTTTTCTGGACTATGCGGATTTGCATGGGTTTTGGGTTTTTTTTCGGGTTAAAGTGGGTCCTTTTGGGCTGGGGAAAGTGGGGCCAATCATGGCTGCCTCCTGCTGGAATGTTGCATATTTCAAGAACTACCTATAATTCTGCAATCTGACAACATTAGCACCATCTCAAACTGAATCTTATCCTTTTAAATACCTACTCGGGCTATTTTTTGAGCTTCTTTGCAGGCACTATTTTCCTTCCATTGATCTTCCATTAATTCCAAGAATGAGACACCATCAAAGAGAAAGGGTGATCCGTTCGCTGTCTCATACTCACATAATAGTTTTTTAAGCTCTTTCTCTATCTTCGGGAGATCCTGAAAGCAGAAACACGAAAGAGAAAACTTATTCATTTGGTTGCTGAACGACCCTAATGCTGACTTCAGTTTAAGACCAAAGAATTTGCAAAAGAGTGAGCAAGAAAAAAAATAAAAAAATAAAAGATAAGATGTTCCAAGTGTAAAAAATAAAGGACAAAAAATTTGACCATCAGTTTCCCTGTCTGTCAGTCATCAAACCTTTAAGTTCAGATTTTAACCATAACTTCAGTTCAAGTTTGTACGAGGGGTATCACAAAAGTAAGGTCTCAATAAATTTTTCAAGTAAATGAAAGCATATAATTTTAAAAAGTATGACAAAGCTAAAAAGCTCATATCTTAAGCTAGTTTTCTCCAAAATCACCGCTTCAATCGATGATCTTCCAGAGTTGCGGCAGCAGTTTTCCTGGCCCTTGTCGTAGAGCTCAACCGCCACCTCTCAGAAGAATTGCGCCACCTTTCTTTCGCGTTGTCGAAGTGTTGTCCACCCAAGTGTTTCTTCAATGCTGTGCTTGAGAGGAAGTCAATAGGGACTAAATCTGGGCTATAGGAGAGATAATCCAGGATACTCTATTTTCCAAGGGATTCGCAGGAAGACTGCACTTGTCGCTGTTCCTGGTCCTCCGTCAGCATTCGTGGGACCCCCTGAGCACACACTTTGTGGTAATGAAGTTTGTCCGTCAAAATTCGAAGAATAATTGCTGGAGAAACTCCAGCGACCGGAAGCTTCACGATCATCACACTTCGATATTTAAGCATTGCTGCTTCAATCCTGGCAATTGCCTCGTCAGAAGTCGATGGCCGGCCGCTTCTTTCTTTGTCGTGAATGTCGGTGCAATCTGCTGCAAATTCTCGACACTGTTTGCGAACGTTTTTTAAGTCTACGACCTCGTCTCTGTACACCCAAACTAACTGACAATCCCAAAAAACAAAAAATAAATTTTTGTACAAAATTTCGGCCCAATCCAAAAAACACTCACTGGGTACCAATTAAAAATAATAATAATAATAATAAAAAAAATAAATAAAATGAGACATCCAAATCATACGATGGCAGGACCGTTTGGATTCATCATATAAAAGTAAGTGATATCAAAACGGCCCAATTTCCCCCTGGATGCCTATGCGATATGCTGAACACCCCAACATTTTTCACATAAAAAAATTAAATACTAACCAGGAACACGTTTTGATCCATCACTTTAAAGGAGTGATATCAAAACGGCCCAACTTCCCTGAAATATACCCATCTTAGAGCAAACTTCCGCGAAACCTCCCAACTCCCAACGAACTGATACGATGATGGATGGAAATAAGGAAACTAAGAGAAAGCGATAGATAGGTTACGTTCTGATTATTGTCTGGTCTGGATTCTGGAGAGGAAAATTATGGTATCAGCAGATCATTGATACACACACCCTCATACACACGCGCGCGCGCGCAGGTCCGACGCGATGGTCGGAATACGCGCCGGTAGTTCCTCGCCAAGCCGGGCCATTCTCCACAATCGAACGCAATGGTCAGTTGATCCCACAACTCGAGACCGAGACCGCCCGCGCCCGATTACACACAAAAAAAAACGAAAAATCAGAAAAAATCCCTGAGTTTTCCCGGATGCTATTTTACCCCTGACTTTTCCCGGTCGCTAACAACCCTGACACTTATAGATATTTCTGCCAAGTTTCGCGTGTCTACCTGCAAAACAGTCGCACAAATCCAAGAAACCGCGGAGATGCAAGACTGGGCTGTTTATTTTCAAAATGGCGGCCATTAGCCTAGGTAAAAATCGCAGACTGAACTTGGGTCTTGATAGATTTTTGTTTCCAACATACTTATGCATATTCCTGCCAAATTTCGTACACCTCATTGCGACACAGCCGCGAAAATCTGAGAAACCGCGAAGAAACGGCGCTAAACCGCTAATTTTCAAAATGGCGGTCAATAGCAAGGGTAAAATGGCCAAATGGAATTGATGCTCATTTTTCCTCGTTCTAGTTACACTCAAGTATATTTCTGCCAAATTTCATGTTAATAGGTAAGTTAGAACGCCTGAAAAATGAGATAATGACGGAAATCAGCTTATGGGGGCCATCTTGGAAAATGGTGGCCAAAATACGGGGAATCATGGGAGATCCAGCTTGGGTCCCCTTTGATTTTCATTTTAAGTACTTTAAATTAAAAATTCACCGAGTTCCATGCTGGTAGTCTAATTTGAGCTATTAGCGTGATTTTTGACTCTAAGCGATCTCTTTAGTAAAACTTTGTTAGAATTCTAGAGTGCTGTTTTCAGTACTTGTCATGTTTTCCTCCCTCCATGTTTTTTCATTAATTTCGACATCGAAGTTCAGTTTAAGCCCAATTTAAGAGTGCTGAGTGAAGTGTCAAGATGGTGGTCGCGGATGAATAATATTTTCTCTAGTATGATGTATTTTGAGCCTTGTCAGACAGGGCTTCAATGACAACAGTAAACATGTTACAGGAAGAATAGGGGGCAGCCACTTACCCGCTTCCTCGCCTGCACGCCCAAAATGGTGGAAAGAAAATCAACTTACTCTTGCAATTTGCTTGCGTTCTTTTTCTTCCTTCAGAAGCTGCCCACCTCTGTTCTTGAATAGACGATCTGCATTCTTGCTTTTGTCATTCAACTCGTTCATTTTGTCCCAGAGTTTGTTCCTTTCATCGATCAACTGGTATAAAGCACTAAACAAATAAAAATACTGTTGATGTAAACAATCACACTTAAAATAATTGCTGAACTTGGCAGATCCAGTATGCTTGAATAAACGTAATGCCCCACTGGACCATACAAGAAATTAAAAATCTACAGCACACGGTTTCTTGTCAAAATTTAAAGTAGTTTTTATTGAATGTATGATTGAATCAGGACATGCGAAAACTACTAATGTCCATTTTTCCAGTCTTAAGTTTGTTTGAGTTTGAGAGCTCTGGGTCAAACTGATCACATTTTGTTGCCAAACAGCTTTTAATCTAAAAGGAAATTTTCCTATTCATGCTAACTATCTCAGCTTTCAATCAATTTGTAGCTACGTTCTGTAGAGTCATCCCCTAAAGATAGTCACTACTTGTATCTCATCATAATTGTTATTTCAGAAACACGAGAGACACTCTTCTCATTCTTAGCAAAAACTTATTAAATTTTGAATGGCTCAAAATTCACTCTTACAAATGAATTTCTCTCTTTAAATGTCAAACTTTACCACCTCTGTACTTAAAAATAGACAACCACCCTTTAGTTTACAACTATCTTGCCAAGCTTAATCGTCGGAGGTCCTCATCTCCCAACTGCTGGGGGGGGGGGGGGGGGGAGATGTTGAGTACAGGGACTGGCTCCCTGTTATTGCTTGCCCATCTGTTGTTCAGTTGGTAGAGCTGCTCTGTTGGCTGGTGGAATTTCGAGTTTGCCCTGCGGCATCACTGCAGAAATTACCCTGGCCAATCAGAGGAGCGGGTTTCTCGGCTGATCAGTAGAGGCTGAGCAATGCCAAGTGAGTGAGCGGAGCAAGGATTCGAGGCTTTTTGCATCGAAGGAGCCCCGAGTACACGTCACTCTGCCATCTATTTAGCTTTTCTTTCTTTTAACCCGTTATGTGGTTTCACGTTTGAGGGTGCTTTCTTGTGATTGTGCGTGTCCTCTTGTGATGTCTAACATTGTTCATCAATAAAGAATCCATTTGTTAATCATCAAGTTGAGTCCATATGCTCTCCCACCGCTAACCTTAACACGAAACATGTACCAGGATAATTCAAGGCCCTTTTTTGTAAGGTGGTCCATTGACTTACCGCTCTGCTGACTCTACTGTCAGTCTAGAAACCCGACTTGAAACAATTAAAAAGCAAAAAATTATAGTCAAGGTTAAAATGACATACCAGTTCTTTTCATAATATTGTCTTAATTTGCTGACTTCTAGCTCATGCAACTCCAGTAATTCTTCGCTGAAGTCCTGGGAGAGATAAGCTTCAAACATGTTCTTTTGGTTTTCAGCATAGTGGAGTCTATACCACCAACTTTCAATTTCGCGGCGAACTTCTTGGATAAAATGCTGAATGTGTTTACGTTTAAGTTCCTCACAGCGTTTGAGCTCTTGCTTAAGCTGAAAAAGGAGTTACACTACAGGGTTGGAAAAGAGACAGACACAGAACTAAGATGAAAAATGGGNGGGGGGGGGGGAAGTGACTATTAAAAACATAATGTAAAAAATACTAAGTATCAGTCATAATAATGTCAGTTTGGGTATTTCTATTAATGATAAACTAATTACAGTCGAATATCTTCATACCTTTTTGGGGCAAAACGTTTTTCAGAGACATCCATTTTTTCTAGTCCAGCAACCCAATTATTATTGAAACTGACAAATAAAATGGAAAAATGGGGTAGATAAAACTAACAGCAACTTTAAAGGAACTATATAGTTAGTACAACATACAGGGTGTACCAAAAGTCCGTCCCACCCCTGCTAACTTTTGAACGAATTGAGCTAGGGTAATGAAACTTTGAGAATGTTCCTATCTCAAAGGGGACCATCTTTTAGGGGGATCAAAATTTTGGTCCCCCCTCAGGGGGGGCGCGGGGGGCCCCCAACTTTTTTTTTTCAAATGGCAACCCCTATCTTGTGATACATCATTCAAAAGAGCATAAAAAACTAAGAATTTTGGCGCAAACCGCAGATCAATATCTTAATTTTTGACCGAGTTATGATAGGTCAAAGGTCAAATTTGACCTATTTTCAAAAAATCATAACTCCGGTTCAAATTATCGTAAAGAAAAAAATAAAACGGGAAAATCTACCAAATTGTGTCCGCTTCTAAGTAAAAATTGCAGAAATCACTAAGCTGTAATTTTAAGGGGGGGCTCGGACCCCCAAATACGTCAATTCAAAGGTCATTCAATTTTCCCGCGAAAAAAGGCAATTTCCCCTAGATTTGCCTCCACATTATCTCATTAAGGTCAAAATTAGTTCAACATTACGTTGGCAAGTCCCCAAATTTCGGGAAAAGTTTTGAAAAAAGGAATTTTAGGTGATTAAATTTGACCGTTTAAATTTCGTTTTTTTTTAACTTTTCCCGAAATTTGGGGACTTGCCAACGTAATGTTGAACTAATTTTGACCTTAATGAGATAATGTGGAGGCAAATCTAGGGGAAATTGCCTTTTTTCGCGGGAAAATTGAATGACCTTTGAATTGACGTATTTGGGGGTCCGAGCCCCCCCTTAAAATTACAGCTTAGTGATTTCTGCAATTTTTACTTAGAAGCGGACACAATTTGGTAGATTTTCCCGTTTTATTTTTTTCTTTACGATAATTTGAACCGGAGTTATGATTTTTTGAAAATAGGTCAAATTTGACCTTTGACCTATCATAACTCGGTCAAAAATTAAGATATTGATCTGCGGTTTGCGCCAAAATTCTTAGTTTTTTATGCTCTTTTGAATGATGTATCACAAGATAGGGGTTGCCATTTGAAAAAAAAAAGTTGGGGGCCCCCCGCGCCCCCCCTGAGGGGGGACCAAAATTTTGATCCCCCTAAAAGATGGTCCCCTTTGAGATAGGAACATTCTCAAAGTTTCATTACCCTAGCTCAATTCGTTCAAAAGTTAGCAGGGGTGGGACGGACTTTTGGTACACCCTGTATTCTCCCTTAACCTATGACAACAACCCGTTTTGACTAATAGGATTGTTGCATTTACCATTTGCATATATTGTCCATCAATTTTCACATTCAGCCTACTGGCTAGTCATTTCTTGTTACACCATTTCATGAAAAAATGTTTGTCTGTTAACAACTTTCTACTTTTAATTCCTTTTTGAAAACATTATAACAAGAAATAACTTGTAAAGTTTCCTTGCTTACCACATTTTTGAGGTCTTCAATAATTCTTAAGCACCCCGGTAGGTGCCTGATTGGGCACTTTCTGCACTCATAATCTTTGCTCTAACGAGTTACACCCTGAGCAAAGGCAAAGAGCTTTGAAAACGTACTTTTCAAGGTCCAGCACACTTTATGGTCTAGCATTGGATACAAACAAACAAAGGGCACTCTCAAGAAGAAACTGCATTGTAACCAAACTTACCCCGTTGATGGCTGATTTTCCATAGCCAGAGTGCGTAATGAGACATTGCTCTCTGTATTCATTGCTTTCATGAAGCCTCTCCCAAATTAGGCTCAACTTACTCACGAGTTCCTCAGCTTCTGCTTTAGCTCGATCCTCTTGGCTTCGTAATGACACAAGTAATTCCTACAAACGTAAAAGAAACATTTTTAGACTTATTATACTTTGAGGACCATTAGCATTTAACAGCAGAGACACCCGCTCTTCGACTGGATCGAATGGCTAAAAAATACTGCAGAAAAATTAAACAACACGAGTAATGTGATCAGCACTCTAGATCTCATTAAAGAATGAACAGTCTGGCCTGGCGTGCCATTCGAGAGGGAGGTCTCCGCGTGAGCTACCTCCTCGAAATTGCTTTTAATGGGTTCCACTGCGCCGATCGTCCAGAGTTTCTCACAAGTTGCGTCATCAGTTGTCCCCCAGTAAACTGCGAAGTTTTATGTGATTCCGTGCTTTTTTTTTCATCCCGTTTTAAGCATTTTTCCGGCATTTTCAGTAAGGAGTGTTTGTTTGTGCCGAGGAATTATCTAAGAACTTGAGTGGGATAACGAGCTAAACTGTGCAGGTATCTCCTTATTGCGGCGCTCTCGGCAACTCTGCTTTTGGTCCTGTATTAGTCCGTTGCCTACAATCCCAAAAACCCTGCACTTCTTGATTGGAATATGCCGCCCTCAGGGCTTATTGGTAGTGCCTCCAGGAGTAATTCTGGAAGGGGCAACACTCTGAAACCCGCAACTGGAGCAAGATGGTGGCCATTAATGTCCGCCATTTTGGTTTTTTTCAAAGCGCTGTATCTCCGTTGCGATCGACCCTACTTTGGTCGACTTTTTTTTCTAGAAGTTGATAGGTATTTTCTAGAAAAATAAGTTTCCGCCTTGCCGATTTTCCTGTTGGACTTATATTCTTTTAAAAAATTGGGAAAAACTAAAAAATGTCAAATTTTTGGAAATTTTAAGGTCAAATAACTTTACAACAGGCGTGATAAAGGATATTTCGCCTTCTCTGATAGAACCGTAGAATTGTCTGACCTTTAATGTGATACGGCGATGGTGCACTGCACACGGCGCGCTATCCGTATGGGGTTGTTAACGCCCTTCACTGCCGTGTAATTAGGTTGTTACTATATCCATTAAAATTATTTGCTTCTAAGAGGCTTGAAGAAACTGAAATTAAAGTTTTGCCTCATTGGATGGATCTGGAAAAGTATATGTACGTTTTCTAATGGAGATGTTGCATGTGTGAGGAATTTGCGATTTTACTGTTGATTCTTGTGTAAAAGTTCGCGAGAAATACGATGGTGCTACTGGTTTTCTCTGAAATCAACTCCCAAGCTCAAAAAAAAAGCTTTCAAGTTGAGGCCAAAATGGAGGGGATATCCCACGCTATCCTGAGGGTCCACCTCTACATCAAGACAAACTGTCCATGCAAAGATAGGGAGCAAATACATTGACAGGGCTGCCACCTTATTTGGGGACTGTAAAACTGAAATCACGGCAACCCTGTCAATGTATTTGCTCCCTATCTTTGCATGGAGAGTTTGTCTTGATGTAGAGATGGACCTCAACTTGAGAGCTTTTTTTGAGCTTGGGAGTTGATTTCAGAGAAAACCAGTAGCACCATCATGTTTCTCCCAAACTTTGACATAAGGAGCAATCGTCAAATCGCAAATCCCTCACACATGCAACATCTCCATTTGATACCATCATCAACCCTGCGTGACCAGAATCAGACCCGCGAATTTCAGGAAAATGGCATTTCTGGCGTTTTTGCATCTGTTACCCCTGCAAAATATAAACTTAAAATTTGACTCAAGTACAAGATACGTCCCTTCTGAGGTATTTCCAGCCACTGAGTTCAAAAACGGCCTCTATATTTTTGCCTATCACCTCTCAGTTTAACGGAGGAGCCGCTTTTTTCCGGAAAAACAAGCAAATTTGACGTATTTTTTCATGTAAGCGACTTTTTACTTAACATTTTTCTGGATCCAGGGAAGCGTGATTCTTCTGTGGGTATTATTTTGTATCTATTAGAGATAGGAAAAGTTCCATGAAGATGATCCTGTGTGAACGAGCAAAAAACGCTACAAAAATAACGGCGAAATCAGCAAAAATAACAGCGAAATTCGGGAAAAATAAAAGCGAAATTTTCCAATGTCTAATTATATCCTCCTGTTGCTGGGACCTAAAAATTTATCTGATGAAAGATGGGTAGTACCTGATGAATAAAGTACCTTACCTCAAGTTTTTCCAAGTTGTTATCTGTAAGTTTAAACGTTTTTTCATTTTCACGAGTGACAGCTAGTTCGAAACTGAGAGTTGCTTTGGCTTCTAATCTACTGTAAAGATCCAGGATCTCACATTTTTTTTCCACAAAAATCTGCTCTCGCTCGGCCTGTGATGAGACAAATAAATTAAATAGGTAATCGATTTATTCTCTGACATCAATAAACATTTGTATTTTTTATTACTGCAGCAATATGATCAAATTATAGCTGACAAAATGTCGCACTTCAGGTTCCTTCCCAAACATTGTGAAGGTTTCTAACTTTCAGCACCTTCCTGTTCCATATGGTTTATGTTGACTTTGCTACAGCTCTATTTCTCAACTCAATTTCAAAGAAACCCTATCCTATATGGGTATCCCTTCTTCCACTTGCTTGGATATAGCTGAGGTATTAAAATAACAGCCTGGCAGTCAACTGAATCTATGCTACAGCAACACGGTAGTATTTTTGAGAAATTATGGGTCTTTTTGTGGCTGCCCCCAGAGAGCACACAAAAACGGGGTATTTTCTATTTTCACAGCTCAGCAGGCGATGTGTGTGCAACCTGCAGCAGTATTTGGACGGGAAACTTGGCATAAGCTTTAAACTTGCGCTTGAAGCTGCCCTGGGAGTATCTTACAGGATTGGAGGTTACTGAAGCATAGGCCTCAATTCAGGGTCAGACTTCTACACTTGATTTGCATTTGTACTACGATTTTATTACAGGAAGAACTTCATTTTCTGCTGGACTTATCAACTACTGAAAATTTTGGTTATTTGTGAAATCCAGTAAATCCTGCTGTCTAGCAAATTGAAAAGTCAGCTTTTTTACGACAATAGTAAGAAGTTCTAAGTCCATTCCTTGAATTATTTTCCTCTCTTATACTTGGTGTTATATTGCGGGTTACTTTCAAAGAATAAGTTTAGAAGGAGTAAAAGTTAAATTACCTGAAAGCAGCTGTTGCCAAATTTTTCAACAGTTCACCGCATAAGGTGGTTACTTCTGACAATCAATTCCTGACAAAATAGTCAATGTTTTACGTACTTAAAATCGTGGCTACATTACTGCAATTAATGCATATTTTCTCTACTTTTGTACCGCAAAGAGCAAACAATTGACAGTGATATCAAGACTCGAGGCAAGATTGTTTGACATTGTTCTGTGCTTGCACTACTTTTTCCAAACATTAAATACTAATGAGGTCTTGAAGGGCAATTGAAAAAATCAAGGATCCAGGAACACATTTTCAAGGCCACAAAAACTAGGTTATGTTTACAAAATTAGAGTAAAGGATTTTCAGAGTACATACCACTTTCTGTTCAAGATCAGTCAAATGCTTCTGAAAATTCAATAATTCATCCTCTGAAGGCACACCTATATAATCGATAATTTGTGGAGTGGTTCCTAATCGTTTACAAATCTGTTTCTCCTACAACACAAAACCAAATTTGAAACAATAAAATAGATGGCTGAAATAAATACAGGTGCAAAAATGTCACATCTATTTCACTATCTACATATCGAAGTTAATGGAAGGTAAATCTTGAGATGTGAGCAGGGATGAGAGATGAAATCACACAGAATGAAAGGACTACGCACTCGATGCCAAGAAATTCAGCGTTGGCTACATTTAGATTTTAATTCTTATGATGTTCTATGTGACTTCTACAATAGGCCTTTAGAACTGACCTTTCTGCATGCCAGAAGGAAGATGGGCTAAAAAGTGAACTTTTCAGTGCTCTAAGTGACTCCTACAATGGGACTTCACAACTGACTTTTCTGCATTTCACTCTTAAGAGAAGAATGGCTGAAAAGGAAACTTTTCAGTGTTTTTACATGCGATTCCTAGAAGAAATGTTGAACATCTAGCTGGTGATCAAGGAGAACTTTTCTTTTCTCGCAAGCCGGGAAAATAAAACAGACAAAAAGAATGCGATTTCTCCAATTGATAATATATAGTATAGTAGAAAAATACCAGTGGATCTACTGGGGAAATATAGTAGTTCCTTATTGCAAACACAATCCAACTGGATACATAGAGCTAAGGAACAAATCCACCAGCGGGCCGATTATTGAAACTTATAGACAAAGCTATAGACAAAGACGACAAAAGGGATTTGGAGAGATCCTATTGGTGGAAGCAGGTGGTGGCAATGGACATAGGAGGTAGGTAATAGACTAACTAACGGCAACCCACTGAAGACCCGACAGTTAGTCCATCATTTTCTTCCTTAGTCTATAAGGAGCAACTATATCAACCAATAGGATCGCTTTATACTTCTTATGTCTTCTTTGTCTATCGCTTTGTCCATCAGTTTCAATAATCGGCCCGCAGGACATCGAGGACTAAGGAACAATACCATCCAAGTGACAATATTGGCAAAAATTAGTTAGTTACTTCGTCGCATTCAACAATATAAAATTTACAAGCTCCTGTTTTCTGCTTTTTAATTCCGCATGGAAGCGCTATGATTACGTTATGATGTACCAAAAAATGCAAATTTAACCTTACAATTATAAAATTAGCGGCCTTTTTCTACGTCAAAATCATTAATTCGTAGATAGCCGGAAGTGTTTCTTAGCCATTGGTATTCAAGTCAAACTAAAGCTCCCCTTGTTAATTACAGACAAACATATTTTACAGACAGATTATACAGACAGATTATACAGACAGTTATAAGTATGTTCCTTACCTTCGTTACATAATTTTGCAACATTGCCAGACGCTCAGTTTTGATACACCGATAAGACTCTAGGGCACTGTGAAGATTTGCCTCTATTTCGCAGAGAGGTGCCTTATCATTGACGTTAGCTTTGATTTCAATATGGAGCTCCTGAAACATTGAAGCACCAAAATCAAGAGACACTAAATTAACGCTTACAGATGTTACAGGAATAAACAAAAGTTGAGAGGAGCATCATTAAGTTTATGTATTGTTCACTGAGGGATTCCCATTATATTTCTTTTTCCCATTATCACATTCTTTTTTTAAGGACGAAGGCAACCAGAAGGACAAGTCATTTGACACAGGTGGTGTCTCAGCCTTCGAACACTGTATTCAGGAGGAAGCTGGAATACTCGTGTTGGATGAAAAAAGCTCATGATAATCTTGTGAGATAAACATTTTGTAAGTCGGAACTACTATTTCTGGCTCATTCATAAAATCTTCTTTCTGCATAGGGGCACTTAGAGAGCGTTCATAAATAATGTAACGCACTATTTCAGAATTTTTGTCTTCCCTCCCCTTTTGTGACCTTTTCTTGGCTCATGTCCACATCCTTAAACAGGTAAAAGCAAAACGGCGTAACACTCTCCTCAACCCCCCCCCCTTCTCTCACCACCCATAGAGCACTATGTACTTGATGAACGCTTCTTGATAGCAGATGCATTGCTTTTAAAATTAGTCAGAAGTATTACTTCCTAATTGCAAAGTGAAGTCCAAGTAAGAACGTTAGAATGCAAACTTTCATACCACTGAGCAAATTGCAGAATCACTAAAACATGAAATACCTAGGGGGAAGCTCTGGTCAAAGAAGGGACACTCCTTATGCGATTGTGCAGCACGATCGATTTCCGATTTTTCTATTGCATAAAATTCGCTTTTAGATGCTGATCAAAAGTCATCATTGCGCCAACTTCCTACAAGGCACAGTTTTCGCAGTATTTCGCATAGTCCATGATGGAACTTTCGATTTTTACTTGTATAAGTGAGGCCAGCGAGGCGATATCTATAATTCAGCACTTGCTGGAAGCGAAGAGAACCTGGCGGTCTTATCTCGGATTCCGTGCACCTTTTCGTATCACTGTCCAAATCGGTCTCATTCTCTCTCCCACTCTTTTCCTTACCCATCACCGACTCGGGTTTTTCTTGGTCAATCGCCGTGCTGGCCTCACTCATTCATGTATTTATTAAACTTCCAGCGCGAACTGCGCGAAATACTGCGAAAACGGTGCCTTGTAGAAAGTTGGTACGATGATGACTTTTAATCAGCATCCAAAAACGAATTTAATACAATAAAAAAATCTGAAAGTGATCGTGGTGCACAATCCCATAAGGAGTGTGCGGGGACCTTTAAGGTTTTAAGGAGTCCCCACCAGTGTGAATTAAACTGTAATAAGCTAAACTCCTCCCCCCCTTTGCTGACAAAGCAATTAACAATACATCCTCAACCTGCTACGAGAGTGGGCAGGTAAGAAATGCAGGTTTTCTGCATAAAAAGTTTGAATTTGCTGATTCAATCTTTTCATGAAAAACTTGTGGGCTATGGACCCTGGCTGCTGTGCAACCCAACCGACCGAGGGCGCCTTAAGGGCCCATGTGATTTAGCCTAAATAGGGCTACAACTAAAAGTTACGAGGTCTGGGATAAAGTAAGAGATGTATGTAGAGAAAATAGGAGTGGAGATTATGAGACACCGCTACCGAGATTCGCATTTTTACTCATTTCTTGTTACGGGCCAGACAGGCCTCGGAGCTCTTAGTAAACTGGCGATACCAATGGACTATTCTGCGCTCGATCGCCATACAAGCAGATTTTTATCATCTTTTTAACCATTACACCACTACGCTGCTTTTCAAATTCGTTTTCATCTGAAATTTTAAACTTTCCATTTTTCAACAATTAATTACCACATCATTCAGCCACACATCACTTTGCCAATTCAGTTAGGGAGCAGTGCTTTCCTTCCTTAAATGGAAACAGTGACACTGTGCCTAATGAGCATTCACAGTGTTTGACAAATGAGTTCCCAGACTGCTGTGGGAGGACTTTCATTTCCTGAGTCTACTATTAGGACCCAAAATGCTTGATTAAAACCGGTCTCGATGAGTCCCGATGACATTTCCCGGTTGGTTATGAGATCAGTGAATTTCTTATTTTAATTAGCACACATAAAGCATCACTAAATATTTGAAATTATATACATCCCCTTATCATATACACATTTGTTGAAAGGATATTGAATATCTTAAAAAATTGTAAATGACCATACCCGTTCCAAGGTTGCTTGTTCCTTCAACAAACTTTCAACCCGTTCAATGGTTTCTTCCTTGTTTTCTTCCTCTTCTTCAATCATTTTTGTAAACAGGTCCTGAAAAAAAACATTAAAAACAATGAAAGCAACAACAATGATAAGTAAACTGTGGCTTTTATTCCTTCCTAATTTTTTTTTTCCTCCACCACCATTACATGCAACGAGGAAAAAATGATGGAAAAAGCAGGAATCCACATAACTATAGTCTGCTTCGCCATTTAATTTACCATCAAAATCTGTAAATGACAACGTATCAATACAGGCTGCAATGACCTGGCGCCTCACTTAACATTTTTTGTTGTTCGAGAGAAAAGAGCAGGGTGTCTACTAAAACAGGCTGGCCAAAAATCAGTACTTTTACAGCACTTTTCCGGTGCATTCCCAAGAAATTCAGTACCTCCTCAACAGAAAAATTCAGTGCTTTTTCAGTGCCTCTTTGACAGAAAAATTCAGTACTTTTTCAGTACCTCCAATTGACGAAATTCGAAAATTTCAAAAATTTGAGAAGGAAAGCAAAGAGGGTGCGGTGTGTTTTTTGGTCTGATGAGGGACTATAGTTATCTGCTAGTGAGCACCCAGAGAAATTGTTAAATCTGTTGGCAACTTGGACTGAAATTTAAAAGCAAACGTAATTTTGGTCCTCATCTTGAATTTGATAGGACTTGCATGAAATTTGAAACATTCACCAACCAAAATGAAGAGATTGCCAAAAAAACCCATGTGCACGTAATGATTTAAAATGATAAAAATGCAAAACAAATTAAAGAAAATAAAGTGACAATAGAGGATTCTCACAGTTACGTGTTTCATCACTGCATCCTGCCGGGTAGTTTCGATCACAGGATCGGTGCCATATAATTCGTGCCACAGACTTCGTAATTTCTGTCTTTGGGGCTTCAGTTGATCATACATCTTGTGACCCAGAAGATCAGCACTGTAAGAAAAGAAAGTTAAGTTACGAAAAATTACTCAAAAAATTTCAAATACGATTAAGAAAAGAGCTAACAAACGTCCAACTGTGGAGAATTAAAACAATCCTTCCGCCGAATCACAATAACTCGACAATCACAACAACAATTCACAACAAACAAAACAAACACAATTACTCGACAATTCACGACTTACTTTAAACAAACAATTACAAACAAATACAATTTGTTGTGTTGTGTTTGTTTATATTGTTCGACAATTTACTTACTTTTTTTAGAAGCAGGGTAGCGTTGTGGGCACTTCATGCCCCACCTGAATTTTACTACATGCTTTATATTTTTAGTCCTGTGTAGAATCTACGCCAAAAATTGAACCGATCGGAGCTCTCAAAAAGGCGCAGAATCACCTCAAACCCAGTGTGCCGATATTAAAAAATGAAAAGGGGTGTATGCAAAATCGGCAAAATTTCCCCCTCATGGATTTTGACTAAGTTTAAATTTATCATTCCTCATTATAGGATACGCCTTTTTTCATGACTTCAAGGCCTGAAATGAATTTCTTTCCGCGTAGCAGCGTTGCCAAGTTGAGAACCGTCGAGTTCCATATCTTTCGAGCGAAAAAAGATATTGAGGTGCGGTTGGCGCTTAACTTCTTCAAAAATTGCGTTCTATTGAAATATGCAGTCAATTTGATCATTTCGGTAATTTCAGATTGCAATGATGCCATTTTTCACTCTTTCTTAGGGGCCAATTTTTTTTCAACCCTAGTACATCGTCGAATGCCGGATTCTCGATTCAAAAAGAACTGTTCATTCAAATATTCGTACTTATCCATTTCTTTTGATATATTATACCTTCCAGGGTAACGATTGATACGCGAGATAGGTATGAGCTATCAAAGTTTACGTTTTGCGCGCCGACTGGAATCCGGGCGCTCGGGTCCCTGGCCACTGACAAGCTTTACAAAGTCATTCTTATGTATTTTTTGAGGTACTTTCCATTTCTAGCCTTACAAAAGGGCTTCCGATGAATTTTCAGGGGCTTCGCGGTCCATTGTTGCCATTATTTACCCATATTTACGGTTTTTCCAATTTTACTCACTTAAAACTTAATTTAAACTGAAAACTGAGTACTGTTTTGGAGGGGACGTGAAAAAATGAATAACAGTTCAAGTGTGAATTTTCCGTCTATATTGTGCGTTATCCTGAAAATAATGTTGAAGGAATGAGAAAGTTTAAATAAATAGTGATGAAATGTACTTGGCGTCTATTTTACGGGATATCACTGCATTTCGAGCGACAAATGGTTACATGTTTAGCTCGGCGGTTCATCTTGGCATGGAATGGAAATGTTTTTGGTGGGATAGCGATGAAGAAGAAAAGCAAGTGCAGTAATTCTTTAGGACAAAAAGGAGATACCACTTAACATTGACATTTACGCAAATTGACCACGAAGCGTTGGCAACAGCCTAGGTCTCCGCTGTGCCATAATAGTTACGTGCGGTAGTCGTTGTTCAAAAATGGGTACGCAACAAAGATAGAGACGATATTTGGCCGATTATCAAGGGACAACGCTGCGACTACGCCAATAACACCGAACTTGGTGGTATCCCTCCCCCCCCCCCCCCCCCCCCNTGTTTTACTGGCTTCGTGTATAGTACCTGCAACTTGGATGTTTACGAAACCTTCAGCCAGGCCGCCAAGACCGATGGGTGCGGTTTGGACTCATCGATGGAAGCGGGAACAGTCTAGAAAAGCTTTTGACCCCGAAAAATCGGACCTTCTAGAAAACGGAGAGTTCTCAAAGATGAATGAAGTTCAAATTCGATTCAAGGCCTCTTGATACAGCAATAGAGATCTGAAGAGGATCTCGGAAAATTTCGGAAACTCCTTAGAACAGGAAAATCATCGCAAAATTACCTGAAAAGAGCGGTTTCTTAGGAAAAGCGACTTTTCCGGGAAAATGATGGGTGATCGGAGAAATCTGTGATCATACTTGGATTCAGCAGTTCAAAATGCAAAGGAATCGATGTATCACACATCGAGGACATTTTTAAAATGTACCTATGCGTCGAATTTGCTCTTTTTCCCGGGAGAAAGTTGCTTTTTACGTCGAATTTGCTCTTTTTCCCGGGAAAAAGTTGCTTTTCCAGAAAACTGCGGGGTGAACGGGAAAAATTAAGGTCATTTCCGTACTCATCAGATAAATCGACATCGGCTAAAATGTATCTCACAGCTGAGAAATTTGTTTACCTATATGCTGCAGGGGATAACAGTCGGAAACACACCAAAAATGCCGAAAAATAACCATGTTTCCGAGTAAAATCGGCTTTTCCGGAAAATTGGAGAGAGATGAAAAAAAAGGAGGTTATAATCGGATTCAGCGCCTCAAAATGCATAAAGATCCTCTTTTGTCGTTCAGAAGACATTTTTTCATTTTGGTGTGTTGACCAGTGTTATGAGGCATAGAACGAAAGATGGACATAAGCGGTTTTCGCATGATTCGGACCACAGCCCCCCCTGAAAAGGGATTCAACCCTAAAGCACAAACATTCTCACCACATTAATAAGTGTGTCTGACCTCCGAGAGAATTTTAACCCAAAAATCTCAACATTGAAAAAAATGGACAACGGAGCGTCCCCGAGCGGTAGCGTCACGTAGCGGTTTTCGCACGAGCCGATTCAAATGAAGAATGGGTATGTTAAAGAATTAGACAAGGGAAAACTAGAATTAATGGGGGATGAAAATGTGGAGAGAGCAAGATTTGAGGGAATAAAATGGTGTTTTAGTGAAAATAACCTGGTGGATAGAATGATTGTCTACAAGGGATTTAGAGAGTATAATAAATTTAAATGTTACAACTTCGAAATACTTGAATTAGGAGGATTTAAGAAGAGTCTACTATTTAAAGTGAGGGTGTATCAAAGATTGAACTGGGGTGAGGGCAGGCTTTTAAGAATTGAGGATACAAAGGGTGGGGGTATAAGAAAAAACGAACACATTGGCAAGAGAGAACAGCACCATAAGGAACGGGATTACCCATGGGGCTACTTAAAGTGAGAGAAAAAAGATTTTTTTCCCCTTCATTTTGGTTGTAAGCTAATGGTTCCAATAAGCCAAGAATGACCTGACTTAGAGAGGACCCTTCTCAGGAGATTAAAGAAAAAGTTCCTTTCATAACTTAGCTATTAAAGGAACTAAAGTATCCTCAGGTATGCTGCCCTGCCGTGAAAGAGTGCAATGTAT